TAGCGCAGATACCGTAACATATATGATGCAACACCCAATGTTGAGCTTCATAACATACTATCATCTGGAAACTGGTCCTAATCGCTTAGAGGCAGCTCACGGCATCACCGCTACTATTCCGCTTAGACGCCAACGTGAGTAGTGGTTTGAGGGGCAGGCTTCGTACTAGTGCTTGACCTGGTACGCAAAGCACCGAGAACAGCCACTACTGTCGTGGCCGCAAACAAAGCCCTGTATACTTATATTAGCAATCGATATTACAGTGGCTTTATAATGCCACAAGTCATTCTCAACCAAGGACGACATACCACTCGAATGCTCCAAATACCGTGGCTGCCTGAGCACAGTTGCAGGCGCTCCAGTGACAGAACCTAGGAGCAGGAAGCAGAACACCCAAGGCAACGAACCCTGCAAACCAGAAAACCATCGTGATCGCTTCTACGGCTGGTATAACGAAGCGATGTGCAATTTGGGGGAAGTGCACAGGTGCAAGGGCGAGGTACGGCGTTGCGAAGAAAGCCGTCCAAATGCTATTGAAAAGCATGAAATTGACGGTGTCATGATTGTACACGCTGACGACTATTCTTGGGAGTCAGTGTCCTTTCAGCTTGCTATATTAGCGATAAGAAGGCGACTAACTGTATGCGGTCAAACCAAGGGTGATGATCGCAAAAATCACTTGAACAACCCGAACAGGATAAATCCAGGGAAAATCCAGAGCCATCGCGGCCAGCAGGTGGTAAGCGTCTTTGGCCCTTTCTCGTAGGCCACAATGCAATCGGGATGAGAACAGCGACACAATGCCTGGCAATGTAGCCGCTGCCGTTCCGTTAAGATTAGGTATCTAACGAATCTGAGGAGAACAGAAAGTTGGAAAGAAATATGTAGCAAGGCCTGTGGTTTTTAAGAGCATGTGGTAAACTTTGTTGTCGAAGATCTCTTGCCGTTTTTCGGCAAGGAAACTGTACCCTCGATGCTCTCTCAAGATATTCCTTGCCCTAGTTTTCAGCTCGCGGCGCAGGACGAGTTGGTAAAGATTTTTCGGCCGACCTGGAGGTGAATATCTGCGTCGGGTGGACGCCTCGAGTAACTACCTTGTTTATATGGTCGCTTATTATACGAAAAGCAGAAGATTGTGAAAAAGTTCCCTGGTATTCAAGGGAGAAGGACTTGACCGACATTTACAAGCGGGCCATTCCTCCATGACTGAATTATTGGGGGCTCGTTTGGTGGAAGCTTGTGATCATCAATATGGCTGCCTATGACGACAAGCGCCTCAGGGCGCATTCGTGAGCGCGAAGGATTGGCTGAGGAGTGGGCGACAATGATCTCATGAGATACTAATTTAAGAGGGCATGCAGACTGGTTTGTTGGCAAATTCTGATTGAATGTGACAAGGATCTACTTGTTAGTAGCAGGTTCTCCTACTGTGATTAAAGTATAGACTTTGGTATGTACATATGTTTAGTACATGTACATACTACTAGTACTTATGTTAGTATACTTGCAGGGCAGAAAACGTGACTACTATTACCTACGGTGTAAAATGGCCTCAATTATTTGGGGTTCCCCTCGGAGTACTGTGCTGTGGTACTGGTACTAATCCATGGCAAATTACCTTGAAGTACCGATTCACTCAACAAGGTTATGGGGAATTATTCCTTCACTTCGTACGTAAGGATACCTGTACTAGCACTACGTAACTGGTAATTCAGCGTCACTGAAACATCGAGATTCCCACCGTTGAATTTATATTTGGACGCCTTCTGCGGAATTGTATGATGCTAATCTTCGGTACAGGTACCTATGTTATTCTTTCCCTCCGCACAAACACGAGCCCCAATCCCTTTCCCCACATATTCTCGGGATCGAGTGTTATGAGGGGTTGTACGTATGCATAGGTAGTTCGGTTCCTGGAAAACATGTTATGAGCCTAAGTACGTACTCCCGTACCGTCTGTATGGATTGGTCTCTACTACAATTATGTACATACGCATGTACACCCGTGGAAGTTGTTAAAGATACAAATGTAGCCTTACCTGGTATCAAATCACCATAGCTCCAGTAGAGATTGTGGTCAGCAAAAGGGGTAAATACTCGCCCTATCTTTCTCGGCTGTATAGAGGTATAGGCATGCTTCTTTGTGCTTTCTTTCTTTTCGTTTCTTTTCCTTTTCTTCCCCCCTCCCCCTCCCACCTTGACCGATCACGCCATCGTAATTGCGTAGTATTGTTGCTATTTTATCCCCGCACATTCAAAAGCAACGTAGTTATCTTTTCCACCTTGAGAGCTCTCCTGGAAGTCTTGAGTAGTAACTGCTGGCGTTCCAACTCTACACCGAACTTAACCCTTAATAGACTCCGGCTACAAAAAGATAGCAGCTGTTTCATTCAAAGGCACTAATGGCTGAGTCACGACAACCTCATTTCGAAACTCTTCAGCTTCATGCTGGGTATATATTCATTCCCACAGTCCCAAACCGGGTTATACGGATTCTGAGTATTAATGGACACCAAGCCAGGAGCCTGACCCTGCGACCAACGCTCGCGCTGTGCCTATCTATGCGACCACGGTTAGTTTACCCACCGAGTACTCCTTTCCTTTCAATCCAGTTGTATATAGTGGTCTATTAAGCGATACTAATATCTGTAGTCTTATACATTTAATGATTCTGCACATGGCGCCAGGCTTTTCGGCCTCAAAGAGTTCGGCAATATCTACAGCCGTATCATGAATGTAAGTGACGAAAGGTCGCTAGCTGTAAACGAGCTAATCACACTAATTCCTCACAGCCGACAGTCGATGTGTTCGAGAAGCGTATTGCAGCTCTCGAAGGTGGTGTTGCAGCGGTAGCAGCCTCGTCTGGCCAAGCGGCTCAGTTCATGGCAATCTCAGCACTTGCGCATGCAGGTGACAATATCGTCTCAACCAGTAACTTGTACGGAGGCACATACAACCAATTCAAAGTTTTGTTCCCTCGGTTAGGGATCACCACCAAATTTGTCCAAGGAGACAAACCAGAGGATATCAGTGCGGCAATTGACGACCGCACCAAGGCCGTTTATGTCGAGACGATTGGAAATCCTCGGTATAATGTGCCTGACTTTGAGGCTATCGCCAAGGTTGCTCATGAGAAAGGTGTGCCCTTGGTAGTATGTATAGGTGCATTTTGTGATTGGTTGGCGCAAACGTTGACCATGGACTAGGTTGATAACACCTTCGGGGCCGGTGGCTACTACTGCCGTCCTATTGAACATGGTGCCGATATCGTCGTGCACAGTGCAACTAAATGGATTGGTGGCCACGGTACCACTATCGGTGGTGTCGTGATAGATAGCGGAAAATTCGATTGGGGTAAACATGGCGTCCGATTTCCGCAATTTGTGGAGCCGTCCGAAGGTTACCACGGCCTGAAGTTCTGGGAGACCTTCGGGAATTTAGCATTCGCAATTCGTGTCCGCGTTGAGATCCTTCGGGATCTCGGGTCAGCACTGAATCCATTTGCCGCACAGCAGCTAATCCTTGGTCTGGAGACTCTTAGCTTGCGTGCTGAACGACATGCAGTTAATGCCTTGGCTCTGGCGAACTGGCTGCGTACAAATGACAACGTGAGCTGGGTTTCGTATCCAGGACTCGAGGATCATCCCAGCCATGGCACCGCTAAGCGCTATCTGAAGCGTGGCTATGGCGGTGTCTTATCCTTCGGTGTCAAGGGAGGCGCTGCTGCTGGAAGCGAGGTCGTCGACGGATTCAAGTTGATTAGCAATCTAGCTAAGTACGTCCCTCAGGTAGTGACTACGAATTGCTACATCTTTAGCTGACCAACCTGGTAGTGTCGGAGATTCCAAAACGCTTGCAATCCATCCTTGGTCTACGACGCATGAGCAACTGACCGAGCAAGAACGGCTTGAATCTGGTGTTACTGAAGACGCTATCCGTATTTCCGTCGGGACTGAGCACATTGACGATATCATTGCCGACTTCGAACAGTCATTCAAGATTTCCAGTACCGCACGCACCTAATAGGGAGTTACAATGAAGAGACAGCCGCACCATAGACTGTCTATACCTGTTATCGGGAGCCGTTGAAGTAACCTGGCAATATGAGAAAACTTGCGAATCGACCTGGAGTGTATATACGTAAGGCTTGCTAAGGAATGAGTCAAATTATTACGGGCACTACGTATGAACTTGCAAAATCTAAGGTTGTGTCAAAATATCTTCAATTTCCTCAGATACGTATGTATGTACGTATGTTCCGTATATACTGTACATAATATAACAACGTATGTACATCCGATCTAAATAGTAATGACCGAAGTAGTATTTTAAACCCCATCTATGGGTTGGAAATGACAACAGCCTTAGTAATGTGTAAAACGGCACTTTTCTTCAGTGTTCACCCCTTGCTATGGTCCAGTAATTTTGGAAGTACTGGTACAGCATCACAAAATTGAAGTCTCTTAAGAACTATTTTCAACAAATTTATTTGGCTTAAATACAAACGGGAATTGAATGCCCGAACATATCGCCAGACACCACATTATTTGAAGGGTAAAACAAAAGTGCACCGTGCAGATATGCAACTGCATTGCTGATTTTCGAATACGGGAGAGAATAAACCACATTAAGCCGCCCAAGTTCAAGGGAAATGAAAAGGAAATAAGGCACGAAAGAAAGCGGCGCATCACTATTTTCTCAAAGAAACATTCGGATTTAAGCCAATGGCATCATCTGAGAGTACCAGCACACGCATGAAGACAAGACAGTATCCACAATGTCCGATTACCCACTCAAACGGGGTGAAGATCACTTCCACTGATGTGAATATGCCTTTGAAGGATTTGAGGAAGAGAGTTCCAACGCCATGTTCCGTATATGATTTACAATGAAATATAAAAAATAAAGCTCGTATCAAAACAAAGGCTGAATGAAAGAAGTAAAGACGTTGTCTTCACTGTAGCAATATTTGCCTTATCAGGTCGAACTTGATCAAGAACTTAGTTGCCCCCTTGGCCCGGGGGTGGGGGCTGTGATGACCCGCTAGATGTTCCTGCTTGTGCTCCTCCCATCATGAACCCTGGAGGGAACATGGGCATACCTGGAAAGGAAAAGCCAAAGCCGGGCACAGCAGGAGGAACGCCGACATTGTTTGCATTGGCGATATCTCGATCGGGTTGGCCACCGCCAGGGCCCATTCTAGCCGACGGTCCGTCCCGGTCTGGTCGGGGGAAGCGGTCCTGCTGAGTGCGGGATGAGATAGGACCCCGTTTGCCCCCGGTGTCTGTTGCAATCCGCCTGCTGATAGCTACAGGAATAAGTCAACTTGTGGTATTCCTAAGTTCGAGTGTAAGATAAACAAACCTTTAGATGAGACTCCAGCACCGATCTCGATATCTGGCTCTTCAACGACCATACCACTCTCGATGGGTCTGCCTCCGGTCCCACCATATTCAGCTGTGAGCATCCATTTCCGATCTGCCTCCGTAAGTCGTTCAACCGGAATTATACTAATGCCTGTCTGGTAGTCGCTACAGTCACGCGGTCCGAATCCGACACCCCATCGAGTCTGGAGACTGATTAGACTCGATCATTAATTACGATGAGGCGTACTTACTCTAAGTTGCATGTCTCCAGACTTATAGGATTCCATACCTTCACGGGCATGCACAGCATCCTGGCGGCTGATCATCTTGATGAAAGCATGACGTTTATCTATATTGACAATGCAAGTCTGGACGATGCCAAATTTGCCAAATAGAGAGCGCAAGTGCGCCTCCGATGACCTACTAGGCTGTTAGAATCCGAGATGCGGAGAATCACAGACATCGACTCACGTTACACCGCCAACGAAGAGGGTTCGACTCAAAACTGCATAGAAAGTTAGTTAAGAGGACGGAAACAAAGCGTTTGCGATCGAACCGGTACGGACCTTTAATATTGCCTTGGCCGATGGAGTAATCCCACTCGATAAATTTGGGCCCGGGAGGTGGCAGAGTAGGGTCCTTACGAGGAGGAGACGGAGTACGACGTCTACGCCCAGGAGGGCTGCGCTGACGATAATCATTCCCACGCCGGCCGCGGGGATCACCACCCCTGCGACCGGGAGAGTCACCATGGTACTCACCGTAGACAGGACTATCACGGCGACGAGGAGGAGACACATCGCGACGTCTATCCCAGCCTGGCGACCGGGAACGGCGACGATACTGGCCTGGAGGTGAGCGCATATAGTCACGATCCCGTTCACGGTCCCGGTCGAACTCACGTGATTGGGAATCGGGACGGCCCCAGGCATTGACATTTTGACCTGGCAAGTTAAAGCCAGCAGCCTGGGTAGGATTCATGTTGCCCATGTTAGCGGCATTAGACAGACTAAGGATCTGCAGAGCGGTGGCCCACTGGTCTTGTGGAATTCCCTGTGCGGCCAGGAGCTGTAAGAGCTGGAGTTGCTGTTGCAGCGCATCGGTCGCAACAGCGGGAGTGGGGTGGGCTGGGGCTGTAGTAGCCTGTGGCAGTAGCGCAGCCAGTGGATTCTGTGTCGCAGTCAATGGATTTGGGGTCTGACTCTGGCTTTGCGGTTGTACCAATGCCGTGTTTTGAGCGACATTACTCAAGGCCGCGAAAGGTGTCGCCATAGCCCCAGCAGTAAACGGGTTTACGCTAGCCTGCCCATTCTGGGATTGTGACGCCTGGTCTACGGATGACGACACTGGCTGCGGAGCTGCACTCTGCTGTGTTAAAGTACCAAGGGGATTAGACTGCGGTGCTACTGCTGGTGCTGCTGACGCTGGGGGAGCCGCTGTGTTTTGTTTGGCCATATCAGCGAGGGCTTTCAATATACTAGAGGTATCTGGCACCGATTGAGGAATCGTCGAGGTTGCGCCATTAGATGGCGGCAGTAGCTGCGACTGCTGAGGACCCCCAAGAGGAATGTAAGTTGGGGCTGGGGAACCCTCAGGTGTAGTGGACTCAACATCTATAGAAGCAATATCAGAATTCTGTTTGCACTTATATTGGCGTTTGGAAGAGCCGTCAATGGCTCCTTAGGTTATACAACCAAGTCGGGGTACGGCGTAATGGCGTGCATATCATATAAAATGGAAGGGAAGGGAAACAAGCTTACTGTGTGCTGCGGGTGCGTTTAGTTTTTCTTTGAATGAGGCAAGCATGGGGGCGGGGAAAGTATATCCACGCTCCCAAATATCAACCAGCTTCCTGATTTTTTCCTATATGAAGAGACCATCGAATACGTAAGTTGAACTATTCGCCACAGATTGACAGAGTAAACACCTAGAAAAGGAACGGCGGGCTCTATGCAGAAAGGGGGGATATATAGCGGGAGATACGTAGATCAAATCTTATACAGGCCACACGGCGGGATTTGAACGTAAATCTCCGCTTTTTATCGGCCGTACGCATGCCCGCAAGTTGTGTGGTAGTTTGATAGCTGTATGCATCTTGCATCTAGAGCGTACCTTTTGATCCTCAGGAGCGTTGTTTATGATATCAGTCATCAAGACAGGTAGTAATTCGGACACTCTGTTAACACCAGCGGCGAAGGTTCCATCAGGAGCGGCACTACCAGATGGCTGACCTGCCTTGCGCGCTGCTTCTACCCACTGTCGAGTTACAGAGTCTACGACATAGAGTACGCCCAACTTGTGTGTTCCCGGAGCCTTCTTGAAGTGTGTATAGATCTTCTGGATAAGAACGGATTCATTCTGCAAAAGGAAGAATTTCTGTTAGCTTGCCATTCACTCCTATGATAGCCCTTGTCAATCCAAGCCCGAAGGGATACAATACCTGAACGTTTGCGGTGCAAAGCGACGTTATACTGTTGATCTTAGATCCTGAGACACCAGGAGGCTTAAGGGCAAGCATAGACTGGAGATAATTGTCCAGTTCTGCTACAGCAGACGACATTGTTGATAGTATGTATTAGAGGGGCCGGGATCCAGTACGGGGATATGGTTGATAGATTTTCCCAGGAAGTTCTTTGACAAAACCTATCGCTTCAAATAATATAGTATAAGCGGCTAGGTGTATGAAGGGGCCAACGAGTCGTTTCTACTGGGAGATCCAGTTCGGTCAAGAAGATAGTGATTCTTAGTGATAGCTGCTGTGCTTTTGGATCTCAAGACGTAGACAAGTTCCTAAGCGGACTTCTGGTCGTAGCACTACAGAATTCCACGAGCGGATTTCTGGCGACCAGGGGGGGCTTCCGCCTACAGCTGGAACACAGCCAAGCGATGGTGTCCAGGAGTTTTGCGACTCGCGAGCGAGTATGTGTACAAGGTACGTCCTAAGGTGAAAGTTGTCAGGAAAATCAAAAGAAAGGCAGATGTGATAGATTACAGTGTAGAACAAAAAATGTAATAAAGGAGTAGATAAAGGTTGACGTGAAGGTGATGCTGTGAAGTGAAAGAAGTAGTAAGGAAGGAGTGATTTTCCGTAGACAAGGCAGTTAGTCAGGTGAGGAGAAAAATCATAAGTTGCGCTAACCCTGAATCGGTAAACCCACAATTTCACCTCTTGAACCTTGAAATTTCAGTTTGGTGCCTAAGGCTCTAAACATATGTCACGTGTTGATGGAGCCTCCCAAAAGTCTACTTACTAAGCCTCAATGATGACCTCAGAATCAAACTGCGCTAGCAATATTGGCCTCAGGCTGATATAAATCCTTTACTATACAATTCAATACCACGTGACCTACAACCAATAGAGAATACAGTATTGAACTGTATAGTAAAGGATTTACCTCAGCCTAAGGCCAATATTGCTAGCGTAGTTTGATTACTTTTGAACACCTCCGTACTGCTAATTGAGTTAAGGCGTTGTCCTTCTAGGTGCAGGCCCACAGAGGGAGGCTGAAGAATCTGCAGTGGTAAAGTACGGAACAATTGAAATATACCACAGAGCATACGTAGCAAAACAATATCTGCCGCATACTCCGTTTCTCTAGCAAGGTAATTTAACATAATTAATTGACACCTTGTTCATAACCTGGCAGTACTCAATTGGTTATCTGATTCTCGGTACGGAGTACGGAGTACGGAGTACTACTTTGGTGATGGGTCCGACCCAAACTCGGGTAGTGGCCGACGTCACTAGCCATGGGAACTTCAATTGAAAGTAAATTACTCCGTTTACGGATGGAATGCGTGCCGAGATCGTCAGTTTTGCTGGCGAGCGACCACGCAGTCTGTAGCAGACAAAATCAAATCGAATTATGTGATTTTAAGGATGTACTGCAGACCTTGGGGTAAAGGAAGACAAGGGTAACCATGTCGGTAAAATCTATCATAACGAAGAGTTTGGTAATACCAATAATGAAAGGAATTAAGGGGAAATAAACAAGAACGAGAGCCTGTTCTGCCTAGGTAATCAATTACTCCGGTACTCCGTCCCGCGCAACGGAAGCTGGCGGGCGAGGGATCAGACACCTTACATCGCCGATGGAAGGGATTCGGTAGACCGGGCCACCTTCCTGGGCATAGCATTACGGTACAGTACGGAATCCCGCCATTGCCTTGCCTCACTACCGACCTTTACTGTACCGCTCATGTACCGGCTGTACTGTTACGGTCAGATGGGAAAAAAAAAAAGAGCTTCTCCCGAAACCTCAGCATCTTTCTTCTTCTTTCTCTCTATCACTATCTTAATATACCCAAACCCTCTCCATTCATCAATTATACTCAACCGCCCAACCAAGGTTGTTTAATTCGACATGGCTTCTTCCTTGAGACTCGGAACTTCTGTTCTTCGTTCCACCTCTTTCGCCGGCAAGCCGGTCGTGCAGTCCGTTGCCTTCAATGGTTTGCGCTGTTACTCTACTGGCAAGGCCAAGGTTTGTCATATTGTCTGGATTGCTATCGATTCCTGACTTGGCTAACTGCAATGACTTCGAACTATGCAGTCCCTGAAGGAGACATTTGCCGACAAGCTCCCTGGCGAGATTGAGAAGGTCAAGAAGCTCAGAAAGTATGCACAACACGCGAGTGATACCTTGAGCACCAGTCCATTTGCTAACCACGCCAATCAACGCTTGTAGAGACTATGGCAACAAGGTCGTCGGCGAGGTCACCCTCGACCAGGCCTACGGCGGTGCTCGTGGCGTGAAATGCCTTGTGTGGGAAGTATGTCATGACGCAACGGAGCCAACAGCTACCAATGAGGATTTGCTAATTCTAGTTCAGGGTTCTGTTTTGGATTCCGAGGAAGGTATCCGTTTCCGTGGATACACCGTATGTCATCCGGCTCTCTCTTGTGGGAAACATCATATACTCATGGTTACATAGATCCCCGAATGCCAGAAGCTGTTGCCCAAGGCTCCCGGTGGCGAGGAGCCTCTTCCCGAAGGTATACCGATCTAGAAGATGATTGTGCACCTTGCTAATATACCGTAGGTCTCTTCTGGCTGCTGTTGACCGGCGAAATTCCCTCGGAGCAGCAGGTTCGCGATCTGTCTGCTGAGTGGGCTGCTCGCTCTGACCTCCCCAAATTCATCGAGGAGCTCATTGACCGCTGCCCCAGCACTCTTCACCCCATGGCTCAGTTCTCTCTGGCTGTCACTGCCCTTGAGCACGAGTCCGCTTTCGCCAAGGCCTACGCTAAGGGTATCAACAAGAAGGACTACTGGAACTACACCTTCGAGGATTCCATGGACCTCATTGCCAAGCTTCCTACTATCGCCGCCAAGATCTACCGCAACGTCTTCAAGGACGGCAAGGTCGCTCCTATTCAGAAGGACAAGGATTACTCCTACAATTTGGCCAACCAGCTCGGCTATGGCAACAACAATGACTTCATTGAGCTCATGCGTTTGTACCTGACCATCCACTCTGATCACGAGGGTGGAAACGTCAGCGCTCACACCACTCACCTTGTTGGTAGTGCTCTGAGCTCCCCTATGCTTTCTTTGTCTGCTGGTCTGAACGGGTTGGCTGGACCTCTTCACGGATTGTATGTTTATCCCTCGCTTAAAGGAAGACGAACTGGAAATAGAAAGACGGAAGGATGCGAGACTATAGCTAACATGTTTACTTCAACAGGGCGAACCAGGAAGTGCTTAACTGGCTTACAAAGATGAAGGCAGCCATTGGCAACGACCTCAGTGACCAGGCCATTAAAGACTACCTGTGGTCCACTCTTAACGCTGGTCAGGTTGTTCCCGGATACGGCCACGCCGTCCTCCGTAAGACCGATCCTCGTTACGTTTCTCAGCGCGAGTTTGCCCTTCGCAAGCTTCCTGATGACCAGATGTTCAAGCTCGTCAGCCAGGTTTACAAGATTGCCCCTGGCGTGCTGACTGAGCACGGCAAGACCAAGAACCCCTTCCCCAATGTCGATGCTGTAAGTCTATTACGCATTTCCAGATCATCTGATTACAAGCCAACGAATTCTGACCTATCTCTAGCACTCTGGTGTCCTTCTTCAGTACTACGGCCTGACTGAGGCCAACTATTACACTGTCCTGTTTGGTGTCTCTCGTGCTCTTGGTGTCCTGCCTCAGCTGATCATTGATCGTGCCCTTGGTGCCCCCATTGAGCGCCCCAAGTCCTTCAGCACTGAGGCTTTCGCCAAGCTTGTCGGTGCCAAGCTGTAAATTTGTTGAGTGACGCGAGAAATCGGAGGGGGTTTTCATGATTAAGCACACCATTTTGTATTTTTCCCTTACTATTTTATTAGACTAGGATGTGACGAGTGCTGTGGTTAGTTTGATTAATGTATGATAGGACCTGGTCCGAGCGGACCTTGTAACAGCGCTCCAATATCGTGCCGATCTTTTGACTAGATGGCTTCTTTCCCATTCCAGCTCATGCGTGATGAAAACAATTACTACAAATTAGAAAGTGACAACTCTGCTCTTCAAATCCTTTCTTTCTATAGAGGGAAAGAGCCACGACTCGGTCCGATGCAAGGGACCAGGAAGAGAAGGAATGAATGTGAAAGTAATAATAATGTCAAGTAGCAACAACAATAATAATGATGAGGCAGCCGCCAATACACAAGTACAGTACCGGCTATAGTGCGCATGTATGTGCATACGTGCGGCTTTAAACCACCTTGTGATTTCCGAGGTTTATCTGATATGGACTCCATGCGCTTGCTGTGTACTCCGCAATGATCGCACAGCTCATGTCTATCACATGAATAAGTGTCTAGGTACTACATACTGTACTGTAAGTCTGTAAGCTAGTATTGATGCTACCTATCAGTAGTGTGATATCACAATCGCTCGCATACTGGATGAAGCTGTCCCCCAAATAGGTAAAGAAAAATACAGACAAGATAAAGAAAATAGTGTTATGAGAATTCGGTACCTTCCACCGGACCTAGGAAGCATAAATAATATATGGAGTAAGTACGGAGTACACCATACATACATTTAGTTAAGGTTCAGCATACTAATATTTTATTTTCAAGGTCTGTACACATACAATTTGATGACCCGTAGCAAATGTGAGTGGCGAGTTGCCCATGGCTGTTTGTTTACATCTTGAGATCTTCAGGTATCTGGGGCATGAGCCAGGAGGTTGAGAGGAATTTGAGACTAGGATCGAGAAGGCTCAACCATTTCTGTAAATTGCAGCGTCCCAGGACAGCCAAGAATAGTAAATGTTGGGGGGCACCCGATTTGCTCCGTTGGCTCAACTGAAGCCAATTACACCGCCGGACCACACTGGGCCTAGTGCCAGGACTCAGCCTAGAAATGCTCTAATTAGGTTTAGTGTCTCCCCAATGTCTCCGACGTCGGTTTTGTTTTTGCAGTTTAAGGGGACGGCAACTGGCCTTAGGCCGTCGAGTACCTAGTCGGGTCTAGCACCTAGTTAACTTGGAGTACGTACGCCGGGTTATCCATCCTCCTAGACTTTATATTTCCGCTCTTTCCTGTGCTGTTTGACCATCACTGCTTGACCTTTCCCCTCTACTTTATCGGCTACTTAAATCGCCCCCTCATTTGCCAACGTACACCTTTCAAGAACTATTCCCACCGCTTGAAGTTCGATTGAAAGCAATCGTTGCCCCTGACGTTCCCATTGCAAACAACAGTCGACTTCACCTGATCCCTTAGGCGACGAAGCCCCCAGCATCCCTTGGTCAGGGCCCCTTTCAGCGCTCCCCAAGGTTAGAGATGTCTACCACCACAGCTGAGATGGCCTCTGCCGGCCACAAGCTCGAGAAGAAGCCCGTCAAGTTCAGCAATCTGTTGCGTAGGTTTCACCCAACATTATAGATAACGACTTGGTTCTGATAGCCTTTGTGCAGTCGGTGCAGGATTGAATATGTTCGAGTAAGTTATGCAGCTTATACTCTCTGTCCACTGAAGTGAAAAGGGAGAGGTCTTGGGTACTGACATGATTACTTAGGGTCACCACTTTGGGACAGGTATCATATTTTCGATATACCCAATGAAATTTGGTGGTCTTGCTAATGTTTAATTTAGCCGCTGGAAGTGATCAAGACGACCATGGCCGCCAATCGAGGCGACAGTTTCGCCAGCGCTATGGGTCGGATATGGGGTCGTGGCGGGATCCTCGGTTGTAAGTAGCCTTTTTCTACGTTATCCGACTAGTGTGGGGGCTGCAGTCTCTGACATGGGATGTCTCTACAGATTATCAAGGTCTCATTCCGTGGGCCTGGATTGAGGCCTCCACCAAAGGCGCCGTTCTCCTTTTCGTCGCGTCCGAGGCGGAATTCCGTGCCAAGGTGCTCGGTGCGCCAGACTTCCTCGCTGGTATCTCAGGAGGCATGGCGGGTGGTATTGCCCAGGCATATGCCACTATGGGTTTCTGTACCTGTATGAAGACGGTCGAGATCACCAAGCACAAAATGGCTGCCCAGGGTGTAAAGCCTCCAAGCACCTTCGCGACTTTCATGGATATCTACCGCAAGGAGGGCATCCGTGGTATCAACCGCGGTGTAAATGCGGTTGCTATCCGTCAAACTACAAATTGGGGTTCCCGTTTCGGTCTTTCTCGCCTTGCAGAATCAGCAATCCGCAGGGTGACCAACAAGGAAGAAGGACAAAAGCTTAGTGCAATGGAGAAGGTCTTAGCCTCTGGTCTTGGTGGTGGCCTCTCTGCTTGGAACCAGCCTATTGAAGTCATTCGTGTCGAGATGCAGAGTAAGAAGGACGACCCCAACCGGCCTAAGAACTTGACCGTTGGCAAAACCTTCAAGTATATCTACGAGACCAATGGTCTTAAGGGTCTTTACCGTGGAGTTACTCCTCGTATAGGACTAGGAATCTGGCAGACCGTCTGCATGGTGGCTCTTGGTGACATGTGAGTTGATTATTCCCCTAGGTGTCTAGGACCAGTTGTAGTTTTCGGGCCAAGGTTATCATGCCCCGAAAACACAGGTTGTCTGATCACCATTTCCCCGATTTTCATGTGATAGCCGAGGAGCGGAATTTGGCTAACCTGTGGGTCTCCGTCGTACCGAATAGGGCCAAGGAGGCAGTCGAAAAACTGACGGGCGATCAAGTCACCGCTAAGCACTAGAGAAGGTTTGAGATACCCTTCTACTATGCACGGCTCGGGAGTGGTTGGGCAATGGAGTCTCGTATTTAACTAAGTACATCGGATGGAATTACCATAAATCACGTGCATGAGGTACCGAGTACTTTGGACTCATGCTACTTAGGAGTCATATGTCCGCCTATAATAGTATCTATGAGATAGTAATCAGCACTGATGGTGCTAGTTTTACTTTCCGGGGGTTATTAATTCTTTTTAATCTCATAACGTAACCGGCAAGCGTTCCGCTCACGCCAGCAGTCCGCTCACCTCTGTATTGTATAGAAAAGGACATATTTTTGAATATTAATATCTCGACCAATTCAAGCTCTGTCTACTTAAAACTTTATCTGTAGTCTATTCTATACCAGAATAGTAGAGTATAAAATTTAGGGACTTTGTAACGGCGGTATACTATATAGATGCCCCCAGGGCATTCGGGATCGTTGATCCCGAATTATATGGCCTTTTGGCCTTGTGGAATAGGGTGCCCTGGCTCTATCTCTTTACAGACTTCACCAGTATTTAATTATCAGAATAATATAAATTACAATGTATTTTATAGTATATAGTTATAGTCTATTCTTCTCAGACTTTATTTTAATTACTATTCAAGTTATATATAAAGAATATCTATACTGATATAATATGAAAATTATAGATTGATATATCTGATAGTAGTTGATATCAATATTCAAAAATATGTCCTTTTCTATACAATACAGAAGTGAGCGGACTGCTGGCGTGAGCGGAATGTTACCGGGTTACGTTATGTACATATGCTGTTTTTTTGTGCTTCCGAGTCGAAGCCAAAAAGACCAGATATACAGTAGTCCAATTAGCCCATCCAGGTAAATCCCAAAATTTCACACGTAAATATTCGGTAGTGATAATGTAGGATGCTACTATGTATGAGACTATGAGCACCCAAATCCTGCCTCTGGATAATGTTTTTTTGTTTTGTTTTCTTTTTTTTAAAAAGTAAGAGGGTCCATGTAAGGTTGTACCGTGTTTCGCTACTACTAGTACTACTAGTAATTTCCTACCGCTGTGCATTAATGGCTTTTATTGGTTGACTTATAGCATGACACATTTCCGGCCAATAGAAAGCTGGAAATAAAAGTGGAAGGGAACCACAGGATACAATATCATAAAATACAAGCCCACTAAATCTTCGGGGCCAGAGACAGTACAAGCAGCGATGATGGTGTGATTCCCATTCAATATACATATGGATGTACAGTTCTACACCAAAAGTTTGCATTAAATGCCTTTTTTGCACCAAAACTTGATGTTTTTAAATAGAGATTTCTGAGCGAAATCTTATAACCTCGTCTATTAAATAGATTCAAATGATAAATAATTATCTAGATTATATTACAATAGACTCCCAATAAATATAATTGATATATAATGCTGTAGTAATAAGCCAGAGTTATATATAATTAAAAGAATATCGCTTTCCATACAAATTTATGCTCATGAGGGAAGATATATATTTGGTTAAACCTTGGGCTTTTCTAGAAAATCAAGAAACTGAAATTAGGAAAATATCTATAAATAAGAAGTATAGCTCTATAAACTACTTTTAAAATTAATTTCTATTTATATAGTTACCATATAAAAATATCGAGAAATCTGCTTCGAGAGACGTCGAGGGTTGGTAGAAAATAGGGATTTAACGGAAACTTTTGATGGGGATTACAATCGTGCAATGAGTTGTGTAAATACTTTGTACATTGACGGGGGTTGTCCAACATTTTAATGTACACCCTAAATATTGGTATGATAAAAAATGACTGTATTGTTTACGTTTATACTGATTTATATAGCCTTCCACATTGTTACCATAGCGTCAAGCACTGCAAAGGCAGACCAGGCAGGGAACTAGAAATCTCCTCAGTTAAACTCTTCTGGGAGGATAACCCTAGAGGAACATAGCACATGAACCCACATTATACTGTGATGTAAAGAGTATTGGATAAGGTACAATTGTATTACAGTCACACAACTACAACCACGTCACAAAAGAAATATCTGCGAAGACTGATCTAGACACATGAGAAGGGGGTGACGCCTCTGTTTTTTTTTTTGCAAAGACAGTCTAATATGTATTGTATACACTTTAAACGGTCAGACCAAGGTCCTCGCCGTAAGGGAGCTGGAAGAGGTCTCCAACAGAGGCGACAGAGGCCTTGCCAGAGAGGAAGTTCTTTGCGGCCTGTGAAAGAGAATTAGTCATCTTCCTGTTTTCAAAGATACCAACACAAAGTGAATATGATATACTTACATCCGTAACCTGGGCCTCCGTAACGGCGTCAATGCTTTGAGCGATTTCGCCGATCTGGTAAGGCTTGCCGCCGCTGAGAAGAGCAGAGCCAGTGGCCTCAAGACCGGTTTCGAGGTTCTGAGCCGACTCAAGAGCACGGAACTTCGCCAAAGCGATTGCCTTTTTGATGTCTTCGCTAGCAACTTCGCCGGCGGCCACCTTCTTGAGGGCATCCACAGCATTCTTGCTAGCTGAAGCAACATGATCGGCCTTGCCAAAAAGTGAAATGGTGAAGAGGCCAGCATCGGAGTAGGTGTGGCTCTTGGTAGAGGCACGGACCTGGGAGAAGCCCTGGGTAGCCTGAGCCAGGAGGGAGAAGCCAGGAGTCCATTTTATAGTGGACTCACCACCTAGGAGGGCAGCAAGGACAGAAGCCTCAGGCTTGTAGCCAGAGGTGCCGAAAGCAGCAGAGCCAGGGAATGCAATGACAACAGCGTTACCGGCTTTGGAAGAGATGCGCTGCTCGCCGCCATGGTACTTGGAAGTTGCGCCGGGCTGGAGCTGATACTGACTGGAGCTGCCAGAGCTGGGAAGTTCCTTGAAGAACTGGCCAACCCACTTGGAAAGGTCAGCAGAGTTCGAGCCACTGCCCACAAGGGCAATGTTGGACTTGGCATAAGCCTGCTGGGCGAACTCGGCGAGGGCTTCAGCCGAAAGGTATTTCTCGAAAGGAGTAGTGGTAGAAGGGGTAATGCTCTCACCCAGGCCGCGGTGGAAGGCCAGAGCGTGAGCAGCATCGACAGCCTGTTGCTCAGGGTTGGCGGCAAGGGCTTGTTGTCTGAGCTTGAGGTGCTTGATGACGACCTCATTCAATTCGTGGGCTGATGGACCTGATTAGCCCTTCCATCGGAGCTGATATGACCACCCTGGTGACATACCTGCAAACTTTGACTGAGAAGCAACCTCTGCCAGCAATTCGGCAAAGTAAGGAAGATCGTTCGAGAGAAACTTGGCCTTGAGGACAACATTTTCACGCGAGTGTGTCGAAGAAACTTCACCGCCGAGCAGTTCAACCTCCCGGTTGATCCGCAGCGCCGACCGTTTGAGTGTAGACTATCAATTGATGAAAATCTCGTCAAAACCCATCTAGTATAGTAACGCGTAGCCTGTAAGAGTGGGCATTGAGTGCCGGAACTAACCTTGAAGGCGAATTGTTCGAGAGCATCGGAGAACCCAGGGAAAGGCTGGTGACGAGGGCCGGCCTTTGCAACCAACGCCAGGGTTGCTGTAGGGCCTGCTACTTCTCTATTGGCGAGCTTCACGCCAGCAGCCTCGGTGACATCGTACTGAAGGCCTGGGGTCGCAGCAGAGGCCATGCTTCGACGGCTGTTGATGCCGGCAGCAGAGCACTGCTTCTGGAGCGCACGGGGCGCATTTCGGCTGAAAGTAGACCGCGACAGCATTATCGCATGTGCGGAATATAAAATATGTGAGGTAGAAGATAGGAAGCCGAGAGGCTCGACAGCAATTGGAGAGGGAGGGGTGAGAGGGAGAGCAGAAGAGTGCTTCTGACTGTCGTTGGGCGGGTTGGAAACGATGTCTGAAAAGCTTCAAGATGCCGGAGCCTTGATTACTCTCTCTCTGATTGGTCAGAATGGCGAGTGCGGGCGGAACCGGCTTTTCCTCGTCCTCCGTGTCAGCTGATGTCACATGATATGTAGTTACACGTGACCACAGTGAAGCATTGCGATAAGAGAAAAAAAAGTAGGACGGAGAGGGGGAAAGGGTAGCTTGCGTCGTTTGCTATGCAACCAGTTTGCGCTTCCGTTATCTATTAGCTGGCTGATACCAGTTCCCTATGACTATCTGGCGGTGACCGCTGTTTCCTTCTAGAGAATTGAAGCTGGTAAATTCTCTAGAAGTCTTGAGTTAATATGACTTCCCAAGTATGTGACTGCTCCATCTACATAAGTCTCACTCGTTAACCTGATGGATGGCAGTATGCTGGAGAGCTCTGTACGCTCCTTGTCGAAGATAACTTTGGGGAACTGTTTGCGGTAGGTTTGCACATGGGCACCTGTCAACTACTTTCCCACTCTTGCCTGGAACCTCGGTGAGGAACGAAAAGCATGATGTGGCTGACTCTTATGTACCTCGCGGACACAGCGCATTTTCTCGACACTAAATCGCTATGATCGACTTTCCTTTCCCCGGCTGAAATTCTACTCTCGTCTCTCCAACGCCCAGCTTCGTCATGGTCTCGCAGCCATGATTCAACAACACCTTGTCTACCACTACACGTCCTACGATGACGGCATTACGTACTACGAGCCCAACATGCAATCCGCATACTATCTCATCCGATCCGGGAAGATTTTGGAGCTTATAGAACATCGATTGGGAAAATATGCCGCCACTGTTATGTCGACGATTATGTTTCTTGGCCATGCGCAAGTCGGCTATCTTGACACCCTTCCGGCTCTAAGACCTTCGAATTCCGATGTCGATAGAGCCACCGAGGAGCATGAGGTAATTCAGGAAACCGAAGAGTATCAAGGAGAGGAAGCACACCAGGAAACTGACGAACATGGGGAAGCTGAAGACCGACGGAATGGGCTCAATAGTGATTATACTCTTGCTGAACATCCCGCTCTTCTTCATCCGACTTTAAAAGCTTTGGCAGGGCATGGTTACATATTACGCGTCAGGGATGCTCAATTTCAAAGCTATGCCGACAACGCTTTGGATGCGGAGCGCACAATCAAGTCAAGACCGGACATTAAAGCCCTCAAGGGAAAGAAACTAGAGGAGGCTGTTACAGAGGGGACGCTAGAATTGCTCCGAGAACGGTTGGACGGAGATCTCACTCGCGGGTTGATGTTTAATGGAGTACCCCGAGGAGCTAAACGAAGACATACCACTGGAGCTACCGGGACGCCTAATAAAAAGGCGCGAGCTGACTATGCTGCTGTCGACGAGGATGAGGACGGTGAAGACGAAAACGAGTGGTCAGACGATGACTTCGGTGAAGACACAATACCCATGGAGGTAGGTCTTCCCTTTCCTTGAAGCTTTCATGGCCCCGTTGGGGCGGTTGTTCTTTCATAGCAGAACTGATGGAACAGTGCTTAGTCCGGTATCACTGTACGCATAAATTATGAAAAATTGGATGTGGCTCTCCGGAATCGCCGTTTTTTGGAACTTGCAGAGCGGGACTCGTCTCCCGTGACAGCCGAAGTTTACGAATGTCTTCTACGACGTATCGAATACCAGACAGCGAAATGCCGAGATACTACTGAAATCCCTCGCGAGGGAGAGGAGGGCGAACATTATTCTGTGCCAGTTCCTCTAAGAGCAGTGGTAGAGGATGTCGACCTGTTGCTGGACCTGGCAGGATCGGTTGGTCCCATGGAGGTCTCTCAACCTATAAACAGGCGCGGCAAGCGACTGTTGGAAGAAAACGCGAATGGTGTAGCCCATGATGAGATCAACGGGACGCAATCAGATGGAAACCGTACTTACGAAGTCGACCAGCATCTCTGCCTTCTAGCTCAGCCACCTTATAGCCTCACATCAAAACGCATGGTTTCGGGCCTAATCACCTGGACTGTCGAGTTCCGTCACCTGGCACGCAAGCTTCGTCATCTTGAACTGGAACGTATCATCGAAGCGAGATACGGCGATGTTGCATTACGGGTTGTCCGTGTACTCCATGACAAGGGCAAACTAGATGAGAAACGTCTACAGGAAATTAGCCTTCTTCCATTCAAAGACCTACGCCAGGTTCTCGCCAGCATGCAGACGGGTGGGTTCGTCGACTTACAGGAAGTGCCACGAGACGCACTGCGACAGCCTTCAAAAACCATTTTTCTCTGGTTCTATGATCCCGACCGTGTCAGTAATAGTGTCCTAGAGGATACGTACAAGGCAATGTCTCGATGTTTGCAGCGCCTGCGGTTCGAGCGGAATCGGTTGAAGGAATTTCTTGAGAAGACAGAGCGAAGCGATGTCAAGGGCAATGAGGAACGATACTTGTCTGAAGCAGAATTAGTATTACTCGAACAATGGAGGGCGAAAGAGGCACTCTTGCTGGGAGAAGTGGCCCGGTTAGACGACATGGTGGCCGTGATGAGGGACTACTGAGGCACTGAAAACCGTAATGAGCAATGAAATCTAAAAGTTTCGCATTTGCCTGTGCATGTGCATTTATATGGTTGAATGGTTATTGTTGTGCAAATTAGCTACATAAGGGCCAGCCTCTCGCGGTTGATGTTCGGTTAGTTTAAGATCCGTAAACTATAGGACAAAGCTGTTTCATTATAAATCAAACCTAAAGTCGGTTATCGTATATATGGAGTTGTAGGATACCTAGTGATATATATCGTAAAATAGTACTGGTCTCCGAAAGTTCAGAAATAGAGGATGTGAGAAACAGCCTACTAGTTTTGATTACAAAACTCTCGTCCAAATAGAATAGGAACAACAATATACCTGAGCTGATTTCAAGTTAATCGTGATTAGCCGAAGCGGTGTTGGTATTAACATAGTTAGACAGGAGGTTACGGCACGAAAGGCTTGAAGCTAGATAAAAAGAATGAAAAACGGTAAAAACCACGGCCACTCCAGATCACCATTGAAGAAACAAAGCAAATGCGCAAATAAGAAAAGGCCTCCCAGATGCCAAGTCTAGATCAAAAACCCATACCATTTTATACACTGAAAATCCAACCCAACTCTTTCCGGTCACCATCTAACAGTTTCCCGAATTCTGTTGTCGTAAAGCATGTCACATAAAACAGGTGCCTCTAGGCAAAAGAGCATTCGGTTCGAATCACTACGATGTCTCAATCGTAAGATTCTGTAAGGCCATTCGTTGCAGGACTTGTAGGCACACCCACAACCTCGCCAGGCTTCCCCAGTTGCTCATTCTCGTGGCCAACTGAGTCGGCGTTGTGGGTTTGAGAAGTTTCTTTCTCGCCTAGTTGAGCCTCAGCAGCTTCTAGCTTGCCCTTTGTTTCCTCAAGTTCCTTCTTCAATGCTTTAATATAATCAATGGCCATCTCCACGGTGCTGGCCTTGCTAATCTGTTGATTGCTGGGCTTATCTTTCTCCTTTTCACTGCCTCTCAAGCTGCAAGGCGTGGCATCTTTCATATTCTTTATATTGACAAACCCAGCGGGAATCAGAGCTTCAATTTCCTTAAGCGCATTATTGATGCGATTACGTCGGCCTTGCTCTGCAAGCTTATGGTTTGTCCGCTTGGAGCTCAAATTTTCGGCCAACGCTTCGGGATATGATACGCCAGGAAGAAGGGTTCCATCCAAGATATGCTGGTAGTTCGATTTGGAGGCTAGATATAAGGCCGACGTCTCACTTGATATACCCGCTAAACGAGATGAAGTCAGTTTAAAGAACTCGGCTGATTAGTGATCTTGAGTTTCGCTTACATTCTCCTCGGACCAATGGTTGTATGCTAGGACTTATTTTAGGGCGTAGATTCGGACTGGGCTGAGATGAGCTAAGGCTCTGTCGCTTTCTACCCAACGGCCCAAGTTTGGGTGTGTCTGATTTCTTGCCTATTGGCCCGCTTGGAGAAGGCATAGCGACAGTGCGCGGACTAGGAGCTACTGAACTTGGGTTACGCTCAGCCAAGGGAGTCGATTTGGGTTCTAGAGCTGGAGTAACACCGGCTGACGTAGATGGGGATGCTGCATCCGTACGGACACTTCGCAGGGGGGTGTCTATGGTCACTTGTGATTGGGAGAAATGGGTAGTAGGAGTAGCTGCTTCTGGAAGAATAACTTCTTCCATGATATCATCGTGTGACTCGGATGACACAGGGCCTGACGCTTGCCCGGTTGCGGCTGGACTATGCTGCGGCCGCTGAATGCGCATCAACATAGCCGGAGTCGCAGGCTCGTTTGTTTGCGATTGCGCCATCTGAGGAGCAATCGCGGGAGATCTCCGAGCAGAGGGTAGAGCAGGAGGTGGCATCAGAGGCTCTGACAGGGGTTCGGGGGAGACGGAATCCTGGCCGGAGCTATCATTGCTTCCATACCGCAGCCCACTACCAGTGGAGGGTTGTGACTTTGGGCCACCTTGATGTTGGCTGAGGCCGTTCAATATCTCATCTGAGTTAATTTGTAGGAGGGACTTCTTGCGTGTCTGAGGCCGCACCGAAGGGGATTGTTGCTTCTTAGCCCTAGCGGAAAATGTCTTGGTGTTTGATGGTCGGCGTCGGTGTTTCCGAATCAAGCCAGGTGAATTTGGGGACGATGAAACAGGAAGGGAACTGTCAATGGGGGAGTTCACAAAGCCCATATCCGAGACATGGCCAGAATGAAATGGATAGCTGGTTGAATTCGCATTTTGGGCCTCGAGGGCGGGGGAGGTTAGTGGGGTAAAGTACTCTCCAGGAATTGTATACTCTGGCAGCCGGAATTGAGTTTCCAGTGGGGTCATCGCAGGAGACACCAAGGGGGTGTAAAGGGCCTATAGGGAGAGTGCATTAGCCATGCGCATATTGATGTAGAGTTTGTGGCTAGTTGACTGTTTCGCTTACTTGTTCCTCATTTATGCGAGCGTACCGGTCGTACATTTCATGATTCTCATCCACGCGTTGCGGGTATGTGGCCACACTTCCCTGCATTTCAATACTGTTAGGAGTCGGAGGAATCACAGGCTGACCGTGAGGCACGTAAGGCTGGGACGTTGGTTGCGAATGGTGAACATGCTGATGGTGTGACTGCTCCTGGGGCTGTTGCAGTTGTTGGTGATTAAATATCTGGGAATGCGGGGGTTTCTGGGCATAGAAGGCTGGAGTCAATGGGGCATCGGAGAAGGACGCTGGGATAGAGCCGTGCGACTGGCTTTGGTGAACCTGGTTGGAGAGCTCAATGGAGAAATCGCCCATCATGCGGTCATACGACGACGATTGAGGGGCCACCGCATCGGTTTCCATGCGCATAAGCTGTTCCTGGCCCGAAGGAGTGGTTGAGGTAGGCATCGATACGGAATGAGCGACGGAACGAGGAGGGTGCTGGTCGGATGGCCCGTGCCCCTCCATGTCGGGGAAATGCATTCCAAATTCGAGGAAGTTGGAGAATTCATCGTCGCCGGGGGCGGTGATATCCGGCCAGGAAAGCGAATTGTCTTGCTCCATGGCGGAACTCATCAACTGGGATGTTTTTGTTTTCTTCTTCTTTTTTTTTTTTCTTTATTTCCCCCCTCCTTGTTTGTATTTGCGTTAGAGATTGGTAAAATCTACTTCTCTGAAGGGAGTCTGTAACGCAGTGTCGCAGAACGAAAACCAAAAATTCCGATAGGGACAGCAACTCGGGAGTAATTTTGGGGGTATTTGGCAAAACGGTCGGACAGAGCAAGGTTGAGACTTCGGAGATTGAAGCAAAGGATATTGACCAGTGGAGATAAAGAGAAGCGAGCGATGGAGCATCAGCTCAACAAGATAGGTTGGCAGACATGGCGACCGTGGGAAGAACAAGATGAATAGAATCCCGAACGTTGACTAACGGTAGAAGATAAAATCAAGGAGAGCAGGGTATAGATCTGGTGGGGACAAGACAGTGAAGAGCAAGCGAGAGTAGAGTTGAACACGAGCTGAATAGACCGATCGGGCAAGCGACAAAATGTGTTAGTTTTATTAGTTTGTTCGTTACCTACGCAGTAGTGAGTAAGTAAGTAGGTTAAGTCAGACAGTCCTGGGTGGTTCTGTGCCAGCAGGCGGAGATACGGAAGGTTGCTTAATTAATGTCGATAACCGGGACGGGTTGGTTTTAGTTCGAGAGAGAGAGAGAGAGAGAGAGGCTTTTACCATACGCTAAGTAGAAACAAAGAGAAAGAAAAATACAAGGTACATCTGTATGGAGTAGTACCTCTGTACAGTACTAGCTAGCATAGATATAAGGATATGTACTCTGTACATCTGTGTGTATATGCAATACTTACTGATTACCTACCTAGTATCTTATAAAATCACTATTATCTCTATCGGTATGTATGAATATTAAGTAACTCTTTCTTGTTCACATCTTTCTCTGTTTCTATGTGTGTGCGTGCGTGCGCGCGCGAAAATCCTAGGCGATCTAAGTATATATGAGTTTGAAAAAAAAGAAAGGTATGATTGTACAGAACACTCTTGGTACTAGGTGCTTCGTACTAAATACCGCTTCCCATGGAACTAAACCAATTAAAGAAGGTCGAAATACTGAAGGGTAATTAAATATGATTGGACAGGAAGAGACGTAGTCGGAAGGAGATGCTACTAGTACTACTAAAAGGTTCAGTTTATACACCCGGGACTTATTTATGTAGTTGTTATCGATAAGGATTCTATCTAAGAGAAAATAATTTTTCCATATATGATATACACCCTCCATACATCTCCTATTCGCACTTGTAGCAAAATATGTATACGTCCTGAATTTGTGTGGTATCCATCCTCAGAAGGTACAAATTTCGGGGGAACAAGACTTCATTTAAATTGTTTCCCGGTCCAACCATGGATGTCGATGGGTCTGTTAGAAAAGAGACTACTCTTTTAGCCCTCAAGCGAAAGAGCCAACCAGAAAGGTTCTCAGTTACCTAGTGGCAAACTTAGTCTGGAGAGGGGGGAGGTTCTCTCCGTATTGAATTTTTTGGGGGGTGGATCTCAGGTTCGAAACGAAACGACACTTCATTTTCATACCATAATCCTATTATATGATTTGGAAAGACGGGTCGTGGTTCCTGACTGCCTATTGTACCGTGTTATCCAAGTGGCATTTGTTATTCTCTCGTTCAGGGGGAAAATTTCGCTTATGCTACCCTCACTTTTAGGGAGGGCGGCAGTTGCGCTTACGGACTATTATCCATCATTCTGAATTGCATTTAAAATTTTGACTGTAATTATTATGGTTAAACCTTGTGAAATGATGAAACTGCAGTAGTCAGCAGCATCCATTGTATGATAACTAGTCGCATCCTTCAATATTATTAGGAAATATATATACTCCGTATACCCTGGCAGCCGTCTTTCCAAACCGGAGAATGGTAGAGGTAAAGAGAAAACGAAAAAAACCCGACAGATCAAAATCTAATTAATCAATAGATATCATGGCTATTCTTCATTTTTCCTTCTCTAACTTACTACTACTAGTAGTAGAATGAAACGGAGGAGATTCCCCCGATACCGATGTTCTGTCTCTTGTGGGCTAGCTCTGTGAGTGGAGGCACTCTACTGCGTAGCGTGATAGTCTAGAATTACAGGGTAAAGGTGATTGAATGTGGTTTGCTTCAAGTTGCTATGCAACTAATGGTTAGTCTAACCACTATCACTAGCCTAATAGCTTTGTTAGCCTGTAGAATATTCGAAGGACAAGGTAATATTCCACTGAAGGACAAACTATAAATATTATCTCGACTCATAAAGGTCTTAGAAGCATTGTCATTATACCGGGTGTCTTTAATTTTGCCCTAAGTACGTACTCCTACACGACTTGGTTACTGTTTACTCATCTGGGCATGATGACTATTGATAAATATGGACAACCCGCCCTCCCGCATCATGTCTATTACTACTACAATAATTCTCATTCTGCACCTACCGTGGATGGAAAAGTAGTAGTGGCTGATGGTGTTTGTATATAGAAGCTGTTGACCTGACCAGGTAGCTAGCATTCTCATCTGGGTACATACATTTGTTACCAATGCGGGGTTCGGGTTGCTGGAGGGGTCGTGACTTGAACAACGTGACATAGCATGACATAACATGGACACTGCATTCAACAAACATCATTGTATCACCACGCATCACCTCAGCCAAAACGATCGTCTTCTTCATGTTTCTGCTTTCCTTCTCCATGTACATGCTGGGGACCTTGTATAAGATCTCCTTACCCGTTGCCTATCATGAGACCGCCGGTCCCGGATGCCGCGTTGCGTAGGGCCCGCAAGGCCTCCATCGAACAGCAGTGGATCGACCCCCGCAATACTGCCCCCGCGACCTTTTTCCTGGCCCGCAGTCGTGATCACGATGCGGACGAGGAGCTCTCTCCTGATGAGTCGGTCCCTTCAAGGGATAGTATGTATGGTGTACAAAGCCTCGAAGAAGCCGTCCACGATGTCAATCTCCCTGCCTCCGAGTGCGGGCCCTATCTTTCGGGTGGGAACCCTGATTCCACGACTCCGATCGGACAGCAACAACAACAACAACAACCGCCTCTCCACGATCATCTAGATAATGGTGATAACGGTGCTACTTCATTGCCTCGCCGCAAGTCCACTCTCAAACCAAGCGATCTACTCAATGCTAGCAGATTCGAGATTTCCTTACCATCCTCCGATCGCACTTCCCCCCAACCATTGACGCCCTCGAACCTCAGCAACCCAGATGATCCATCTTTTTCTCTCCCAAGCAGTCCCAAGTCGTTCTCCAATCAGTCCCTGAGGCATCTTGATGACATCTCGATCACCGATGATGTAAGCAGTGAGGTTGTCGCGTCAGGAGAAGAAGACAATGATTTCCCGACGCCGTCCAATTTATGCCTTGATAGCGCATCTCAGTTGGTTATGCCAAGTATCAGGATGCCCAGTCGAAGGCCTTTTACAGATCGAGGGAAGTCGTTGGGCCGCCTGAAAGTGCTAATTGCAGGTGCTTCTGGTAAGTACGGATTAGGTTAAAAATATGATCACTGGAGTATTTGCTAAATTAAACTTGTACCTAGGCACTGGGAAAACCTCACTGATCAGATCTATCGTTCAAGCTTGCGAAGATATCGTTCACGTCGACCCCTTTCCCGCCCTGCCCCCTTCGAAATCGTCCCGCTCACCTGGCTCTTCATCCCGAACCTTTCAGACACACAGTATTCCACCATCTGTCACGGAAATTTACGCTAGCACTAAACCATATCCTGTTTGGTGGTCAGACCTAGAAGATTCGCGCGTTTTGCGAAGACGGCGGAGCATGGGTGATGTAGTCCTTGAGCGTAATCTCTGTTTCGTTGATCCTCAGTCCAACTCGTCGGACTGTGCAGGGCAAACTGACATCATTGTACAATATATTCGTCAACAGCTTCTCCGAGCGATGACGTCCCTAAATTCGGCCAATCATGATTTCCAGAATATGCTCGCGGGCAATGGTGGTGCTCAGGTTGACGCTGTCTTATATCTCATCTCCGAGGGTACGCGATGAGTCTCCCCTTTTGCTATATTCTGATTTGCCGGGCTCACGTCTTTTCAGATACCCTTTCTACAGATATTGAATCTATCCGGAGGCTATGCGACTGGACAAACGTCATTCCCGTCGTATCTAAATCAGATCTCTTGTCATCCAGTCGAGTCTCGGCCCTCAAATCCACATTTCATAAGCAAGCCCAAGAGGCCAACATTAAACCTTTCCTTTTTGGGGATGCACCCCTCGGCAAAGTCGACGGGCTCAATGCTCAGTGTCCTTTTGCAGTTTCGTCCGCCAAGTCCGACGATGATGACGTTATGGACGCCAGCACCTTGATGAGCCCAGACTATGCCCAGCCTTTGATGGCGTCCGAGTTAATGCTCTTAGTCCAGATATTATTTGACCGAGAAAATATAGCCTGGATGCGACATTTATCTGCCAAGAAGCTTGCCCTACGGCAACAAGAGCAGTCATACTGGCAGCAGGATGATCTACCAAATGGCGCCCTTCCCGGTGTTCACACTTTACGGGGCGGCCCCTCTAGTTATACCATGGCTCGAATATCCGACTATACTCGTCACGAAGAGAGGTTGGCCCGGGTACAGCTGGAAAAGTGGGCATCTGATCTTCAGCAAAGCCTACGTAATGAACGGGAAAGATACGCTATCATAGCAAGGGGGGATCGTGCTGTCTGGCTCACGGAGCGACTGGGCGAGTGTATTGTAGATGGTTCGTTGGTACCTATCTCACAGACTCCTGGCTTCTGTGGTCTGCATGTGCCCGTGGAAAGAGCAGGTGGCGGTTTTCTAGTCCGGACACAAAACGGAAAGAGGGTAGAATGTCGTATTGCGCGTATAAGCCCTCATGACCCCCTGGGTCTAGTTTGGTGGTCCGAGGATCTCAAGCGACGGGGTTGGACCATTGTCCAAATTGTGGGTAGTTTCGGGGTTGTTGGAGGGCTTGCGCTGTGGCTTGCGAAGGCTTGGGGATTATCCTCACGAAGTTTCTCTGAGTGGCGATTTGATTGGTATTGCACTGGCCATTAAGGGAACACGCCAGCTACAGCGCCTGCACCCCGGGACACTTAGCTGCTAGATATGTATTGTCTAGGATTGAGCAGCAAAAGAAAAGAGTGTGTCAGACTGGATCCATCCTTCTCTGCGAGGCGGCGGCCACCATGTAGCATCCCTGCATAGCTGCTTCCATCCTGGCATTACCTCTCAGTTCCCATGCCCTCCTCCAATGCTCTAGGACTGTTTCTTTAAGGCCTACGAATCACGCTTAGCGAGAATAAGCATGAAGCAATGCATGGCCCAATTTTATGCACTGATGGAGTAAAGGTTGGGGAGTTTCTTTTCGCCTGTTGAGTTTATTGGTCTGTTAATTGCTGATGTCTACTGCCCTTCTCTCTGCTGCATTACCAGCTCACGTGGGTAGCCGTATTCCATGCCGCTTTAGGCTATAAAAAGGCGCCCTATTCCTCTTGATCTCCCTACTCGCAGGTAGGGAACATAAAGAGTAGCTTGGTTCAAGACCGGACATTAGTTATTTATTCGGGCATACAGAAAAATTTATACAGGACTTGGTAACAGTTGAAGGCTTGGATTTTATTCGAAAGGGGAAAAGTTCTACCTATCTAAGATCACTCGATATCCGAACTCGGAAAAGCGAGCGAAAGCAGAAGTCATGAACCAGACGTAATAATTTAAAGTAGTATGATTGGGAAAGCAAACGCTCAAAACGCCGAAAGAGTAAAATTCACATCGCAACTAGAAACCGCTTTTCTCAAGTCCCAGATGAAACGGCAATACGAGTCAGTCAGTGATGTAAGATAATCCTGATGCAGATACTACTGGAACAGGTTTGAATAATAGGTCGTAAAAGCAGTTAAATTTTCGTTTCCGTTGCTGCCGAAACATTTAGTCAACCTCCTCCATGGAGCTCTCGCCGGTGGCAGCGGCAGGGGCCTCTTCAGCGGCCTTCTCCTCAGAGGTCTCGGCCTCCTCGTCGACGTTCAGACCGAGAGAGACAAGCTTGTGGATGCGCTCGGCAAAGCTGGCAGGTTCGTCGATGGTGAAGCCGGAAACCAGGAGAGAGGTCTCGAACAGAAGCTGAGTAATGGACTTGACGGTACGGTCGCTCTCACCATCAGCCTCGACCTTCTTCTTGAGCTCCTTGACAATAGCAGACTTGGGAGAGATCTCGAAGGTCTTCTTAGAAGACATGTAGGAGCTCATGGAGGTGTCACGGAGGGCCTGGGCCTTCATGATACGCTCCATGTTGGCAGACCATCCGAACTGGCCAGTACGAATGGCACAAGGAGAGCCAACAAGCTTGTGAGAGACAACAACCTTCTCAACCTTGTCGCCGAGGATGTTCTTGAGGCTCTTGGCAAGACCCTCAAACTCCTTCTCCTCCTTCTCACGCTCAGCCTTCTCCTCCTCGGACTCCTCAAGCTCGAAGTCTTTGGTGATGTCGACGAGCTTCTTGCCATCAAACTCCTTAAGCTGAGTGAAGGCGTACTCATCAATGGGGTCAACCAGGAAGAGAACCTCAAAGTTCTTCTGCTTGAGGCTGTCAAGGAAGGGAGACTTGGCAACAGCCTTGATAGACTCGCCAGTGATGTAGTAGATCTGCTTCTGGTGCTCAGGCATGCGGGTGACATAGTCGGAGAGGGAGGTGACCTCATCACCAGACTTTGTGGACTGGTAACGGAGCAGCTTAGCAAGGGTCTGGCGGTTCTGAGCATCCTCGTGGACACCAAGCTTAATGTTCTTGCTGAAGGCCGAGTAGAACTTGTCAAACTGCTCACGATCTTCGGCAATTTCAGTGAAGAGCTCAAGGGTCTTCTTGACAATGTTCTTCTTGATGACCTTCATGATCTTGTTCTGCTGCAGGGTCTCACGGGACAGGTTGAGAGGAAGGTCCTCAGAATCAACAACACCCTTGATGAAGCTGAGCCACTCAGGGATAAGATCGGTGGCATCATCGGTGATGAAGACACGGCGAACATAGAGCTTGATGTTGTTCTTGGTCTTCTTGGTCTCGAAGAGGTCAAAAGGAGCACGCTTGGGAATATAGAGAATGGCACGGAACTCAAGCTGGCCCTCAACGGAGAAGTGCTTGACAGCAAGGTGGTCCTCCCAGTCATTGGAGAGAGACTTGTAGAAGGCAGCGTACTCCTCCTGGGTGATATCAGCAGGGTTACGGGTCCAGATGGGTTTGGTCTTGTTCAGTTCCTCCTCCTCGATCTTGCTCTCTTTCACGGTCTTAGTCTTCTTCTCCTTCTTCTCCTCTTCTTCATCAACCTCCTCAATCTTGGGCTTCTTCTCATCGCCCTCCTCTTCCTTGGTCTCCTCCTCCTCGTCAGGAACCTCCTTCTCGGTTTCCTTCAGGACGTGGAGGTAGATAGGGTAAGAGATGAACTCGGAGTGCTTGCGAACAACCTCCTTGATGCGGCTCTCGTTGAGATAGTCAGTCTGCTCATCCTTCAAGTGAAGGATCATCTTGGTACCACGGCCAAGGGGCTCGCCCTCGGTGTCCTGGGTGAGAGTGAAGGTGCCGCCGGCAGCGGACTCCCAGACGTACTGCTCATCGTCGTTGTGCTTTGAGATGACAGTGACGCGGTCAGCGACAAGATAAGCAGAGTAGAAGCCAACACCGAACTGGCCAATCATGGAGATGTCCGCACCAGCGGAGAGGGCCTCCATGAACTGCTTGGTACCAGAGCGAGCGATGGTACCAAGGTTGTTGATCAGGTCCTAGATAACAGCAATATGGTTAGAATGGGGTCTGTGTAGGCATATGATAGGCGGAATTGACTTACAGCCTTGGTCATACCGATACCGGTATCACGGATAGTCAAGGTCTTGGCCTCCTTGTTGGGGATGATGTCGATACGGAGGTCCTTGCCCGAGTCGAGCTTGGAGGGGTCCGACAAAGACTCATAGCGGATCTTGTCAAGAGCATCCGAGGCGTTGGAGATAAGTTCACGCAGGAAAATCTCCTTGTTGGAATAGACAGTGTTGATGATAAGAGAGAGGAGCTGAGAGATCTCAGCCTGGAACTCGAAAGTCTCGGACATGATGAAGGGATGTGAGTTATATTCTGTTCCACGCCGAAGGTTGTGTTAGTCATAGGTATACTGATAGAGGTAGGATACAGGCCCTCCACTTATTCAGGGAGTTTATGTGAATCTCGGGGGTAAGACCGAGGAGACCAGAATGATCCAGCTTTGGCAGCAGCTCTCCTTACTCGGGTGGGGGGTGGGAACAAGACTCACAAGGTACAACAACGTAAGATCGTTAAGAACAAGAGAGAGAGAAAAAAGAAAAAGGGACGGTGGGAGAGTTGAGATTCAGAAAAAAACAAAAACAAAAAGAATCTGCTCCAGAAGGTAAAGCAGACTTAGTATAGATAGATGGAGATGAGAAGAAGTGAGGAGAAAAAGTGTGAATGAATGAGGAAGAAGAAAAGCTACCGCAAGCGACGGGGCGGAGAACTTAATGTTTGGCTGAGGGACACAAAATTTCGGCGCGGGCGTTTCTACGGCGATCCAGCAACTTCCACGCTCTCTCCGCCTTGTCTCGACGGGGATCTTCCAGTCTCTTCTACTCGATACACATCACAGCCTGGATTGAATCCATGGTTCTCTGCCCAAAGAAAAAAGAAAGAAAAAATTCTAGTTCATTCAATCATGTTCCATTCGGTATCCTGTTAACATTTCCAATCGTTTTATTCATTTCCCCCCACCATTCATCATTTACCGATTATTCCCTTCCCCTTTTCTGTTGCCCCTCCCCCTCCAAAAGCTGCGTTCCGATCTAACTTCACTTCCCTGGTGCCTCAGGCAATCAATCTAGAACGTTCCGCTCCACCATCCATTGTCGGCGGAATGTGGATTTTTCGTATCCTAGTACCTTACATTCAAGTACTGTACATACAATAATACCGTCCCCATCTCTCCGCCATAATGGAACTTTCCACAGAGTAGGAGCTATCGATTATCAGGTACAATGTACAGTGCACATACCTTGTCTACTGTAATATTCCGACCCACTTATCTTCGATGTGGTAATCGATTTGAGTACCTACAATACCCATATCACATGCATACATGCATTCATTGAACTCCAGCCTTCACTTAAGCTGGGACCTGGCAAATCAAACATTGTTATCAAGATCACATGGATCAATCCAACCAGAGCCCTCCTCCTACCATGTTCACTGACCTCATATCTATGCCACTTCTTATGTGCAAGACAACCCACATCTATAGGAACACAAGGGAGCTGAGCCGAGGCAGGCAGTTTGCATTCACTTTCAGATAGTTCCGGACAATTGATAATACATGTGCAATTACACAGTAACAAGCAGGCACCCGCTCCTTCCCTCCTCTTTGTATGATGAATTGGATAAGGTAACTCAGTAAGAGCCACTGTGCCTGTAAATGGAAACAGACGTTTGCCACCTATACCCCCATGAATAGGACGGGTATCAAACAATTATAGCAAGGCAAAAGACAAGACAGCGGCCACCACCCAGTTTACAGTTTCTAAATGAGATGAAGTAGAGATAAAGAAAAGAAGTTAGATTGGAACAACCGTAAACAAAATAGAAATAAGACCCTAAGAGAACAATACGGGCATGTAGCTCGCTATGCTAGAAGCAAGAAATAGTTGAATAGGTCATGACAACACATTCACAGAGACAAAAAGTCATGAAAGCACAAACCAATAAGGAAAAGAAAGCCCTGTTGATGAGATATGAAAGAACAACTTTTCCAACCGCTAATATGCAGTGTGACAGATGAATGGGTCACATAACACATGTCATTATCAATAAGAGGGAGTAATACATGTCCTGGGTCACCATAAGCATCTGAACCTGTATGCTGTTGCGGGCCAGGATGAAGGACTAAGAGTTGAATGACCAGCAGGAGAGGGGGGAAAGGAGAAATAAAGAAGAGGAAGTATAGGGTCAAGAAGAAAAGACAGCGTGCAGTGAATAATCTTCACCCTGATTCCGGTAGTTTTCTTTTATTTTCGTTTATTCTTGTTTTTATTTTTCCCCGCCTCTCCGTTTTAGAGAAGGAAGAAGTAGTGATCTGCTCTAAGCAGTCTGTGCCTGGTTGCGGGCTTTAGCATTGACATTGCCACTGCCGCCACGGCCACGGGGAGCGAAGCCACCACGGCCATCACGCTGGAAGCCACCACGGCCCTGGCTGCCGGTACGGTCACCGCGACCACGGCCAGAGCCACCCCGACCAGCGCCATAGTTGGTATTTCCCCCATAGGCGCTAGTACGAGAACGGCGTTCCTCTACGGAGATTTGCTCGGTTCCAATCTGGTGCGGATTGGCAGCAACAGCAGCGGTGTAGCCGGCAGGGTCAGCGAACTCAACAAAAGCACAGTTCTAAAGGCAATTAGTTTCCTCCTTCCCGAGTAATTGAGACTTCACGGCGGAACCTACCTTCTGGCGGCTCACATCGAAATGCTTGAGTTTTCCAAAGCGGGACAAAGTCTGCTTGAGCAAGTTTGCATCGACCTTATCGGTGACGTTCTTGATATAAGCCATGACGTTCTGGTCATCACCCGCACGAGGCTGGGTCTTCTTATGGTCGTGACCAGCAGTTTGCCAGCCAGATCCATCATTGGAGGGAGGCTGGATAGGAGTGCTCTCAGCAGCAGGAGTAGGTGTGGCAGCCGCAGCAGGGGGGGCAGGAACCGACTGGGCGGAGCTGGTAGCAGGAGCGGGCTTAACAGGAGCAACGGGGATGGCAGGCACAACAGGAGCAGTAGCACCGGACTTAGAGGCAATGTTGGCCCAGGTCTTTGGTACAGCTCTGGCGGGTACAGCAGGCTCTTTGGCCGGAGCAGCATTTTCTTTCTGGGTCGTCGGGGCAGGCGTAGGCTCCGGAGTCGCAGGCTTTTCCGTCTTAGAAGCTTCAGATTCAGGCAAGGCGACAGGTTCCTGAACATCCTCGCTGCTCTGGGCCTCGGTTCCGTTGGCCTGAGGTGCAGGTTCTTCCGGTTGCTTTTCCTCGGCCTTTTCTTCCACCTGTTCAAGCTTCTCGTCCACCTCGGCAACTGTGACTTCGTTGGCATCTTGGGGCTCCGCAGTCGGGACACTCTCAGTCTCAAGCTGTGCGGGTTCATCCGCAGCTGGCTCTGTGGTAGGCTCGGCAGGCTCGGCAGGCGCAGCGAGAGCGGGCTCCTCATTCACAATATCCTCCTCGTCAACCAAGTATCTGAAGATATCATTGAGAACATAGTATCCATTAGGTTGCTCAGCAAGAACGAAAGTCTGGGTAAACTTGCGAGACGGCTCGGACTTATTGGAGATCTCACCGATGACTGAGATCAAGATGTTGTCAAATGAAGCCTGAGAATCGACGTTCAAAACACGGACCTTGCAATCTTGGAAGTCAAGCTGTTTTATTTTCTCATTGATAGCCTAGGCGGAGAGGGGAAAGTCAATGAAGCCCAATGGAAGAAAACACCTAGGAGTGAAGACAGTGAACTCACCTTCTGGCCCACAGCAACGGGAACCGACTCTGCTTCAGTTCCAAAGACAAACTGCGAGCGCCGAGAGTAGAAAAGATGCAACTTGTCCGGACTACGGCTCATATTGGTATAGTATTGCTCAACAAAATACCAACCAACCTCGTCCTTAGAGATCGCATTCTTCTGCTCACTAGGAGGGACATTAGTGGGAGTGGTAGATTGCGCTGGCTGAAAATTCGAGGCATTGTTGGCAACAGCGTGGGCATGGTTGTAAGAGTCATGATAGGCGTGGGGTACAGGGTAATTGCCGTTAACAGGGGCTTGAGTATCGGCCATTGTGGTATCGAAGAAGCTGTTTAAGGTCGGTATGGGAAATAGAAGCAGAGATGGTCTAGGGTGTCGTCAGGTAGAAAGTAGAGGTATAGGAGCAATGAGCCTCTATGTGATGATGAGTAGAGGCTAAGAAATCTAGTGACTTTTCCTCGTTCGCTTGACTAACCCCCCATGTCTGTCAGTAATTGAAGGCCAAGTGTATCGCTGGGAAAAAGAGCGGGGAAGATCAATTCTCACAATGCTAGAAAGAAAACCAATAGACCCTTATAGATGCAATAAGATGAAAGTAAAGGAGAATGTCTGCGTTAAAGCGTTTGCGTCGTAGTGGTGCAAGAGGGAAATAGAGGAAGATTCTTGTGCGATTTCCAATCAGATCAAATTTGCGAAGAAGGCGGAAAAGAGGGAAGATAGTCGAAAGGAACTGAACACGTTGAAGATCGATGGGGAGAAGGTAATCAACAGGAAAAATCCGATGAATGGTGAATAATCGAAAGTAGAATGGGATAAGAAGGTGGTAGGTGGGTAGCTAACAGCTGGATAGGAAAGAGGAAAAGAGAGGGAAAGCGACGGGATGCTTAGCAGTTTGCAAAATGAGTTGACTTGGACTTGAAAGGTCGGTTGCAGTGCGGCGCCTCTTAGCGCCCCATTTCCTTCCCTTACCGCCTGCCTAACTTGCCGGTGGGTCTCCATCGGACATTCCGTTTACATCACTGCATACTGGGTGAATCATCCGTTAGTATAGTAGCCAATGTAAATAGAATTCCAGCTCCTACATCCGACTGTAGGGGGATCCAAGGGGCCAGATCGGAACTTGCAACCATCCACTGAGGCATGTTGAAACTGCTTCTATCGAAAGGATCACTGACTATCATCAACGAAGCACTATATTCGTGCATCAATCACATTAAGGTCTATTGTCATTTCTGAGTAAGTAATTACACTCATCGGAGACGAAGATTCCATCAGAAGGCCGCATTGAATGTAAAGAAAACCATAACATCGGGAACAAATAGCTGGCTTGGAAGAGGGGTATGAGGGATATGAGAGGTCAGGCTTCTCATCAACGAAGACGCATAACAGATACAGAAACTCATTCACATGGTTCAGCAAAGAAAGCCGCGGAGCATGCAATATGGGCAAACAAAAGGAGGACAGAGAAACAGGTGCTCAAAAAAATACTAAGGACCAAAAATAGGTATCAAGTAAAAGTGTGTTTATACGAAACTTATGGGGTAGACCACAGTTCGTCTACGAGCTTGTAGACTCAGCAGCGGCCTTCTCGTTCAAAACTGGCTTGCGCATGACAGCATCCTGGCCAGTCATTCTCCGGTCAAGAGCTCGTTCCACCTTCGCACTCAGGGCCAGCTTGCTCAAGTTATCGCTCTTTTCGGGAGTAGGGACGAAGCGTTGCTTCTGAAGAGGTTTGTTCTCCAGGCGCTCCAGCCCGTCGCGCAAGTGATGGAATTCGGCCAAACGAGGATCGCCGCTTGGTAGACTTCCAATGGTGCCTGACGAAGCAATCGAAGGGTTTCCGCTTACGGTCGAAAATCTTTTCGACGCTCGGGCCTAGGCCTATGGTCAGAGATTCTGGTCCGTCGCAGATGAAGAATAACCGGTGAACCTACAGAAGGGGCCATGATCGGTCTCTCAGAGTCAAGCGATTGATGTCTAGCCATGATAATATTGGTACTGTGATAAAGTCCTTGTAGGCCGACTGCCGAAAGCAATGAGTGGTTGTGCTTGAGAATCGAGAGCAGGCAGACGAGTGCTAAACTACTCAGGTAGTAGCCTGCCGAGGTTAGTACATTGTAGAGAATTTATCTCGGATTAACGCAAACACGATAAATAGAAGAAGATAGTACTGAAATGGATAAGGGGTAAATGATAGTAAGCGGGAATAAATTAGACTGCAGAGATAGTATGGGGCGAGCGACAAAACTGACAGTCGGTTAAAACATACCTGAAAATACAGAGTCAGACTCTGATGCTGATAGAGTGTATCGCGGGCCGACCTAGAAACTAAAAGAGAAGGAAAGAGGAAAAGAAAAATGTCTGGGAGAGGATTAAAATGAGAAAATGAGCAGATGGGGAGAGAGAGAGCGCGCTTGTAGACCAAGTAACATGCAGCAGAGGATTCAGGAGAGCCGAAGGTAACGGATGACAATGTGGGTCTCTCTCTGTTACGTCTCAAGAGGATTAAAGTCGGCCACGCGGGAATCGTTGGCCGTTGACCAGCTTCTCTCTTTCCTTTTTTTCCCTTTCCCTTTCTTATTTTAGTCTTTTCTTTTATTTCTTTTTCTCTAAGGGTATTTTACAACAAAGCAAGATACGTAGTTCAAATTTGCTTAGATCAATCCAAAATCAATGATCGATTGACCTAGCCTAGGAATGACGGTTTAATACATAAAGGATTCGTTCGTATCTTAAACACTCCGTCAAACTAGATATAATAATCATTTGCTACTGCAATGAAAATCTTAAGAATGCTGACCACCCGTTTCAGGTATCGAAAAAAATAAAAATAAAATAAAATAAAAAATGAAGAAAGGAAAAAGAGGAACTTCGGCTAAGTCAGAGGGAGTTTTCTGTGTGCATGTGTGAGAGTAACGAAGACCAAGGGGGATACCACAGTCTATTTTACTAACCAAAGGGATGGGTTTGAGTCGAGAATTTTTCGTTGCTTTACGTAGTATCTGAAGCAAAAGGCCGACCTTCTTTCAACAGCAACAGTGCATAGATATATCTGATTAGACTGCCACGTGCAGAAGCAGCCACGCGGGTTGATCCTCTGTTGCACCCGCGTGGCTCGACTACTGTGGAAACTGGAAGCTGAGCATCTATGCATACTGGCCTTCAAGCTTCAGGTGGGGGTGCAGAACAGGATACGAGTGGTCATAGTACTCTTATATATACTGCTGTATGTACATACAACTACATATGAGTACAATATGTCCGTGCAATGAAACATATCCACTTTGATAAGATACCCATACTGTTAAGACTATTGGAAACAAACTAAATAGTTTCAACTTAAAAGTCGGCGTTAAGAACCAACAGCGGGGTGTTCGCCCCTGCCATGACTTCATGGATTTCTAGCTGAGTTGGTTAGTTATACATAGTATTACATACACTGGAATTACCTCCAGTAAGTGACGATAAGCGGTGTAGAAAGCGGTCTTAGATCACCCGATTCTTTCCCACGAACGCTTGGTCACGATAAAAACACACCAGAACTACAAGCATTCACGGGACTTTCTGATTTCTAAGTTCAGTAAACCCCTTCTGAGATCGTTACTTGATTTAAATCAATCAAGAATAGTTGCCTAGTGTAAAAAATGCCGAAGCCAAAGTCTCTTCTGAAAGAATCCAAAGCCAAGAACAAAAGGAAAACCACTCAACAGGTACCGTATTCACAGCATTTTGATATTCACTTTTACCCATACGCTTGCTCATTTTTGACAGGCTCCAGAGACTGCAGATGAGTTCTTAGCTGGTGAGTCTTTCTGAACCCCAGACTTGCACCACTGTCCTACTATGTCTTTGGACGGATAGAAACTGTTTAATCCACCATCGATGCAGCCATAGCTAAACATATGCAGTTGGCGTCGAACAGGAAGAGGCTGGCGAAAAATGGCGAGCCGGTGATGCAGCAAAATCTATGCGCTTTTTCATGCGCGCCATTGCAACTTATGATGATGGCCTGAAAAGGCATCCTCATGCAGTTGACTTGGCATACAACAAGTATGTAAGCAGACCGCTTTATCCTCACTGTTTGATGCACAAGTGGGCATGCCATTGCAATCAGCGACATAAGCTTACCGTCAAAAAGGGCAAGAGTTCAATATGAAATCACCCAGCACCCCAAGTTGGCTGCACAACTGCCTGCCCCACTAGTAGATATTTTAAACATAACGCTACAGTCCCACAGGGAGGCCCTCAATCTAGATCAAGACAATGCGGATGCTCTTTTTAACACCGCTCAAGTGCTCACAAGCCTTGCCGAGGTAGTCACGGACACCAAACATCCATCTGACGCACAACTTTGCCGGGCAGTCAAATACCTGCAGGAGGCAATAGAGCTCTTCCAACGTTGTCTCATTATTCAAGAGATGCGATATACTGAAATGCAGGAACAAATCAAATTGATGGAGTCTGGAGATGTGGGCCCAAGCCAGGGAGAAATGCAAGAGCAAACCATGCAGAAAAGCACAGAGCATGCAGGCGAATTGAAGTCTTCTGATCAACAAGAGCAATGGGCTGCTGTGATTGAGCCAGTGACCAAGGATACCCTCGTTGACACAGCGGTGGCACAGTTGGAGACGCTCACAACCCTCTGCAACTTGCTTACCTTTAATCCCGGAGTCGGACTTGGTTGGGTTGAAGAATCCTCTGCAGACTTGCTCCAAGAGAAGATCGCTGCATACGTTGAAGGTTCTAGCAGACACTACGAGGCATCTTTGGCCCGTGCCAAATTTACCTGCGCTCTGAACGAGGTGCTGTACCGAAGCGGGCGAATCGAGGTCGAAACGTATCAAACAGAAATCGCACGTGTCTTTGGTCCTAATCTAGACCTCTCTGCGGATCCCGAAGGTCTCTGCAGCAAAGCAGATGCGCTCACGTCGTTCAACACAGCCGTTACGGATTTGCCTCCCTCGCATGACCATGAGGTGTTTACAAAGTCACTATTGTTGCGGTGGCAATCACTATCGGCTGCTTTGGATGCTTTGATGAAGGCTGCCCAACTTCCTGATGCAGATAACCTGCCCAAAATTCATGTTGCGCGAGGAGACGTAGAGATGAACAGGTGGAGACTCGGCATGTCTCCGTGGGAATACACCATGGCTCAACAAAATGCCGCTGTTCTCCTTCGGAACGCTCAAACATACTACCGAGGCGCCGCAGCTCTCGCACGGAGGGATGGGAATGCAGACGAAGAGCGTGATGGAACATGTAAGGAAGCCCTGGCGGCCGCTTTGGAAGGCAAGAAAGAGAAATTGCAGCAGCTCAAATCCACCGCGTTTAAGGAGCTTATGATTGTCGCAGAAGATGTGGTGGATGACGGGTGGCTAAGCCCCCGGGATTTGGAAGCACTGCTGTCGTAAATCTGCCCCATTTATCAGGTCAGCAAGGCAGCTCTTTCGCGCATGGTGACGTTCTGCATGTCGTAGACAACACGTATCTAGCTACCAATCATATATCCGATCTAGCTTTGACCTCTTCTTCCATCTGTAAAGCTTCCTTACGAAGATTGTTCTCCATACTAAACTGCGTAGCAGCGGTCGCAGCGCCCTCCAAGTCTGCAACCACAGACTCAAGGCTTGACAGCAGACCCTCAATCTCTGATCTCTGAGACTGGATCCGTTGAGACAACGCCACGTTTTCGCTCTGTACAGACTCTATGTTCGCATTCAAAGTTGTTTGAGCTTCCTGTAAATGCGGAGCAAGACGTGCGCGATATAGTTCCTCCGGAGTTAATGTATGGGGTCTAAAAGAGATGTTAGCGAAAAGTTGGCTTCATGATAAACCCCCTCCCAAGATTGATGAAAGGAAGAACCCTCCTGGCCACCTCCTCTCCAAACCTAAAAAGACAACCAAGACAAAAGAGAAGGAAAAAGGAAAGCCATACGCAACATCTCCCTGTCCCTGTCCACGGTCTCTCCTATGCCTCGCCTCCCCCATCAACCTATCTAACTCATTCAACTGCCTTATCGCATCTCTCTCGTGTACAATATCTTCGAACTCCGCCCTTGCACTTTCCTCCAATTTCGCATTCAGCTGTCTCCAAACCGACTCTAGACTAGCCGGAACATGTTTCGCAGGGGTGGGAAAGCACCCGGAGAAGTTGGCATAGGAATTTGCTCGCAATGTACGCAACAATGCCTGGTTGAATGTCTTCTGTAGGACGGTAGCGCGCGGGCCGGGTGTTAGAGGGACTGGCGCTGGTGGGGGCGGAGAGGGCGAAGCGTCTTGTCTGGAGGGATTGAGATTGTTGCTGCTGTCTTCGGCCATTTTCTTTGTTTTGTTCCTTCGTCCAGTTTAGTCCAATCTATCCGCCTTTTCTGTTACGTCTTCTGGTCGGCGTATGTGAGCGTGTTGTGTTGGTAAGCCTGGTTTGAAAGGTATAGGGCCAATGTCTACAAGAAACGCGTCAGTCACATGATGAGCTTAGGTCCGCAGTGGGTCCTCAGGATTTATCGGCCGTTTGTACGGAGTACCTCCTCCAGGCTTTCTCTCTCTTCGCTTGGCAAGATATGCGTGATTACTAGTCTCTTGTTGGATGGGGCTAATTGACACTACATCATTCCATCACTATCCCTATCGCCATGACGCTGACGTCGATGGTGGGATTTGTGCTCCCTATATACACGTGCATAGTACTTGACGGTCACGTCATCTACCTGCTATCTATCGGCTCCATGCGTCCGACTTACTCCATGATCTTCGAATAACTATATATCGCCCAGTCAAATATCATTGGAACTAGCGAGTCAAACGTCGAACGCTGTCGTTTGAGCTATAATTCTGTCCGATATGTCCTTCATAGTCTACTCCACCCCTGCATCCGGGGTCTCTCACTAGACTGCCTCTCCTGATGTCCCAATAAACTGCCTTAAAAGCCGGCCATGAGATGGACATATAGATAATACTGTTCCAAAATCCCTGGAGCGGAAGAACAAAGCTCGATACATAGTTCAGAGCAAAGTTGTATGAATTAGGATAGGCAAGTGAATATGCCCGGTTAACCGTCGAAGGAACCTGGAATCATTAGCCATGATTTCACCTAGAGTTGACCATAGTAATTACGAACCCAGGTGACAATTAAGGCAATGAAGAAGAGCATCGCGTACTTTGTATACGCCCAAGCCGCCGTACTTGTGTCGGACATTGCGCGGCGGCGGGACCATGACTCCGAATGAGAATGTTTCATTGCTTTCAACGGGAGGCCGCTGGAGTGTCTGCTCACGAAGCCGCCCTCGATGGTGACAGAGTACGGGTTGTAGAATGGGGATACAGGGTTACACAGTTCTTCGACAGTTGGGTGATTATTCCCTTGTTGGGAGCGTGTAATTTCACTCGTTACGCGGATTTCCGTTGTTGCCCTAGTGTAGGTAGACTCGAGGGGGCGTTCGGTATCGCGCATCTCAAAACCCTCATAATGTTCTGCGGTCGGCTCGCCTTCATACCTGGGATAGGAATCTGCCGAGTCGAGGTTGTCAAGCTGCCGCAGCTGGCGTCGTCGTTCCCAGATGACACCACCAGTGCGGATGTAGATCGCCAACGTCAAAACAATAAAGAACCAGACTGGGCCGTAGAAGGCCGCGATCCGTAGCCAGTCCCAGGTCTGCGAAACCCAACACCAGAGCTACAGCTATGTGTGAGGACTTGTCTATCTCACTAGGTTCGGTCACTTACCACCGCATAGCCGTAGACCTTGCCCCGGGCCTTGGTCTTGATGAAGAAGTACGCGACAGAGGGGATGAGAGGTAGTCCGTAGCAGAAGAGGAGATATTTCCACTCTAGCCGTCGCAGTTGCTCGGAGTTGTATTTGTAAAAGAACGTTAAGTAAACATTACAGGCCATGGCGAAAGTCCATAGGGCATCGGCGGGCATGAACCTGTCACGGCATTAGCAGTTTGTTGAGTGAACCACCGTTTTGTCTCTCGGCTTCTTCGGACTAACCATTGGATCAGGAAGGCTTGGAACTGACATAGGGGACTACCGAGCCCCATGTGAATGCCTGATTGAGAAATGACGGTTGCGATATTGGTCATCAGATTGCCCCAAGAAGCATAAAACACCAGGCGGTTGATGGGCTTGCGAAAAGCACTCGAGCTAAGGAAGGAGACGACAATGACGGTGGTGCCGGTTAGAGAGACGGCCGAGCAAACCCGTTCGGTTACTGAGATGGCGTATAGTTGTTGTTCCGACAGAGACATTGCGAAAAGACCATGCTGAACCCGAAAGCGAACCCGAAGACAAAGTTGGTATCTGGGTATCACGCGCAGAAAGCCACAATCCAAGTAGCTATACAGAAGCCAACTCCGTTAAGATATACGTAGGGACGAGCAAAGCCCCTTTGCCAGCTATCACCCGAGGGGCAATATAGCAAATTGATTGATTAGGAAGAACAGGACTAGCTCTGCGGGCGAGGATGCCCAAGAGGGAGTAAAAGATCTGACGTGTATCGGAGGTACATACATCGCATCACAGTATCATATATGGGGCACAGTCCTCTTTAAAACATGACGACATGAAAGTATGTGGAGAAATCGCCCACAGCCAGACAAAGGGAGCAGAGGGTCCCAGCGAGGGTTCCACCTTTGATGAGTTGGGGGTAGATGGAACCGCAGCCGTCCTCTCACCTCCGCATCGGTCTGTACTCTACGAACGCTCATTTGTGGAGGAGGGAGAATGAAGGGGATCCTTTGGGTCTTGGACGCTGGTAAAGTTTGTTCCGAAAAAGGGTTCCATTAGTATATGCATACTAGTAATGGGGGGGGGGGGGAAAACCTAACCTTTTCCATTTCATACTTTTCGCCCTATCACAACCGGTCCTTGAATGATATATATGGATATATAAAGAAATACCTAAAACGAAAAAGAAAGAAACTTCAATCAAAATTCTATAGTATGAGATAGGAGTTCTTGCGAGGAGGACTGGTCACACACCTTGTAGGGCACTACCTAGTTGCAAGGTTATGGTTCTTCCGTTGGTAGGAAGTAACTTTTTTATTTCCAGAATGAACCCAACCTTCCCAAAGAAAGGGAAAAGAAAGGGAAAGAGAAAATAATAACAATAATAATAATAATAGTAATCAAGATTAATAAAAAGTAATTGCCCCTAGTTTATTCGCGGCCTTTGCAGTGCGTGGCAGTCTTTTCTCTTTACTCCTGTCTTTCCGAAGCACAAGTGTACATAGAAAGAACATAGGTATATTAAACATATATACTCCGTATATATCCATGATATCTTCACCGTATACTCCCCTAGGAGAGTCCCTTGCGTGACATCACCCCAGAGTTGATCCGGCCTTTAAATCCCGAAAGGATCCCCATGCATCTCCACCCTCAATAAGCCTCCTCCTACTAGTACGCAGTACAACGGTTATATCTCCAGGGTTGGAAATGCAGAAAGTGACCATGGTGCTAGCTAGTCTGTAATAAGCTATGTCTGCATTAGTGCAGCAACTAATATTTATAGAGAAAGGATGATCCCGTGTGCATGTACCAGGCCAAGTCCGACTGTAAAAAAGAAAAGGTACGGGCAAATGAACGCCACGAAAGCCCTGTGATCCACATGAAACAAAGAGCATTTACATAACTAGTGGTGGGCATATGACCCACGGTTGTTGCAAGAACAAAGGGACGTGTGTATCAAGCATGTCTCGAATTATATCCTCGCTGACTCCAGCCTTTGCCCAATAGACAATTGCCCTTGAGAGGGGTTCACAAAGAACATAAAAAAATAAAGCAAACACGCCCCCAAGCATCGGTCAGGTAATCGAGTATGATCACGGTGAGCCGCGATATAATAAGGGAAAGAAATAATGGAAAAAGAGATAGAAGGGGAACAAAGAAAAAGGCATGGCTAATGGTAGCTAAGCCCTCATTCATCGACCCGGTCCTTCCTTTCAACAAGAACTGTAGGGTTTCGGCCAAAACTACCGCGATTCATATGCCATGTCGTATAGACATCCTAATAATGGCAAAGTACCAGTATGGTGCTCTATTCGGAATATGGTGGAGTAGATCACTGTGCGTGGCCATACAACGAACTGTGCATCCCGGATAAACAAACCAGTATAAGCATTTAGTGCGAATTTTGTTCTCAGGTATAACGCCATGCTCCCTCCCCAATCTAAAACAGACCCGTCGTCTCGTCATTTCTGTCAAAAATGATAGGGGGAAAAGATAGAAAAAAAAGAGCAAAGAAAGGAAAGAAGCGGAAACGAAACGGCAAGTGCCCTGTTTCATTAATACGCCTGCTGGGAAGCAACCATCCCTCCATATCCGGACATTTGCTGTTGCTGTTGCTGTTGTTGCTGCAGCTGTGCCTGCATTTGAGGCAGATCATGGAACCACGGGTGCTGCAGTGCGTCGTGGGCACTAACTCGCATCTCTGGTCGTAGTTGGAGCATCCGGTTTAGCAAATCAAGCCCGAGAGGATCGATTTGGGGCAATATGAGGCCTAGGTCTTGTGTCGCATAGACGTGGAAATTAGGCTTATATTCGGGCAACTGAGAGATACCCGGCCACGAGCGCTCTGACGGCGTTCCCATGAGACGGAAGATCTTCTGCAACTGGTCCTCATTGGTGGTGCCTGGGAACAGCGGACGGCCAGTGTACAATTCCGCCATAATACACCCGGCAGACCAAATATCAATGCTTGTATTATATGTCCTGCTGCCGAGGAGGACATCAGGAGCGCGGTACCATAGGGTCACTACTTCGTTCGAGAAGGTATTGACGGGAATGCCAAAAGCCCGGGCAAGACCGAAGTCTCCTAGTTTGAGTTGTCCCTTTTTATTAATCAAGAGATTCTGGGGCTTCAAGTCGCGATGGAGGACTCGATTCTCGTGACAGAACGCGATGCCCTTGAGGAGCTGGTGCATGAATGACTTGATCGTCGCCTGGTCTAATTGTCCCCGTTCGCCTCGGGTGTCCATGTACTTCTTCAGGTCCTTGTCCATATATTCAAAAACGAGCATCAGCTTGTTTTCGGTATGGATGACGTCGTAAAGCGAAACAATGCTCTCATGCTTAAGTTCTTTCATCAATGATATCTCTCGAATGGCCGTCGATGGCGTCCCCTCCTCGGAATCGAGATGGATTTCCTTCAGAGCCACTAGTTCGCCAGTCTGACGATTCCGGCCCTTGAATACCTGCGACCGTCTGTATGAGCAAAAGCACGAAACTTGATACCGGGCGATACGGTTGCGGAGAAAAGGTCAGAGTGGTGTAACCCCGGGGTCAACATACAGTGGCATACGTTCCTTCTCCAAGCTAGAGGCGGGTTAGTTACACACTTCCCTCCACGGATTGCATATATGAAGAAGGAAAGAAGCGCGCACCTTTTCCAGCTGCTGAAAAGAGCTAGGCTGCTGCGCTTTATCCATCGTCAGCGACGCAACAGGGTGCGAAGTTGGGGATTTCGGCGGCGGGGGTTTCGAGCGTTGATGGTTGAAAAGAAATGACTTTGGAGACACAAGTGTCGTAATAATGTCCAGATAAGTAGAAGTAGGGTGTTGTTGTTGTTGTTGTGAGTGAGGGTTCCTCAGGGTTCTTAAGCTGCTGTGATTGTCCATGTCCGTGATCCCCTTGTTCCCATTTAATTGGAGCCTTATTTTTGAGCCCCGCGGCGGATAACCACAAGGGCCAAAAGGGTGCTGAGCTGAGGTTGGTGGTTACCGTACCGTACGAAATCACATTACAAGTTATGCTGTAACCCGACGACTAGTTGCCGGCGGCTATGTAAGGTACGGTTGGCGGAGCGCTAAGCGCTTTGCAATTATACCTTAATACGAAGGTATATATACTACTAGTAGTAGATAGCACTTGCCCTAGTATTACTACGAATCCTCTAATCCTCTACATCATCAGCGGAAAGTCAGGCATGCTTACACGGAGTAAACAATAGCGATGACTGGGACGTTCAACCCCCCCAAAAAAACACACAACTCTATCTGTTCTATACAACTCTATTATCACGGGAAATTCCCTAATACATCCAGACAGAATAATTTCATGCGTGGGTAAGAGAGGGGAGCTGGGCAGCAACAGGGGGCAAAATCAGATTGGAGTTGAGACTGCAACGAATATGAGGGGCATCCGGCTCCATCTTCCCAAAGAGGACCGACTCATTTCGGACCCCTCCAATATTGATGATGCCTATGGGCATACCCCTTTTATGAGCTCGTTCGACCAACCTCCATGCTGAAAAAGTGGCAAGACTGCTTCCAAGGATGAGAAGCCTTCCTGCGTCATCAATTGCCTCCTCTGCAGCCGTTTTCACTGCTGGGTGAATGTTTTCGCCAAACATAATGACCGCAGGCTTCAAAACTCCAGCAGTCGAAGATGGTAGCCATGCACCGTCGCTTTCTACCTCTACCCTAGCCGGCGTGCCATCTCGGAGACGAGGAGGTTTCTCTAAACATGTAGAACAAGACGGGTATCGGAACGTAGAGTAGGGCGCCTCGGCTAAATCCACATCTCCATCGGGGTTAAGCTTAAGACCTTTCCGTCGCTGTTCCTCGGGATTATTTGTGTTGAGAGCCCCGGTGTCAACCATCTTGGCCAAAAACTCTGCCCAGGCTGGATTGAGCTTTTCAAGGGACTTCTGAAATTCGTCTCGAGGGAATTGATTGTGACAGCTGGTACAGACGACCGATCTTAAGTAGCCATGAAGTTCGATGGTTGGTAGTTTCGAATGGGCTATTGGATGGAAAGAGTCGACATTTTGTGTCACTACGGAGCTGAGATATCCCTTCGCGCTAAGGTCCCTAATAGCCCAATGCGTTGAGTTGGGCTTTGCTTTCACAAGTCCTGGCCAGCCGACAAAGCTCCTAGCCCAGTATCTCTTGCGAAACTCATGCCGTGTCAGAAATTCATGAAAATAAATAGGCCGATATGTTTTGTTTGTGACGTATGTGCCGTTCTCTCCTCGATAATCGGACAAGCCAGATGCCACCGAGATTCCCGCACCAGTCAAGAGAACAGTCTGGGAATACCTCCCGACGTCAACTCCACGAAGGTAGGGTGACGGAGCAGCAGTCAAAAATGACAACAGAGCATCAATAGCTCCTGAAACAGTATGAGCAGATGGCGGTACAATTACTGGTGGCGGCAGCGGGCCGGTGAATGGGATTCTGATCGACGGAGTCGTCATTGAAGCCGCATAGTTGGCCGAAACTGATGAAAGAAAAAAAGAATGTATATGTTTGAGAGAGACTGCCGTTAGTTGCTCAACCTACTGTAACTCCATGGGGTATCATTGGGACAATATCAGTAGGTCTGTTTGTTGGGTTGGCCACTGATCGCAAATGCCGTCATTGATAGTAGCTGACTCATCCAACACATACCCTAACTCATGCAAAGGATCACCTGACCAGGGTTTTGTCTTCATGACATGCTGCGGAAGGTAGCATTTCTTATGCATGTGTGTCTCTATGCTTGCTGAGTTACATCTCGACAACTATAGTATCATATACAATGCTCTATTAACAGGGTTTAGCTCGTGAAAGGAGTCTGGATTATAAAGGTGGTCTGTGCAGCCTCGACTACCCCGGATTTGTAACCACGTGATCGCCGAACAGAGTCTTCGAGCGTCATCGTTCTCAAGCCCTCTTTTTTGCCCTCACAGAATTGTGGAATTCCATGATAAAGTCGAGATTTTTCTTTCTTATCCATCAGTAGCCTAAGACTGAACTGGGTGGATCACCCAATTCGTCCCTCTACTCGTGTTAGATATGTTTCAACCTCCAGTTGGTAATATAGATCTAGAAGCTCTCAGCGGTATTTGTGGGTATGTGTCTGGGCGAGGAGGTGTAAAAGATAACCAACTAATGTTGATTAGATCCATATCCATTGCGTGTTGGGTTGTTGTATTTTCTCCCCAGATCATAGAGAATTTCCGTCGTGGATCAGCAGATGGCCTCTCACTTCTCTTTCTTGTTATCTGGTTAGCGGGCGATGTATTCAATATCCTCGGGGCTGTCCTGCAAGGCGTCCTGCCGACAATGATCATTTTGGCCGTGTACTACACGCTCGCCGATATTGTCTTGTTAGGCCAGTGTTTCTACTATCGAGGATTCACCCTGAGCGATGAACCGTCACCACCGAGCTCGCGCCTCCAAGAATCAGATGCCGAAGACCAGCCTTCGTTTCCTGGAAAGGTATCAGAGCGAACAACTCTACTATCCGCAAAGGCGAATGATCATTCCTACCAGGCGCAGCTCCAAGAGCACACGGGAAACGGATACCCAACGCCAGGGCCGTCCGGTCAACAGCCCTTCCCACACCATCAAAACCACAGGAGACACTCCGCAACCTCCTTCAGGGATATTCTCCACTCCAACGTGGATGGAACACACCTCTCTCCCGTGACACCTTTTGTTGAACCCTCGGTGAAGGAGGTACGTCCTGTGCGCAGACTCTCCGCCCTCCAAAACGCCCTATTCAAACTCTCCACCGTTGTCTTAGTCTGTGCCGCCGGTGTACTTGGCTGGTATGTCAGCCCTGGATCATCAAAAGGCGAAGATAAACAGGATGACAGCGGGTCTCTCTCCTTCGATATCCTGGGTCAAGTATTCGGCTACCTATGTGCAGCCCTGTACCTTGGATCTCGTCTGCCCCAGATCTTACTCAACTACCGACGGAAGTCCACGGATGGTGTATCCTTGTTATTCTTCCTCTTCGCTTGTATTGGCAACTTAACTTACGTTCTTTCTATACTTGCTTATTCCCCTGTCTGCAAGGGGGAGTACACCCAAGGAAGAGTCAGCCAATGTCGACCTGGCGAAGCTGCTGCCCTGTATGGTCGGTATATACTTGTGAACTTATCTTGGTTAATCGGGAGCTTAGGAACACTATTCCTGGACATGGTCATCTTTGTGCAATTCTTCTTGTATCAAGACAATGGGTACGGCGAGACTGAGGGAACTAGTGAGGAAACTTTGAGGGGATGATTCCGTTCATTCCTACAAGCAGCCATGCTATGTTTCTGGTCTTTCTTTTTTTTGCTCATCCTTGCTTTTGTCTGTCCTTATTTGCCTTCGACTGAAATTCAAGGGTGGCGTCACGGACAGAGGTGGGGATTCAAAAGGCAACTATTCTCCTTTCTTAGTCTTGCGCATCAGGCTATGCTTTTTCTCATTGTGGGAGGCGTTTGGGGTTTTTCTAAACTTCGTGTATACAGATACTTTAGCCTCTCAAAACATAGAATGAAAGATAATATCCAACCAGATCGTTACTTATCAGGGGTCATCTCTGCGGCATATTTTGATGCAAGAAATTAAACGCTATCCTAACAGAAGAAGAAGAAGAAGAAGAAGAGGAAGAGAAAGAAGGACACCGCTAGAAGCGACAATGGCCACAACGCCGTTAGTGCCTTTCATCGTCAGCTAACCTGGGAATACGGGGAGACCCAGCTGAACTCCAAATCAAATACAAGAGTGTTACAAATCAGTCGCTTGGTGGACGAGGCTCCACCTTTCCTTTGCTCACTTCCGACCAATTAGTGCTTAGAGAGGTGCCCTGACTTTCAAGGTAACTTTTATTCATGGCCCGACGGGTATTCTCGTCTGCGTTGGCGTAGAGTTTCTTAAAGAACGCATCGACGGCGTCACCTCCGTCAAAGTCGGAGTCAACTGAGTCGGCACCTTCTGATTCGTCTCCAGCATCGTCTGCTCTTGAGTCCGTTGGTTCTCCGTCCTTGGCTTTGCCTTTGCCTTTGGGCTTGGGCTTCTTTGCTGTGAGCGACGACGCCAACTTATCCCAATCTTTGGGTCCATTGCGGGATGAAGATGGGTATGTTGGAGCGGAACTACCGGCAGGAGTTGGGTCCAGGGCAGCTTGACGACCAGAAAGCTTGATGTTGTCTGCGGAGGCCTCGAGAGCACCCCATTTCTGGCCAGGGGCGCGTTTCTTTAAGACAAGCTCAATCTTGGTAGACATGACAGAGACCTTGGAGGAGGATGGGTCGACTGATGCAAACAAAGGATCAAGCGTGAAATCAAACTCAGCACCAGCTGGGAGAGGGAATTGGAGAGACACCTGTAGGTAGGCATGGTCAGCATAGTATTGATTGGAATCTGTGGAAGAGAAGGGCCGTTTGTAGATGACCCTACCGATTCATCCTTTAATTCAACGTCAACTTGATCTCCGGGTACCCCTTTGACGTAGAGAGTCACAACAACGGTCTCATTAGATTGGTACCACTCATGCCGAACCTTTTCAGACGGAGGAACAGTAGAAGGAGCTGCGGAAGGGGTGCTTCCAGTAGCACCACTTTGGCTATCCGACGTTTTGGACGTCGAAGCTTCCCCTGTGGCCGTTTTGCCGGCTGCGGTAGGCTCACTTTGGGCGCTGCTAGCCCCGACTTTTCCGGATTTGAGAGTATCCAACTGGTTCTTAAGCTCCTTCTCGGTCGGAACTTGTACACCACTCGGATATTCCGCAATGGTAACAGCAGCCTTGTCATCCCCTTCAGGCAAATTATTAAGCTTGCTTTTGACCTTGAGTATCCAGATAGGCAGCTCCTGCTCATACCCATTCTTCGATGTGGATCGAGCGCCACCAGCCATACCCATAGCATCCTTCATCCTGTCTGATTTGTCCGTATTCTCCGCGCCCGCGCCGGTTTTCCCCTGGATGATCTCGAATACAAAGCTCGCATCACCATATTTTCCAAGCTGGTATAATGCAACACCACGTCTCATCTGAGCAGCTAAGATTAACTCCCTCTTTCCACGTTCCCGCGCCAGGGTTAGAGCAATCTCCGCATCGCGCAGCGCTGCTTGGGAGTGGGGACCTCCATCTGCCGGTTTGACTCGAGAGTAGGCGGTTGATCGTTTGAGGTAGTATGGCGGTGCGCGAGGTAGTTCGATCAGGGCTTGTGTGAAGTAACGGATAGCACCAGGGAAATCGGAGGTCGCGAGGGCCTTGTCACCCTGTGTTGCGGAATTCATATTAGTTAGCTTTGTGGGAGCTATGAGCTCCGCAGCTTGATGTATGTACGGTAAGCCTAGCACTGGGGCGCGGGGACTTGAGGCAGGGAGGGGGGCAGAAGTTATAGCAGAGAAGAACAAAGACTTGTTTCTGCTCTGAGGTGATGGGATGGTTCAATAGATGTTTCCATCACTTTTCCTTCAGTTTCTTTCTTTCTATTTGGGTTGGAGACTGCGGGGGAGGCTTATGTCAGCAGATGCAAGAGTTCATCCCTCAGTCACATGTAGTCACATGAATCGAAGGTCTCACTGTTCGTTAACGTTCATTACAACTGAAAATTAAAAGCTATTTGTACATGTAATAAAACATTGGCCAGGTTGTTTCCCTTCAGATGGCGGGTCCAGCCCCTTTACAGGAGCTCCTCATTGCCAAATTTCCTGCTGTATAGTCCCAAAGCGCGGATAGGCCAATAGAACTTATAGTTAGGGTATGAAATCATACTAGACTCATGTCAGCATAACTTATCTATGATACAGATAGAGAGTACTCACCAAGATTGGTTGAAAACACCCTCGATAGCTTCCTGCAGCCACTCCCCATTGGGTTGCTGACGGGACATCATAAGTTTCATGGCCTTGCGAAGCGGCTCCTTGTCCGGGTAGCCTGCCTCCATCAGGGCAAGGCATGCCCAAGCAGTCTGACATACTTGGGATTTCTCATGTTGGGTGTACTCATGTCGCTCACTGCTGAGGTAGGATTCACCCCAGCCTCCATCTTCCTTTTGCTTGGAAATGAGGAACTCGCAACCTCGACGAGAATAATCGCTATTTTCATAGGTCTCTCCAATACTCGCGAGACTTTCCAAAGCAAACATAGCCGCGTAGGTGAAGCAGATGCCCCAAGATCCATACCAGCTTCCATCTGATCTCTGCACGCGTTTGATGTATTTGACTGCTTTTTCTTTCGCCGCCGTAATCTCGTCGGAGCGGTAATCGGGATAAAACTTGCTGAACAGAGACAGCGCAGTGACGGAGGCAGTGGTACATTCGGGATAGTCGTAACCAATCATAATCCCACCGAAAACTTCAGCGGCATTCAGCCACTCTACCTTGGGCGATGCACGGGTGGTCTCATACTCTGTAAAACCACCAGAAGGATTTTGCATGAGTAGCAAGCAGTCAACACTATCCTTTAAGCGCTGTGTAGAGATCAATTTAGGATAGTTGTGTATTTCCTGGAGCTGAATACTCGACCGCAAGCCCTCGGCTGTGCAGTCGCTAACTGTGTAGCCCTGAGTTTTGTTGCTGAAGGGCCATGCGCCCTTCCGGTGCTGGCGGTAGCACTTCTCCTGGTCCGGTACATTCTCCCGCAGCTGGTGATTATCAAGGAATTCCAGGGCTTTTGTGAGCATGGGTCGCCATTTAGGATCATCCGCAAAGCCTGCAACGACGATAGCTTGTGTGATGAAGGATGTATCCCACGCCTGAACACCATTGGTGCCATTCATCAACATCCCTTCATTCTTCACCCACATATAATCATTTAGACGCTCTCGATGACGACGGACCGAATAGCTATCAGGGCCGTCATGGAGGTAACAAGCAACCATGTTCATTGGGTTGCTCACAGGACCAAGGCCTGCGTAGTCGGTATTTTCGTCTTCCATGCGAATCAACTCCCAGGTCCATTCTTCAGCACGGCGCACGAGTGCGGGGAACCGCAGGTAGGGATTCCAGGCATTGACTAAAAGTGAGTTGATCGTATTCAAGAGCCACGTCTCGGATAGTAATTGTCAGCCTTGTGAATCGAATTACGGTGCTTTGCGAAGTTAATTGAGTCGTACGGCTCAGTATACAGCTCGCTTCGAAGCTGTTTGGTAAGCGGATCCAGTGGATGAGTGAATTTCTTAGACCACAAGTAAGACATGGGCAAAAAGACCTGGCGAATATGAATCCACCACCGCCATGGGGCAAATGGGACCCAGTCGGGAAGAAGCCTAAAGTAAAATATCAGTACTCAAAGGGGACTAATCATCGACTGGAGGTGAAGGGGAAAACGAGGCAAAAGGGGGCAGAACGGACCAGATTTCGGGAGGAACGGGGTTGACGCAGTCCCAATCCATGACTCCAAGAATACTAAGCCAAAATTTTGCCCAGTGAGGTCCATAAATGGCACCGCCAAATCTATGTAGTAGCCCACGGGCCTTGATCATTCGATGGTCGTCCTCACTGACACCAATTAAGCGCAGCGCGACATAATTCATACAGGTACCAAACACGGAGCTGTGGGCCTCGATGTGGAGACCCCAGCCTCCATCTTCGGGGTGCTGACGAGCGAAAAGATACCTCTTGATCTCAGTAGCATACTCCGGAGGGATTGGAGTGTTAGTTACATAGTAGGTGATAAGGAGTCCTGGCAACAGGAACATCGGCCCACCATACTCACAGGCCCAATTGCCTGGGGGTAGTTGTAATTTAGAGAAGAATTCCAGGCCATTCTCTGCACATTGTAGTGGCGTCTTTGCAGGTGGCAGCTTGGGGAGTCCCTGCAGGGAAGTCAGGATCACAAGTCACAAGACCGCCCGAGGCAACGACGAGGGTTGGAAAACAATACCGTAGGGAGTCCCAAAAAGTACTTATCAGCTACCGACTGAGGCCATTTTGCATTCTCTTCATCGGATTCGAGGTAATGCCAGGTATGACGACCATCATCGTCCAACAATCTCCACCTTGAGTAGTCTGTTTTGGGATCTCCATTGGCATCGGCGGTCAAATGGCCCTGCGCCGCGGTTCTCCACGGAGCGACAGGATCGGCCATATCTGCTAGAGTGTCTAGCAGTGTTTGCTTGGATAAGCTAGCCTGAAAGAAGCCACCAAAATCCGAGAGATCAGAACCGTCTAGCAAGCAATTGCAAGGAGTGGACGAGAATGGGGGAAAAAAAACGCCGAATGATAGATCTGGGGTTGGTCGATCTATTGATGGCTTAGTCATCAGGGGCAGCGCTTGCTGCCTGAACCACGAGGCACTGATCGATATCTTACGAGTACAATTCTGTAAGTAGTACTGATACTGTGTACACATCTGCGTGTCTTGCTCTATTTTCACTTTTCCGTAGAAACTCTAGAAATAACCAATCTGCTCAGAACTGCACTGAGTGGTTCTGTTGCGACGAATTGCAACATGATTATGTTGCTATATTGTGCCTAGTATGGTGTCTTGTATTACTGAACATCCATTCTCACATATTCGATCATTCTTTGCATCCCATGGAAGACGCTTTAGAGCACATGGAATTAGGCCTTCTGCACGATACTCCTCAGGACAACCATATGTCAACTTCCCTGCGCCGGGTCAAGCAATACATCAACGAGACTCTGGCATCTGCCCTTGACGAACTATCCACACCAGGAGGCCGACCAACCATAACACTCAAACGAAGATCAAGGAACGTATCACTGTTCATTAGTTCCACAAATAGAGCTCTTGAAAGCAACGGAGCAGATACTTATATCATCTATTCGTGGCCCGGCGCAAACGCCTTCGAAGCATGGAAATTTAGTATATACATCATTTCATTGACGACACTATCAAGGGTCCTTGTACTGATCTTTGTGACAATAGCTGCTGTCTTTCGGGTTCTTGCAGTCATTGCAGATGCTATTGATACAGGTTTAGTAGTTTCCAAAAGGTCTGCGATTCGCACCGAGCTTTCCGCAACTTCTGATGCCTAAGCAGAGACATATATTACAGTGACCCAGTCTGCTTTGGGACACAGAAGATTGTTGACGCAATTGTTGACGATCTGGCCTACACCATTGGAGTTGACAGATCCGCATTGAATATTGTATGTGAGCTTCCTTTACGATGACTACACTTGAATTGACCCTGTCGGTCTGACGCCTTGGGCAATGTAACAGGAAGCAGCCGCAAAAGGACTTGTGACGGGCTATTGTTGCCTTCTAACTAAATCTGGGCAGATAATGGATGTTAGATTACCTGACAAGGTATATAGATCTGAGGAGTACTCCGCTCCCTATGTCAAAAGTCCCAACTAACCTGGATAGGACTGTCTGGTACCAAATTCACAAGACAACGGTGAAATTGACATCTCAGATGCTAACTGGGTCTTGATCATCGAGAAAGAGGTGCTACCATTGCCCTGTTATCTCGTTACGAATGCTCATCTAGTACACAGGCCATATACCGTCGACTTGCAAGAAGTAATTATCATACTAGAGCGGCCGCAGGAAAAGGGATTCTCATCACTGTAAACCCTCCTTAATCTGAATAACTGGGTCAGTAATCAACAATGACTAGGGCAAAGGCTACCCAGACCTCTCAACTAGAGCCTTCCTACGAAAAATACATGATAAAAGCCGTAGATCAGACAAAACCCTACCTTTCTATGGTCTAGTTGACAGCGATCCCGACGGCATGGCTATTATGTCAACATACAAGTACGGCTCAATGGCACATACGAACCAGAATGGAACGTTGAACATTCCTTGTCTCTGGTGGCTAGGCCTCCGAACGTCAGATGTCGTATCTGGAGCGCCGAGCAACGACGACGGGGCTTTGATTAGATTGACAGCGAGAGACAGAAAGAAGATCATGACCATGCTGTCGAACAACCCTGTATGGGCAGCCGAAGGACCCGAACTGGAATGGCGCACGGAGCTGCAACAAATGCTCATGCTGAACCTGAAAGCTGAAATCGAGATACTTTATGATTGGGATGGAGGACTGGAAGGATGGATTGACCAAAAGATGGCGGGTTTCTCTCCACTGGATGATTAGTACGACATTACCCATATATATGTATAATTCAAACAAGCTATTTACTTTCTATCAGCTCTGCCGAAGAAGACCTGCAAGAATAACAAAAGAGCGAAAACAGGCCCCGATAGAAGCGCCTTGAACAGTAATGATGTACCATAAACGCCATGGCCCCACCACTAACCAAAGATAGATGCATGCATCCATACCAAGCTATGCTGCTCACCAGCGAGCAATTACTACAAGCACAAGCTCGGCACAATTAAAGAGGTACCACGCCTCTCCATCATATTCCAACCCTGAGAATCGGAGAACACCCCTACAGTCCCAAGCCCTTCCGTACCTCATCACGAACCTTGCGCTCATAGTCACTCCTCCGTTCTCTCCACATTTTAGCCGCCTCAACATTGGCAGGACTCTCGTCATTTGGCTCAGCAAGCATACTCATGACAGAGATAAGAATCTTCTCGACGCTCTGAATAGGTGACCACCGCTCCGACGCATGCTCATAGTGGTTCGGGTCATCGCCGGGAGGATGAAGAATGGAGATACACACGGTTCCATTGGGATACACTGTCCAGTCACAAGATATAATCAGCCAAAGCTCCAAGCCTCCTTTTAAGCACCCAGCCCCCCGGCCATCATAGATAAGAACAGGGGAAATTACCGTTAGGATGCCAAACGCCTCCACCTACAAACTTCATTGTCGGCGGACTCAACGGATAATCTTTTGGAAACTTCAACTCGGCAGCAAAAACGCCGCCTTCAAAAGGCGTGCCTTGTGGACCCTCAATCAGGGCTTCCCAGTGGAACATGTCATCTTCAGTGACCGGGCCGGCGGTGATGCCGTCTGGTGGGTTGGTGGAGAGGTTCTTGTACTCATGGAAAAGACGTTTTTGCGCGACAGTAGACATTATTGCTCTCTAGTCCTGTTGCAAGAATGTGAATATAAAGGGAAAGAAGAAGAACGTGATTTCGGAGATTAATGAATTATTTAGCGTTGTATTATTCGTAGTGAGGCGGTTTTGCGGAGACAACGGAGTGGGGTTGAAGTGCGGTCTTAAATAGTGAAGGCTATCAACTGAAGATAACTCATAGAATTTTTGCTCTTTTCTGCTTGGATAAGCCGCGGTAGTAATATGAAGCGATAAAAATCGTTCCGGTTCCAACCTCAACGCGGTAGTAGATAGACAAGAGGAAAATGAAGTTGCCACTGGACAGAAGGAAAAGGATGGTTGATGCCCCAGGCCGCATATGTTATTGCCGCTGCTTATCACCGAGGGCTCGGCCCGCATTTATGCTTGCATTGATCGGCATTGCTACATCAACTTTCAAGATGTGAAAAAACAGAAAAAAAAAGAGAGATAGTGTCCATGTCCTAATTATAATACAAATGTATTTCTCTATACCAAGCAAAAAGCGCTTCTCATATGTAACTCCCGTAAACTTGTAACCCGCCGCTTTGGAGTAAACGCCTCGTAAAACACGATTAAAACCAATCATAATCATCACCGTCTCCTGCGTCGGCATCGTCTGCCGCCCATGGATCCTCTTGACTCTGGGCCCAAGGATCTTGCGGTTCATCTGCCCAAACATCTCCATAGGGGCCTGTTTGGCCGGAGGCAGGTGACTGCTGGTCTTTTGGAAGCGCTTGTTGATCTAATGGAGCGGACTGCGACTGATGCTCTCCCATCACGCCTCGAGACATCGCATCATATCCGGCTATTGCTCCAGCACCGGCAGCACCTGCAGCAGCACCCTCAGCTAGTCCTCCAGCTGCACCGGCCCGGCCGAGAGTTCCTGCAGCCGCTTCACCCACAGCCCCAGCTTCGCCGGCAGCGGCACCACCAGCGGCAGCCTCTCCGCCCATACCAGGAATCCAGATAGGCATGAAACCAAACCCACCAGTACCACTATGACGACTAAAGTAGTCGAAGTCGATGCTTACTGCAGTAGCCAACATGACTGCGCGCTGGTCGAGCGTCATGCCAGTAACAGCGTTGTTTTGTGCAGGTACCTGTTCAGGGCTAAAGGCAGCCGAGTCCATTCGTAAAGCATATACACCAGTATCTGTGAAGAGTTCGCGAGCGAAACCAGCAAAGTTACGGTTAACGGATCCGACGAGCTGATCATTGGCTGAGCGAAGGGAAAAATCCCACGACAAGAAAGGCTCATCAACGTAGGCGAATTGACCGAATTCGCCCATAGCTTGACCACCATTTGCCGTTTGAGTTAATTGCATCTCCTGAGCGTTGGACAGACCGGACTGCTGAAGAGGCCGGGAGACGGTGCCCATATCCGTCGCGCGGTCCGGGGAGTGATGGTAGATGAATAGGTTGTATTTCCGCCGTAATGGTGCCCACTGCTGCTGGGCCTCGCCGATCACGCGCATGTCATCCAGCCCTAGTGGCGACACCCGGGCATTGGAATCCCCTGTGGCCTGGATAAGCGAGCCCGACTGAATGTTTTGTAGAGAGGTCGAAGAGGAGTAGGCACTTCTAGCAACATCGAGAGGGTCGTATACGCGGATACGGGAATTAATCCATGAAAATGGTCGGTGAAACTAGCTAATGTCAGCGCCACACTGAAAGCGAGGAGGGTATTTTTCAAGGCTCACGCGCAGAACTTCATTCTCTTGCCTGTCAAAAACGTGCGTCACAAAACTCCTATGGGTTCGGAACCACTGTCGAGCCATCATGTTGGTCATTCCTCGCTCTTGCTCCGCCATGTACCCGATATGATGCCCATTCGCATCCATAATTACATACTTGTTGGCTTGCTCAAACCCACTACGGAAAAAAAGAGCGCCAAGTTAGCCGGTAGATTTCTGACGCTTTCGTAGGCCGGAACACTCACATCATAACATTCATGAGCTCCAGTTGCCGCTGCACAACTAGGCCAGAATTTGCCAATATGCCTATTGCAGGGTGGTTTTCCTTTAATACTCCACGAGGATCTTCTGGTATATGAACAGGGGAGAGCAGAGTGTTGTGGGTGGGGTCATAGTTCGGATTTGGGGAACTGGCATCATTCGCCGCTGAACTCAGTGGTTCCGGTTGTTGTGAGGGCATATCGCCCCTTTTTATGGGCTCTGGCCTTCGTATCGAATTTCGGGGGCCACGAGAGCTAACTCGTCCTCTGGTGAATGAACTTGACAGCGCTCGGCCGGGGGCTTTAAGCCAACGTACCGGCTGTAGTTGGAGTCTAGCACTCCACATGTCTGGGGTAAAGGTAACAGCTAGTATATAGTAGGTTGGCTCAGAGTAAAGCGCGACTAGTTCTGCAGAGGACCGTAATAGATAGTAGCGGGATGTTGTTGAGATATTGGAAAGATGCAGCAGGCGGAGACCATGACGAACTTGTCAATGGAGTTAAGCGGAGATAAGGAGGGGCAGAATCAAGCAGAAAGATGACATCTACCTCTATAGGCAAGGGGATAGGAGCAACGGGATTACTAGTATTTTCGTTGGAAAATACAACACCATGTAACTTTTACCAGCCAATTCCGGCGTTATCATCCTCACTGTAAGCACCGATGAGAGTTTACATATGCTATACAATCTATGGATATTGTGTTAAGACACCAAATCACCTCGCGCGCCTTGCATCATAACCAACTTGAACTGATATCACAAAGAATGAAATATTGAAAAAAAAAGATAAACTTAGTCCAATTGCGTATACCAAGTTAAGAATCACAAGACACCCTTCCGAGCCAACTCAATCTTGCGCGCCGCTTCGCCGGGTTGAAATCCTCCCTTCGAGATGCAGACAGCACTTCCTTCACCAAGTTCGATCTTATCTTCGTTGTCGGGGTGTGCGCATGGGCAATGATGAGGAAAATGGACGCAAGCAAGTGTGCCGGGACATAGATACTTGTCGCATTGAGCTGTAAGCGTGGAACATATTAGTCATTATCTAGAGAGTATGGAATAGCGCGCGAGGTGTCGTGATCAAGTACCTGATTCCCACATGTGCTGATATCGTGAGCTATCACTGGGCTCATTTTGAGCGGCTTGCTGCTGATGTTCTTGACGTCCGCCGCCAAACATATGCTCAAAGAACTGGAACTGAGCGTGGGCCACGGAGGCCAGGAGGAGCAAAGCTCCAAGGGTCCGGATCCAGAACTGCAGCATTGCAAGTAGAGCCAGATATACGAGCCTCCGAGGTTATTGGCTAAAGCGATAGTATGCCTTACCCAATGTAAGCAACATGTCACTGTTCAAAGTAACTTGTGTGATTTGTATGCAATGAAGCCAACTTTCGCAAACACACGTGACCTGCCAAGACCCAGGTTGGCCGCCGAGAAAAAGTCACCATAGGAAACCGCGAGCAACTCCGTCCAACATCCAGGAACATTGGGGAGTCGCCCGTCCCTTGCTAATCAACATGCTACAACAAAGACTACTGGCACCCCTCCGGGTGCTGGAGAGAGCGATTGTGCCGACGCTCCGCTCATCACAGCCAATCTCCCGACCACCACCACCATCGTCAGTACTCTCACGAACCAACACCTCCGCATCGACACCATTCTTGAACCGCCTCCTCCCCTTCTCTCAAGTCCGCCATGCCTCCCACGCCACCCAGGGTACGGCGAATCGACATTCCCGTGACCCTGCGGGAAAGCGTCTTGGTGCGAAACGTACTACCGGCGAATACGTCGTTCCGGGTTGTATCATTTTCCGTCAGCGTGGAACGAAATGGTTTCCAGGCGAGAATTGCTCACTGGGCAGGGATCATACCATCTATGCCACCGAGGCAGGCTATGTGAGATATTACTTGGATCCTGAACGGCACCCTGACCGGAAGTACATCGGCGTCTGCTTTGAGAAGGACGGCAAATTGCCTACGCCTCGGAATGCCCCGACCAGACGGAAACTGAATAGGGTCGCTGTCCCTCGCATCGATGACACCCCTACGCCGATTGCTGGACAGTCGGATCTTGTTGCCACTATTGACAATGGTACTATGGTGTCCAGCGTGGAGGCTGTGAATGCCGAGTCAGGCTCCCAGCTGCGTCCAGGTTATATGTACCGTGAGGCGAACTGGCAGATTGGTCGAGCAGCTGAGAAGGCCGGGATTACAGCGAAGCCGTACAGCCCCAAGAATCGTTGGTTGGCATGGAGGAAGAGACAGGCTAGGGCCGAGCGGGCTGCCCAGATGAAGAGTCTCAAGAACAAGAAGAAGGCTTCAAAGAAGGGCAAGGGTGGCCGCTAAATGATCATAGCCAACACTTCGCACGTTATCCTATGTCTTCGTATATCCCGAATGGTGTCACACGGTATCGGGCTTAAAGGTGCTTTTGTACTATAGAGAAATGTCTACTTCCACTAAATCGTTATTCAATGTATTATGTATAGGAGTCACTCTTGAGATATGTAAAGCAATTGGAGCCAAATTCATTAAGACCTTATCCAAAACAAGTGCCGCAGACACACTGGGGTATAACTGCTATTATAAATGCCATGAGATTAAGCCCTTAACAAAGTTGCATTTCCTCGTCAAGTCTATAATCCTTTCCAAACAGTAAGTATAAATCATGAAACCACCGAAGATCAGAGGTATATTGACCGAAACTGTTAATCAATCAACCTCCCCAGGATCAAGCTTTGACAGACAAATTCGTTACCCACAATCCTGACATTGGTGTTCAGACCGAGATCACTGCCACTTATTGACTCGGTTAATTCATTTCTTTTTCGCTTTCTTGACCTCTGGGCGGGATAAGCCTTTGGGCTGCCAGGGGTAGAGGCTCCAAGGATTGTGGCTATGGCGGAGGCTTTTTCATCATTATCCACGTAGATCCAATCCCATTCACATCCAGTTCCAGTTGCACCCTGGTCAAGGACCGCCCGAGCTGACTTGATATCAGGTACACGTTCGACTTTGGAAGCACCTAATGCATATGTCAAAAAGAGATACGCTTTTCTTCGCTCTTCATCAGCTTTCCCGCGGCCCATCACGACTAGGACCGATTGCCCATGCAATAGATTAGGCCGCGCAGCAATGGTTTCAGGTAGTCGTGCTTGCATAGCAGGATAAGGATGCAATAATCTTGATTTCGTCGCTCCGTGGAGATAAGATGATTCCCCCGCGGGAAGCAAATACATCTCCCAATCTATAACCTGGCGTTGAGCTATGCAGTCCTCTATCCAGCGGTCCGAGAGGCAAGGAAGGTTGAGAGCTAGTGCCTGCATGTACTTTGGCCGGCGAGAATGCTTGTCAGCTATCAAGCAGGCAAAGCCCACATCTTCGGCGCCGCCTGTAAGACGGAACTGGTTGTTGCTCGTGGCTGGAGTTGGTGATTTCGATGGCGTAACAGCTGGACGGCTTGAAGGTAGATCAAACAGCTCATTGAAGCCATCATGGAGAATGCGTCCATCATTATCCAATATCATCCGCGTAATCCGAGTCTTTGATTCATCATTCTCCCCATAAGACACGGCAAACACCATTCCAGCAAATATACCGTTTGAATAACGGATACTGCGGGATAACCGAGTGCTGGGTGAAGCAGGCGTGGTGTGTCGATCGGACGGGGTTTGAAGTCTACTCTCTGACTGTGTATGTACAGAGCTGTAGCTATATGTTCGATCTTTGAGTTGGTTCCAGAGGATAGTATCTAGGTATATGCGGGAGATTGGAACTTTGACATTATTCTCAGGAACTGCAAGCCCTTCACGTGTAAGGCTTTTGCGCTGCTTTTGTCCTAAAACGACAGTTGAAAAGCCGTATACATCTGTCATACGGATAATGCCATTGGATGCCTCGTTTTCAAGATCTTCTATGCTCAATTTACCCTCAAACCCTCGGATAATGTGAGTCACCTTTGGCACATTGGGCATATCGACCTTCACAGCATCTCCGACCCGTAGCTCGAGCCGTTTGACAGCTCCAATGGGAACTTCAACGGGAGCACTGTCTTCGAATTTGACTAAATAACGGGACTGCGGAGTCCCCAGAGGTCTTCCAAAACAGGTTGCAGGATAAAATGCACGTTTTGTCCCGCTCCAGGCTGCAAGAACCTGATTTAGTGCGATTTCGGTATTGCCATCAATGACCGAGTCCTCTCTAGCGGTGTTGTTTTCGACAAGGTCCTCTGATGGCTTGTCTCGAGAAACTTCAACATGTTGTTCCGTGGGGAGTGATGTGGCTTCTGAACAGTTTTGATCAGCGACAAGCCGCGCATTAGTACTCCCCTCAGACTGAAGAGCTTCCTTGGCCTTCTGCTCGAGAATACGAGGAAGACCGAACAGCCGCGCACGCTCCTTCCGGGAAACATGATAGTGGGGAGAATCATCAACGTCCCATACTGTTCCCGCTCTCCTGGAAGGTCGTGATCGTTTCTCAAACCCTCCCTTAGGCGTAGTCACTGATTGTTCGGGCTGAAAGTCCCGGGCCGGCATTGTTTCGTTCTCCTTTGGGGGAGCAAAATAAGTGGCGGTACGGGGTGTAATAGGAAGCACTGGGTCAGAGGCGAAGACATTTTGCCCATCATTTCCACGTCGTCTCTTTCTTGGTGGAACTGGAGACAGTGCAACAGCAGATCTAAACTCCCGATCGTCGGTGGATAAGATGTTAATATCAACATCGAAGTTTCCGGTCCCAATTTGAGGCGAAGCATCAGCTGCAATCTCTGTCAGTGCCCTACGTTGTCTTCCACTTGGGCTAGATAGGATTTTGGAGTTATAGAAGCTCTTCACTGGCGACGAGCTATTTGAATTGACTGGTTGGGAATGATATCCTCGTTCATGTGTGGACGAGTAAAGAGGAGGGAGGTCGTCGTCCTCTTGATCCATTGTTTCATTATTCGCGTCACCTGCCCAGCCTTGATTAAAGAATCGATTCGGGCTCGTTTCTGGAATAGCTGTCGCTGGCATCACATCGCCAAAGCTCTTGGGACGTTGAACAGGTGTTTCAGCCACGCGAGAGGGCATCGAAGATGACTTCTCCTTGATATCAGACGCCGGCGCTTTGTCGCCTAGTTCTATAGATTTATGCACAGTTGAATTGCTAGATTGCATTAGACTAGTCTCCTGGACAATGGATTTTCTCAGTGGATGTTCGTGGGAACCATGTGAGCTGGTCGAGTTCGACCTGGATCGAGCCACTACATGGTCATTATCGAGTTGAAACGAGACTCGACTTCTTTGGGATGCTGAGGGAGGAGTTGACTGTATACGGAGTTGTTTCGCCGGAGACACAAGCTTCTCTGGAGAATGCTTTGTGCAAATGTGTGAGCCGGAAGCCTGGGCCTGGTTCTCGTCCCACATATTTGCATTATTCATTTCATGATTTTCCTCATCCTGGGGACCTGGAGACCGTTGAGAGTCCTTCACTATATAAACTTGGGATGACCTGCTGGTACCATCCAGCTGTTCGTCGTCAGCACCATGAGGAGGTAATTGGGACTCTGCAGCGTCTTGCAGTGACCTTCTGCGGTTAGGGGGTGGGACTCCATCAAGAGCAAGCGCCTGAGACAAGCGATCATGTGCATTGGTCGCGGCAGCCAGCGGGGTTGTAGAGGGATCATGATGGTTTTCTTTATCCTCCTCGGTCGAAGGATTTGGGTCTTGAGACCGACACATCCGTTGGGAAACCTCATCCTCCTGTTCCGTCTCTTCTTCGCTGATTGCGCCTGCAGCAACGTTTTCTTGGTGCTCAAGTGTGGGCGTAGCAGATCTGACTGCATCTGCCCTGTCTCGCTGGTCCGGCTGTCTGCTAGGTGACTTGCTCATTTTATCTGAGTTCTTGCGGCTTGCTGGTCTTGGGGGAGCTGAAAGACTGGCCAACTGTCCCCTGGTTTTCTCATCGATGTTTCTCTGTCGCCTTATGCGCTCCACAAAGCTGGGTTCTTTGTCAAATTCGCAGTCACTTTGATCTTCCGAGTATATATGGTCTGCAGAGCGCGTCATTCTCTCCCGTGAAATTATATCCCTCAGCGCTTGTGATTCTTGCATGGTGATATAATTGGGATATGGCTCTGAGGAATCCCGGGGAAAGGTTGCCGCAACGTTATTTAACGGTGAGGACAGAGCTGTGGCAAGCGAACGATTTTGAATAGGCAGATTAGGTGAAGGTCGGTCAGACATCGGATCCAATTGTTGGCCATGGACAAGGGGAGAGGAAGGGGCTTGGGTTGCTTTGAACACCTGGCTTAGTGCCATGATACCACCGCTTGATTCAAGCTCCGTCGCAAGAGGGTTCCTCGACGCTGTGGGGGTCACCGAAGCAAGGTCATCGACACTCCCTGTTTTCACTGCTGTCGCCGGAGTCTTCAACACAAAGCGCTGGGACTCGGGAAAGAGATTCGGCTGATACTGCATGGGAGATGACTCGCCGAGCTTGCAACTGCTCTGATCCTCGTTATCATCACCATTGGTCACATCGGTGTTTGACCCGTCAAGCCCAGCCAGCAGATCCACATGGCCAATATCGCCCTCGTGTAGCGTCCTCAAAGTTGCATTATCGGCAAGATTATTGTCCGACTCAATATCGGCAGCTTCCTGGTTCTGTCTTATAAGGTTGTCATAAACCGACTGCGAGATGACTTGGGTGTCGGAAGGTACCGTGTCTGCAGAGCTCATCTTCTTAAAGAGTTGCAACCCAGCGGCAGGGTCCTGTCTTCTTTGTTCAATGGATAATCGAGCAGCGTTTGTCAAGCTTTGAGCATTCTCTTCCTGAGAGGGCGACTCGGGATGACTCGACGGGGATATCCGAGAGACCTCTTGGCCAGTAGATGACTGACGACCATTAGAGATCTGAGAGTAATGCTTGTGGATGACAACGCTATCCTGGGAAATATGCCTGGCAAGCTCGGACCCGGGTATTAACGACTGGGATGGTGCAGGCTCCTAGCAGATGATTGGTGTTAGAGCAATCGAGATCAACAGCGCCACCAGTGTGACCACTCACTCGTCCCAACGCGACGCGTTGCAACTGTGGGATATCGATACTGTCATCCTGGGTCTCCATGATTCCTTCAGCCAGTAGATTATTAGACACGATATTGGCGGTAACTCATCGTCTGAAAGCTCCAAATGCGCCCCTCACCTTCACATGCCAGGGTAATACTAACAAGATGTTCTCGACCTCCGGAACCAAAAGAGCGCGAAACGCGTCGTTCACGTGACCAGATAATATTGCCGCTATAGGACTAGTTCGGTTTTGGGGTCACGCAGTGGATGCTTTATTGGTGTGTTACTTTTATGTACATGGCGGATATCAGTGTAAATTCATTTACAGAATGTTACATGGCCGCTAGTAAGTTCCTCCGGTTACCGTTCGGATGAAGGAAACTGGCCATTCTCAGATAGAACTGAAGATAGCTGAGTTGTATAATACATGTACACAAAAAGAGGGTACCTCACTAGTCCCGAGTCCGGTTTGGCACCCATCGCCTGATCAACATCTCTCGTACTGTATAACGAGCAAGAAGAGCGCCAATATCCTCTGAAGGTACATTGGTTTCTCCGGACATGGGTGGTGGGACTTCCACGTAGCAGACCACCAGGCTCTTCTTCACCTGGGCTTGCACTCGGTTAACGCAATGGAGCCACCACCAGCTGCGCGCCTGTTTCCTAGCACAATGAGCCTTCCTCTCCTCATTCTCGGACCAGTGAGGGTGCACAAATGATGGTATGACCACAACGGCAAATTCTGCATGCGAGAAGACAGGCCCGCGATTGTAGAGGAGGTAATCCACTCCGAATTTCACTCCGGAGCGCACAACCCATCCAAGGGACCGAAAGTGGTGATACACAATGTAGGATATCATGAAAGGGTCGTCTGGTTCTAAATCGGCTGAAGGATCACGAGGAGGGCAGTACGAATGCTGACAGAACTGAGACAGTAGAGAGGGAGGGGCCAGAACAGCATTTCGTTTGCCATCCACGATCTGTAGAGCGCCAAGCCCGTATACCAGAAAGAAAGCCTCCTCGTTAGACAGTTGAAGGTGCTCCTCATTGTTCAGTGAAGGCTTATCCTCCATTCCGTGTTCGTCAATTGCCGAATCGGGCGCACGCACGACACTCGAATCAGAAACAAACTCCTTTGCTTGAACGACCGGAGAGAACCGCACAGTTTTACTCCCGCTGGAGGTAGAGATATCAGGGGTGTCGGGTGTATCGGTTCCCTCCGTTTGTGCTACTGAGCGTTGTGACCCAGACAATTTGGCCTCCCTAGCTTTCCTCAGGGAAAACTTCTCTGTAGCAGGTTTACCATTAGTGACACCATCTGCGGATGGTGGCAGAGCCGACTGATCAATTGATGTGTCGCTGGCTTCCCTCGCGGCAGCTTCCGCCACAAGTCTCTGTTCGATAGCCAGCTTCTCCATCCTTGCCCTCTCTAATTTCAACTCGCGACGCTCGGTTCTCCGCTGGCGTGTAACCTCTTCACTGGTAACGCCACCGAGCAACCCTCTCCTCTTCTTCTCCCGTTCCAACCAGCTAGGCTCACTTCGACTCAGATTTCCTTTACCAAAAAAGCCCATCTCCCACAACGCTCGGATGGCTTTGGCATCTGTAACATGAACGGATGATGTCTCGGAGTCAAAGTAAGCCGAGTAGACTTCATGGTGCGGGGGAGCAATCAAGTATGTCAAATACGAGAGCAACACGCTGACAATGGACAGAGGGTTATGTGGTATTAGAGGAGGCAGAGGATGCACACTGATGGGAAGAGGGAAACGATGAATTTGTCTGTAGTTGGGCCTAGAGAACCGGCCAGGATGACCTTGGGAGGCATTCTTGTTTGTGGGCTCGGACTTCGCAGCGGCAGCTGCAGCCTCGGAGGCAGACATTGGATTGGATTGAGAAGTCATAACTAATGTAACAGAAAAAAGATAGTTGTATTGATAGTATACTACATAAGGGAAGAGTCAGCATGGAACCCTTCTTTACGAGACTATGCAAAAGATTCGACGTAGATTGTTCTCCTCAGATACCGTTGTAGTCAATTAAACCACTTCATCGACAACAGCGAAGAAATCAAGGTGCCATTGCCTAGGTTTAGGTATATTGGTGTCATCACCGGAGATCAACTGCAAGTCTTTCTTCTGACTGAAGCTGCATTTGCTTACCAGAAAAAAAATTTTTCTGGGTGCTCCCAGTCCTGTGACGAGGTCACGGACAGGCTGTAACCAAGAGCCGTGAATAACTAAATACAATTGACGAGTAGCAAGAGATATCCAAACATCGTCATATTGCGACGTCACGATGGATGCTCATCATCATCCCAATTCTCTTGTTTTTGCCCTAAGGTCAAATCTGGTGGTTTATGAGAGAGAAAAGAAAAAGTTCTGATTGAGAACCGCCTAATAAAGGCCTTGATGACTAAGCACATTGAGTGGCCCGTGCGCATCACGGTCCGGCGAAAAAAATTGGGTTTTGATGATTGCGGGCGGACTTCATGGACAGCGACTTTCTTTCCAGCACCCGTACTTCCTCACCAGTAACCGACTAAAACAACATTATCAAAGTAAGTTAGAAATTTACAACCCCCGATTGGCATGAACTTCGCTGACCACTGTTTCACTAGGATGCATCTTATGGTACGTTCCCACAAATGCAGCGCCCCTACATCACCCTGCGATAGATGATCATTGGAGTTCGAGCACGTCCAGCAGGAGCTAATACGATCTTTAATAGTACACTCTGGACGCTGAGGGAAAGCGGGTGTATACCCTCAAGAAAGTCACCCCTGAGGGAAAGGTTACCAAGAGCGCTCACCCTGCTCGGTAAGGGTTCATTCGGTTGATATTGAAGATACAATGGTTAATAACAGGAAAGCTTCTCGCCCGATGACAAGTACTCCCGTCACCGTGTGACCCTGAAGAGAAGATATGGTCTCCTCCTGACCCAGCAGAAGGGTACGTAAACGCTCGCTCCCGAGGGTCAGCTTGAATCAACGGCTAACTTCTATTATCAGATTTGCAAACTTCCGAGCTGTAGAGTGCGAAATCATGGGATAAACCAGGTTGTTTCATAGGTGCTGTTTGAAAATCATGTTCTTTTGGCGAATGGTGTTACGTGCGGACATCTAAATGAGAAGTTTTCGGAGGGACTCTTTAATGCCTACCACTTGCATGAGGGATTCCAAAAAGTGTTGCTCATATTCGGTCATAATAGTCCGGCCTCTCGTATAGAGAAGATCCACTTTTATCTATACCCTTATATATGCCCTATGTGCTCTATGAACCGTCACAAATCGGTTATCGTCATAACCCATGCAGCGTAGGAAAAGACAAGTAATCGTAGAACTGTTTTTTTTTTTTTTGCCAAACTCCAGTCCAATATCCATGCAAAAAGTACAGCGGGGGATAATTACCGCTTCCTCGAATTCACACTCTTACCAGCGCCAACTTTGATCCGACCACCGTGCTTGTTTCTCTCTCCAGTCAGAATTCCAGGGAGATAGTCCTCGTCCATAAGGTCCCGTTCCTTCCGAAGTCTTCGGCTTTCCTCGGCGGTAGCTCTGACATATTCTTTTTGATCTTCTGCGAGAATAAGATCGGTTCCCCAGCCGCCTTTACCCCCGCCTCCTTTCCACTTTCCACTAGAGCTTCCGTGGGTGGGCTTGGGAATACTAAATACGTTTCCTCGGTTGTTCCATTGCATGTTTTTCTTCAGATGCATCTTGAATTGCCCATTGGCATCGGTAGTGCAAGAGACACGAGTGAGGGTGTCTTTTCCGCACCGTGGGCAAAATTGCTTGTTCATGTCCTTGGTCGTGAAGAAACAAGCGTGGCAGCGTTTAATGAAGGACTTAAGATGGCGAATTCTTTGTAATGTTGTCGTCGAAAGTAGGTTCAAATTCATCTGGAGTAACACGTTTTGGCACTAAATTATAGTCAGCCACGATGTGTAGGTGACATACATGGAAAACAGGATTCGCTTACCGCAAAATCAGTCGTCATCGTCGCAACTTGCATAATCTTGGGCTCCGGTGTCGCCGACGCAGAGATACCCTCGTCGCGGGCTTGTTTCTTCTTCAGATTTGAAGGGGTGATCCATTCTCCGCCATCCGAGTCAGCAGCTTCGTCGTCCTCTTCCTGAGGCTCTTGGGGGTTTGATGGTTCGGTTGGCTTGGCTTCTTCAGCAACGGTGGCTTCATCCTGTGACTTCTCATTCGGTTTCTCTAGAGCCGTGTTCTCCAGATCCTCCGCACTTGCATCAACTTCAGGACTTTCGGTCTTCTGCTCAATCTGGCCAGACTCATCCGCCGTCTCGGGCTTTTTTACTTCCTCCTTGGCGGGTGGCTTGCCATTCACCTGTTTCTGTCCTGGGACACTGCGCAGCCGCCAATCGCCACCGTTCCTTTCACACTCTATTTCATATGCAAGCGCCAGAACTTCAATATCAGTTCTACTCAAAACGGCCCTATCGCCAGTCTTCTTGGCGAATTCGCTCAATACACTGACACTCTTCGGGGTCGGAGTCCGTTGTTTTAAGAAAGGCAGATACATAGTCTCCACTCTGAGTCGGGCATCGGGATCGCGAATTTCACTGACCACCGATGGGGTAATAAGAAGTTCCTCGCATTGTGCGAGAAGGGTGGATAGCGGCGGGGTATTCTTCAAGATAGGGCCTGCATCAAGGACGATGGTGTGGACGGGCTTGGGCGGCGATGTCGTATCCGCCATTTTGGTGATCTGGTATACTAATCTTCCAGCGATGGAGAGAATAGCACGCGCGAATGAGATCTAGAGGATGCTGTGGTCAGTTGGTCCCAAACGGCGCCGCCAAAGTGGGTGAATTGATTTGATTTCGCTGGAATTTTAGCTGGTCTGTGCGCTATCCTTATCTTAGCGCGGGTTCATCAACGGCCGACATCATTGGGTCCACCGATTACAGGACAGTACAATACCTAACAGCAGCAAGGACTTAGTAGTACTTAAAGAGTACCAGTAGAAGTAGTAGGTAGGAGGTACGGTATACTGTACAAGGTATGTATGTACCAGGTAGGGACTCGTTTGTACCTACTAGTAGTAGTACTGCACAGTATGAAATTTACCAAAACATTGAGTTCGGCTGCGTACTCCGTACAGGTCAAATGGATTACGACGTAGTACACTGCATATCCGCTGTCCCCAGAAAAAAGACAAAAAAGTTTCAAAAAAAAAAAAAAAAAAAGACAAATAAAGAAAAATAGAAAAAGTTGAACTCGTACAAATCTCTGCAGAAATAACATCCTTCGGAGATAATGCATCATGCAGGTTGAGACATGGATCATTCGTCCCCATACCGCCATACTTGACATGTCACGGACGGCTTCACGATGTACACAACAACAAAGCAAGCCCATTGCGTGAAAGCAACATCAGGATACTATTACTACTCGGCCCGGTACAGGTTCTGAGTAGCTAAACTCAGATCCAAATCTATCGGCGCAACCGTTAGGCTCGCCTGAAGATCACCAGGTATATGAACTAGCGTGGACCTGATGGGAGCTGATCGGCCATCAACAAAGAAAAAGTACGACGGGGATCTTTGTTTCTGGCTGACCCTTGATCTGGACCGTTCGGTGGATCGATCAGATCATGGCTGAGCTGGTATCTTGGACAAAATCTAGTCAATGAATCGACGAGTATTCATGTAAACATGCAATCGATCAGTGACGACGGGGGAAATTGACAGGTAGAAAAGAATCTATATCCGGTTTAGATAAAGTTGCCATTGTGTATCCCCAAGACTCACGAGTAGTTATAGATCCAACCTCGGAATGTAACTATGTATGTACATAAAATGGCAAACACTAACGTACTCTGGTCACCGGTTAGGCCAGGGTTCAATCGATGTGGAGGGAGGCGTTGATCCTCGTAATTGGCGTCGACTATATGTAACCTTCTCGATAGCGCGCCAGTCACAAAGAATCTCGATAATGCCTCAATCTGCATGCGGAAAAGGTTTTTTTTTTTTTTTCAAAAAAATTATTTATGTATATATATATAAAATAAAATAAAATAAAACTAGGCAGGACGTAGCGAGTTCAGCCGACAGGGCGAAAAAATATGTTATTTTTTTTCTAGTTCCTTTTCCCCATCTCCACCTTCTCTCTCTTTTCTCTTGGGAAGCAAACAACCACGTTCTCTCCTCCAGTGAATTGGACTTCCCGTAACCCATCATGGATGAAAGGCTTGGCCCATCAAGTAGAGTCGGATCATGCCATACAATACATCCAGTTAACGGAACCATGAAATATAATCGCTTGCCTCGTTATTGGTAGAATTTCAGGACGAAACAAGACCTACATCAGATCAGACCAGCAAAAAACTGCTCCCCTTGGCTGTCCCATACTGCGACAGTGGTATGTATATAATAATACCTGCAGTCCGGAGGTGATAAAAGTCAACTAAAAAGCCATTTGAGATTCGGATAATCCAGATCGATGGCCCTGCGGGATAAGCAATCAATAGAACCCCTGCATTCTACTCCATTGCAGTAAAAATCTCACAGCACGATATTGGGACCTGAGCATGAACCGAACGCCAGAAGTATCTCTCAATCTTTTTGGCAACTGATGGTACGCATTGGAAGATCGTGTCCTTCAAGGAATGAAGCATAATCCGAATTTCCAGGGTGCAGTACATACCGTATGGCAAGTCGTGCCACCTGAACTCCCATCAGCCCTTTCTTCAGCATATATTAGCGTAGCTCATGGATCTTCTATGTTACCACATTTGCATGGGTCACCTCCGACGGGTAGGCCAAACGGGATGGAAGAGAGGACAAGAAAGGAAATGACCAAGGACCAACCGATAATAAGGTCTCCAAAGTCAGGCCACAGGTAGTACTGCATCCTGCATACTTAGTCGTACATGAATATACATCCATGTCGCTACGCTACTAGTGCCATTGGTCATGCATGGCCTACGAAGGTACGGTGGTACTTTCCGTAGCACAGCAGAAAGAATATCCCAAAATGAACAAGTAAGATGGTCAGATGCAAATTCGACAGCATTGGAGAAGAACAAGCCTCCTGAAGGATTGGAATTCAGCATAAATAGGTGGTGGGTGCTATGATGCTCATGGTGAACGCGACTGGATTGGTGTCCAGGGAACCTGACGGAGGGACATTAAACAGAAAGGAAGAGAAGAATACAATTATGTCAACGTGCAGGTTCTTCCGTGACATGGCTAAGAATTGCTTGGTTTGACTTAGATTAATGATCCAATAATTATTAGAAGAAAAAAAAAAAAAGAGAGTAATTACAATATCACGCTGCAATTGACCAGTGGATATAAAAATAGCCAAACCAGGCAACCGGGTGCCTCGTACAGTCTCGCACAGACTCCTGCAGACGGATTATGTGACATATTAACCCCACTGCATTATCCAATTCTTTTATATTCCATACGACTGGGATATACCAGGCATCTACATGGGATTTCATAGCTTTGTCGGTAATATCAAGCCAATCCATATCCATTAGGGCAAACATCTCACATGTGTCACTGGGGATGGAATCATGAGAGATACGTAATAATATCCCAGCCATCCATTGCTCTGAACTAATAATTGTGATTGGCTTTTACTTCATTGGCAACTGTCAAAATCTCTAGTGCAATTTTAAGCATTCCCCTTAGTCCATTATTCTCGGTACCACGAGTAAACGCTGAAGTTCTAATAAAGCAAATCTAGATCGTCAACGTCAACGTACCTCGACGTTAAGTTCAACGAGCCCAACGCTTACCTGAAAGAGATGAGGAGCCTCGCTTGAAGCCTCCAATCATAGAGGTCTCCTAGCCCAGTAGAGTTGACGCTATCAATGTCGGACTTGAACTGTTGTGCCCGAAGTTGCAATCCAAGTTTTTAAGGACGATAGTACGCAACCACGTCCATGAAAGCGGGAGATGAAAGACTGCAAACTCTGTGGCCGATTATTGAGAATAATTCTCATTATGAAACGATATTATTGTGAAAACTCTTCGTTTTAGTATTGTGGTGTGGGGAAAATTTGTGAGGTATCAACTCCATTGACGCACACTCCACACTCACGGGCCACCGCCGTCCCCATCGTACCAACGACATGATAATCGCATGGCGACTAATTCTGACTATCCGTGCATCTGCATATGGAAGTTAAGATCCAGCTGTACGGTACTTTACAACCCCCTGCATGTGCGTTATTCAATGTGGCGATGTCACTCGCGGAAACCCGTTCCTCTCAGAAACTACTTTAAAAGCAAATTTGACTTATCGTATTCTCTCGAACTGGCCCGGCTTGAGTTCCTTTCAGTTGATGCATTGCTCACCGGGACTTCTCAAAAAGATAAAAGTATAATAAGAACCGCAAAGCTCTCCTGGGTCCAGGGGGAACAAGAAGGGTTTACACGCATCCCTTGCTCGAAGACCCTACCAAGTATAGCCTCACCCTGACTGGATGCTCCCTTTTCAGGGAGAGAGGAACAGTGATGTCAGGAAAGGGCCTGTGTCAATTAGAGCGTGTGAAGCTTGGAAGAACTAGCCAGAAAGGAAAAGAGTAAAATTAAAACGAAACAGAAAAAAAAATAATAAAAAAAATTACACTGTAGTGCTTGGGGTATGCCGGGAGGAGATTATCCCTGACATTTCCAGATGCAGCCCCCTAGGGCATGAATCCTGTTCGTCGCCACGATCGTGCTACCTTCAGACCTGGGCGGAGCTTGCTGTATACATCACGATAGAAATTGTCATACATACAGCTGTGACTGCTTTCTTTGTTGGTGCGTAGGTTAAGCTCGAGTACAAAGTACCTCTTTCTGTGCAAATCATGACTGTCACTGCATATGTACAGCGTTGAACATTTCTGGAAGGTTTGGATACATCGCTGATCCATTATCCACGTCCTTTATGACTGGACCGGGTTATTTCCTTGGCTAGTTGCTACTGTCACTGTCGATCATTTGAACCTATAGTCGGGTCGAGTCTAAAGGCTGGAACTCGCCGCTATCCTTATGTCGCAGGGGCCCTCCTTAGCCCCATAACCCAGTTCGAAGGCTTCAAGCCATGAAAAACCAAAAAAAAAAGAAAAAAAAAACAAATAAGAAAAAAGAAGAAAACTCTATCTATCGACGTGCTAATGTCAAAGGCTACTACAGCAACTTCCTCCTAATGATTAGCTTATTCGATCTCTCCCTTACTTACTTTCCGATATCCCCTTTGTCCTCATGAGACTTTAGCCCTAGTCCCTGTCACTGCCTTAGCGTCAGACCCGCAAACCTGGAGAATCAAATGAGACAAGGAGGATCTCCATGGATAAGATGCTTTATCTGGCTCCATCCCTCATGAATCCTGGCCGTTTCTGGGTTTTGAGTGACGTTTATATTTCAACCTATTCCTCAGCTAACTGCCCATGGGCTGTCCTCTGTTGAATGTACCACCGAGTACTACGGCGTACATGAGGGCCATTGGGGCCTGTGTTATGGTTGAGCAACTTCGGTTGTCACACGAACTGCTAGCCTTCGAGATATATATTGAGATTCTAATCCTGACGGGGCTTTTGTCTAATTTCTTTTGCCCCCTGCTGAGGCAAGGCTGTAAAAATTCGTTATTTTGTGGATTGCTACAATGAGTACTAGCATTCAACACATCGTGCACCCACGGGGTGACGATCAGTCATATCTTTCCACTGGAGGCAAGAGTGGGATGGCAATCAGCATTGCATTCACCAGCTTAGCTACCATCTTTGTTTCTGCCCGAGTCTACACGCGTGCCGGCATAATGAAGCGCATGGAGTCGAACGATTATATGGTTATGATCGCTCTGGTAAGTTATCACTGGCTGACACGCACGTACAGTTCCTCAGCGCTAACGTGGCGGTCCAGACATTCTCCTATGTCTTCATGGCCTTTTATATTATAGAAGCATTGAATGGAATGGGTATGCATGGCGCTGATATCCCGCCACCCATCCTCCTTAAGCAGATGAAAGTGAGTATGGAAATAATGGCAGCTTTCAGCAGCCGCATCACATCAAGGCTGACATGACTCACCTCTGTCCCAGGCATTCTGGATTACTATTCCATTCTATAATGCCGCGCTTTTATGCGCCAAAGCCTCGATCCTTCTGCAGTACTTCCGCGTCTTCCCTACCAGACGCATGCGCCTCATCACCTGGGTCATGTTAGGCATACTCGGCGTCTACGGATCCTGGGCAGTTCTGAGTGGCTTTCTCAATTGCATCCCTGTGGCAAAATTCTGGGACAAGAAACTTGAAGGGTACTGCCTGGATGACAAAGGGCTGTGGTTCTCAAATGCCTCGATGCATATCACCACCGATCTTGCTATTCTGATCATCCCTATCCCGGCTCTAGCGAAACTGGATCTTCCCAAGAGACAGAAGATTGCATTGATCACTGTTTTTGCACTAGGCGGATTGTAAGCCCACCTATCTTTCATCATTGGTTTCTTGTCGGCAAGATCTAACCGCTGTCATAGCGTATGCATCACCAGCATCTGTCGTCTGGTCGCCCTTAAAAAGATCGCCGATTCCACAGATCCAACCTGTACGTCTCCCACTGACCAGATACATGTAAACTGAGAAGGGGCATTATTTCTAACGAAAATACCAGTTGACAACGTCGGCGCCGCCTCCTGGTCCGCCATCGAATGCAACGTAGGAATCATCTGCGCCTGCCTCCCCACCCTGCGACCTCTCGTATCCCGCATTGTGCCCCATCTCTTATCGACCCTAAGCAGCCGTAACCGAAGCTACAGCCGGAGCTACGGTAACAGGCGATTCTCGCACGGACGACCCCCGACATACTGGGGCGGTGGAGCAGGGACAGGGACAGTCTCAACCACCATCACGGCGATGGATGATCTCGAAGTCGGGAGCCACTGCGCCGACTCAGAGAGGGCTCTAACACATGTCCCTGGGGCGGACATCACCAGCAAGGAGAAGTTCGTGCTCAAGGAAACGAAGAGTATGGAAGATGATTCTGAAAAGGTGCAGACCGCAGTAGGATCAGCCATTTCACGATGATGGGGCTTTCGTGGAGGAGCCATGGGGAGATTGTGGAACTTTGTTTCTCAACGCGAGGAAGAGGCGTTTTATAGAGATATCCCATTCGTTTGTGCTTTTCTCTCTCTTACGATTCTTCCTTCTTGTCGCAGGCGTTTTGATATCGCTTGCTCTTTTTATACTCTATTATGTCTATTCTTAGCCGTGTGTTGCTCTATATCGTTCCTTTTGTATATATACAAGTTTACCAAATCATTAATAGAACACTGAGCAACATACAAAACATGTCTTGAATGGGCAATGGATTGCGTAGAGATTTATTCGAGGTAAGTAAAAGAAAGAAAAATACATTTAGTATCCCGAGACATTGCATTGGAAACTGAACAGCTTTATCAGATGTATATATAGATCTAGGTATTACCGTTCCAACATCGAAATCCCAGATAGTGCATAATTATCGATGGAACCATTCCCTGATACTCCATAAGAGAGCATCAGAAATCTGCGAATTCCTTGTCCACCTCCTCGAAATAGTCGAAGAAGCCCTTGAAAAGCTTCACACCCAGTCCCGGATCCAAGCTACCGGTAGTCGCACGGATACTGTGCATGCTCAGTTGCGGGATCCCTACATCAATGGCCCTCATGCCAATGCGAGAACTGGTCATGGGTCCAATAGTCCCACCACTACGGGAGTCATTACGAATCTGGAAGACTTGCAAGGTCGAGCCACAACGATCAGCCACACGCTTGATGAATCCGTAGCTCACACTGTCTGTTGTCATATGACCGTTAGAGTCAGCCGAGACGGCCACACCGACGTTCAGACGGGGAGCATGGTTCTCAAGGTAGACATTAAGGAAGTTTGGGTTGACCGCATGGATGACGTCCGAAGAAACGAAGAAGCTGTTCGCCACAGTTTGAGACAGCACGTTGGGGCCGTAATTGGGTGAAAAGGCTTCCGTGATACGCTCTATGACGCTGCTCATGAAGTTGGATCGAGCTCCCTGGCGAAGCAGGCTTCCAATTTCCTCGTCGTCAAACATACCGACCATCTTGATAGAGCTAGTTGAAGTACTATCGGGCGAGGCAAGTAGAGCCTCCTGAGCGGCATAGCAGCAGAGCTTATCGTCAATGCGACCAGCAAAAATCAGGTCCTTGTCCAGGCCACCAACCTGTGCTGGTTGACTGTCATACAGCTCCAGCTCCCAGCTGATAATCGAGCTGTAGTCTGTGATACCAAGCTCCTTGGATACGACTTTAACAAGCTTTTCGGGTTGTGTGGCTGCAAATGTACCGGGCTTGATCCCGCTATCCTGGTCCGCCTTGGACGGGGCTTGCTGCTGGAAAAGATCGGAGTTATCAACACCAATAATAGGCACCATCTGTGTCTCTTTGTTGAAGGGGCCTTGCGAGGGAGCTCCGAAATGAGGTGCTAGGGTTGGGATCCGGGCGATGGGCCAGTCCAGCTTGACTAATTTGGACTCGACTTTCCCGGTGTTGGAGTCCTGGACTAGGACACGGCCACCAATTGAGAGATCACGATCCCACCATGTGTCACTCAGAGCGCCTGCGTAGGGCGCGACTCCAAGTTGGAGAAAGCCAGCCTTGTTGGGCAGCTTGGATACGGGCTTCAATTTGGCGGTGAGTGCATCGATATGACCTGCAACAATGGCCAATCCATTGCCACTCTTATAGTCTCTTCCAATTGAGAATGAGATGAAAGCACTGCCATTTCGAGTGACATAGTACTTTCCACCCTTCTCTAACTTGGAGTTCCACGTCTCGCGCTCGGGAAGGCGCTTATATCCCTGGCTTTCGAGTTGCCTGGTAAAGCCGTCCACCGCATGAAAGATCGTAGGGTTTGCTGTCATGAATTCGCAGTATGGTTTTGTGTAATCTTCCGGGGCGAGGGTGCCAGTCCTCGCCACTGGGGTCGCAATGGTAGCTGGGGTGGGCTCAGGAAGCTGGGCCGACAGGCGATAAGCATGGCAGAATCACGGAGATCAAGAACACTTCTCTTGGTCATATCGAAGGCTAGACGTTGAAATTTCTTAGTTTAACCGCTAGATATCTCATCGGAATGTGGTCTAAGAGGATTGGTAGCAAGGGAAAGGAGGAAGCAGGGGGGATGGGAGAGTTCTGAAGAGGGGAGAAAGAGGAGAGAGCAGCTGAGCTGGAGCTAATTGCGGTCACGCCTTATCAGGGAAGCCGATAAACGATCCATCACGTCCTCGTATTTTAATTCAGGAACCGAACAAACCTCAGGGCTCAGGCACGCCGATCCGCCAAGACGGCAGTTCGACGTCACACGCTCAATAAATGATGCAATTGGATGAATGTTTTCTTTTCCAGTCAAAACCACTACGTAGTACCTACTATAGTACCTACTATGGCATCTAGTACATTGGACATCTTTTGAGATCATGGGGTATTCAAGGCACAGACTATCAAACAGCCATACTTGAAAACAGCCAACGCCGAGAAACGAACCCGGTGTATCCAGCCCGCCGCGGCTGAATCAACCCTAATCATCTCTTCAACTGCTCGAACCAACATACGCATTCCAGTCTACAACACCACCCGCACATTGCTCAGTAATTGCTGGGCCTGTGGTTGTCACAACCTCCCGCTTACCTCGCACAATAGAGATCCTGACAGGCCCTGTCTGGCCTTTGAAGGAGAAAGATCCATGATTGACACCAGGGACGGCGTCAAGAACAGAATGTGGACCTGATCCAATTTGGACATGGACCTCACTCGGCTCAGTGACAAATACGCTAACGAACACCTTGTCCTGAGAGAGCTCGTGCGGTTTCATTTCTGGTTGACCTATGCCTGGGCTGTTCCCGGTTGTGCCGTCGGCGCTACCCGACTGCCCGGGGTTCAATCGATACCAATAAACAATCTTGTCTGCATAGGATATGGGGTACTTCTGGTTGAGGAAGGTCTTGACTGGGTTACTGTGGCAGTTCGCGATGTTCCGTCTATACCCGTCAATATAATGAGGCAGAAAGGTTCGCCAGGCATCATGAGGGTGATTAGCGATGTACCGCGAGGCCCCTTCAGGCACTCCAGCCTCGTAGATAGGCCCGATGTAATGCGTCTCGCCATAGTCGTTCCAACTCAAGACCTGGTAAATATAAGTCCATGGGAATGGCAGACATTTTAATAAAGGTGACCATACCTGGACAAGAGGCGGTTGCAACTCAATTACCTGTTTCCAACGATAGTGCCATAGATCATCTCCGCGCCAGAGCCAATTCTTTCCCCATTGGGGGAGATTTGTGTAGAACCAGGGAGCTACGGGCATCATATATGGCTTCCCTGAAAGAGCTTTCACCCACTCCAGATCGTTTGTCACCTTCATGTCGTCTGTACCAACCGGCCAAGCATCCCAGCTAAAGGCGCCGTCGATATCGTTTAGAACATTGCGTATACCGGCTGGTCCCATGCTCGTCCAGCAAGGGATGAATAAACAACCCGTAGCGGCCTTGATATTCGGCCAGTCACCTGCGTTGCCCACACCTTCAAATGTAGATACCAGTGGCTTCCCCTTGTAGTAGAACTGCGCCTTTCGATTCTTATAAGAATTGATGATAGTGATAACTCGATCTGCCGGCCAGGGCCCACCCGACAGGTAGTCAAACGAGATAAATAGGGAAAAGTTTCCAATCTTTTCAGCAGCATCATATGCTGCTTGGAGGGCCCGATCGGTGTGATGGTCTTGCGGTGCAACGTTCAATGCAAACCCATCAATGTGGGCTTTCTGCGCCTCTACAATGTCAGACTCCCACTGATCTGACGTCATATAATACGCATTTCCAATCTAGTATCCGTCAGCATAGCACGCTTGTTTGTGAGGACTAAGCTGTTCTCTTACGATGAAGTGGGCGAAAACATTATGCGAGTCAGGCGGTGTGGAGATGCCCTGTGGCGGGGGTTGAGCAACAACGGGGGGCACTGCTAGCGAAAAGATGATGTATGATGAGCCTCAGAGCCTTGATGTGAAAAAACAGGTCTAGGTTATGTTGAGATTTCCAGTCAAAATTTCACATATCAACATCCGAGAAACACAGTCATTATATGCACAGCCGGGCCTTTGAGTGACGCGTGCGGTAGGAAAGAAACAATTGGAAATTGAAAGCATGAGTATGGCACATCAAGACAAAAAGCTATGGGTTCGAGGATGCTGTAGTGTAGAATACCATAGGAGTACCATATGGACCGAGTATAGGAGAGGTTCAATTGAACTGGCCTCTCTTCTTGGAATGACAGAAATGCAAGTGGAGATTCACCCACCTTGTGCTACTGGGGGTTGCTGGTACTGTTGGTGGTGGTGGTGATGATGGGGACGGAGTTTCTCCGGGGTATGAACATGGTCGATAATACGATCGAGATGGTGTTTCATTGTGGAACTTGACAGCGGAGCACCACGTGGCTGCGAGGAATATCGGAAGGAGCGCAAGAAATCAAAGACAAACACTTCAAGACTACAGTATGCCGAACACCAATTGAAGTGGCATGCAGAAGCTTGAGATATTCCAAACGCCGAAGAGGGGCCAAGGGAATTTTAAAAAGAAAAGGATCCCCCTCATCTGACCGTACAGGACCCTCTTGGGAACCGAAGAACAACATAGATATCGCCACGAAACATGGGTAGATAGGATGTGGTCTATCAGGTAGACACACATACGGACATGCATCGGCTTAGGTCTCGACTGGACGGATTTCCCCTTTCGTCTTGTCGATCGCACCAAATTGACCAGTTGTTCGACCCACATGACCGGCACTGTGTCTTGGGCATTACAGAGGCATAGCTTTTTGGCAACGCTTTTCTGATCTATCATAATCGGTGATTATCATGCATGAAACCCAACTCCCCAAGCAATCTTTCTCTCACCGACAACGTTCAGTCTCGAGTGGGTTTGCAAATGGCGTCATCAGCTTCAGGGCAAGTCCCACCACAACGCGGTGAAACTCACGCTTGAAAAAAAAAAATGTAGAACAGAAATTGCCATCAAAATGTCCAAAGATGGAATATATCAGTATATTAACCCAGTCGACTATGGTTGGGCGTTCCAAGAATTTTACCCCAGCCCAGGCCGACTCAGTGATGTCAGTCTTGATGATGTACTCAAACAACCACTCTTGAAATGTCACCTTTTAATACAGGCAAGCACCATCCGCAATTAGAACTGTAAGTTAACCAGAGAGCTCTTTAAATAATCCAATCGCTAAAAATGGCCGCATCCCAAGCCGCGAGTGTCGTGGAAAAGGTGATTGAGCACAGTGATAATGCCACCGTCACAATAGATGTGAGTAACCATGACAAGGGAGCCTACGGGCAGGAAACGGGAGAGAAGATCAAGGCCACGACGTGGCAGGGAAAGGACAGTGTTCAAATCGGTACATATTGAAACATGATCGGGAAAAGGTCAGCCTGACAAGTCAGCAGTCGAGATGCCAAAGCCAAGTGTTGTGGATGAAGGTGACTGTCGAAAGCGTGGGACCAACTGTGAAGAAGGTCAAGGCTGGAGATCGCGTTGTTGCAGCTTTTCCAATTGCTTGTGGAGAATGCAGAAACTGTAAGGAGCAATTGATGTCAGTCTGTGAACGGACAAATGAAAACTCCATTACGCATGCGATACATGGTAAACGGACAGCAGGTATATTGTTTTGTATCCCAATGTCTCTAGTCAGCTGAAGCTTATTTTTGTTACCCTAGGGGTGTTCGGGTATAGTCATTTTACTGGGGGCTTCGCGGGAGGCCAAGCAGAGTACGTACGTGTACCTTACGGTGATGTTAATCCACTGCAGCTCCCAGCAGACGTTCCAGATGAGAAAGGTCTTTACCGTTCAGATGTCCTAGCGACTGCATATCATTGCGTCGTTGATACGGGTATGAAGAAAGGTGATGTTGTAGCCATCTGGGGCGGAGGCCCAATCGGCCAAATGGCTGTGGAATACAGCTTTAGTCAGGGGGCCACTCGTGTCATCCTTATCGATGGCGGAGAGGGAGCATGGAGGTTGGATTTTGTCAAGAGCAAGATATCAAAGCTTGAGACAATAGATTTCAACAACCTACCAAGAGGAGAATCAATCCTCTCCCAGTTAAAAATGATTGTACCTGGAGGGCCAGATGTGGCACTAGAATTTGCTGCGGGAGAGTACGCCAAAGGATGGGCACATTACTTCGAGATGCTTCTGGGAATGGAGACAGACACCTCGGAAATTCTGAATGAGATGATCACTGCTGTCCGGCCGTTTGGACGAATTGGTATAACTGGGGTCTATGCTGGCTACATAAGCGAAACCTCCATATCCTGTAGTTTTTCCCTCATGTATTGACTGATCACTATACAGACGAATCACTTCAGTATTGGTGCTCTCATGCAAACTGGTATCCGGTTCATCGGCAACTGCCAGGCTCCAGTCCAGAAATACTGGGAACACCTCCTGAAGTTCATAAGGCGGCAAGAGATTAATCCATTGGACATGGTAACCCACCGTGTCCCATTGGAGAATATGCCGGAATTGTACGCGGCGTTCGAGAGACGGGACCAAGGTATGCAGAAGGTTTATGTGCAGACCAGGTTCTCATCACCCCCGGCGGAAGGCTCACCCCAGCTGACCGACCTTTGAACGGATAATCTTACTATTATTTGGATTTCTATATACGAGGATTGACGTACATGCAAACTAAAAAACACAATGAAAGAGTGAGAGAGAAAGGAAAAGAAAAAGGATGAAAAATTCCGTGCTACAAGATTGACATTTTAATCGGCGAAGATCGGCAGATGGCAACTCGTCCAGCCATTTTCAAGTACAGCACAGGAAATGTACGTGGAGTACGGAGTACTTTCAACTTTCCCGCAAATAATAATCTAGTCCGAGTGTAGAGCATGTTTCTTGGATCCGAAACGCAGAACCCTAGGTCCCTAATGCTGGCTTTGCCTTACAAAAGCATATTCTATCCCATGAGGCGGTTGCTCGCCTATTTCACGTTCTCAAACTCCACATTATTGGATTACTGCAAGGGACCTAGGAGACCTAGAGGAACTACATTGCCATGCATAGGTTGCCTATGAAAGTCGGTCAACCAGGGTATCCTCCGTGGTAAAATACCACAGCAACTTCGGTCCGTGTTTCGCCCGTTTGATTTCCGTTGATCGGCGTCGAAACCGAGCAGGACACAGGTCGATTGAGAAGGCAGACAAAAGGTGGTTGGGATTTGAAATCCTTGATATTAAGTAAAACAAAGCCAAAAAATCTCCTCCCGTCCCCTCTATAAAGCATTGGTCCCAGTCAGCTATTCTAAACAAGGTTAACAGGATTCGTCCGTTCAAGAGATCGTCGATGGGCGGTTTAGCGTATTACGGCATCAGATAGCCCAATCTGGTAAAGCCGGGATCAGATAAGATCAGATGATGGAGGGATATGAAGTGCCGAATGGAAAGCATTACCATTACAGTCGCTTTTCTACGGGAGCCAAGTGACAAATGGAAAATGGAATTTTTTTTTGAAGATATGTTCTTCTTTGATTGGTAGAGAAGAGTATGACTACCTGAGATAATAGTGGCTTTTCTTGTAATTCGAATTTTCCCATAGCTCTAGCCGAACCAACAGCTAGTTCAACCATACCAGAAGATATGAACTATGTTATTGATTCTTGATTACAGGGACCATTCTATCGTAATACTGCCCTATTGGATTATATGATGTAGGGTTGAGTACAGAGAGGAGGGGGAGAAAAAAAAAGGAAAAAGAAAAGAGAAAACAAAAGAAGAAAAAAAAAGCCAAGGTGGATGGCGGCCACCGCGGGTGAGCAGATTCCACACTGGCGCCGAAAAGAGTACTTAGTAGGATCCACCACGTCCACTTCGTGGGTTTGAAGGAAGAGAAAATCTGAAGTTCCATGGGATTGAGGATGGAGTCTGTAGAAAATTATTGAAGTCACCACTCCTGATTAGGGTTGCATACATGTTATGAGACTTCGTCCGTTTCCCACAATACGAGTTATCGTTGACTTGTTGAGGTGTCCAGCGCCAGAGGGGTGTGTTCCTTGCGCATACCCACTACAGCATACAGGGTGCCTTCTTTCCAGGCTCACTGCAGGGCAGAAGGAAGCTTTAGTTCATGCCCTAATAGGTGCAAACCCCAACGTCTCCATTGATTGATAACCAGGGAGCAAAAGTATGGGTCAACGAATAAGGAACGCAAGCGAGTAAGTGACTCCACCAGTCGCCGAAATCGGTGAGACCGCACGATAATCTAATCTGATCCGATCACCTTTTTCCAGTCCTGTTTCCCCCTCTTCCTCCTCGGCTTCCTTCTTTCCTTTCCTCTGACCTTCATATCGAGTCTATTTCGCTCATTCATACCACCGAGAGAGTCTATGCTCTGGGAATTCGCACCCAGGGGGGATTGCTTCAAGATTGCACTTCTCACAGCTCATCAATCCTTCGTCTCGCTTACTGGCTGCAGGGGCGCACTTCCGCTCTTCCGGCCGCCGCGATCAAGTGACACCACCTGTTGGTCCGTGGACGCTCTTTTCCTACACTTTCCACCTTCACCTTATCTTTTATACCCGCATCCCGGGGTCATGACCCGCTAACTTCTACCCAGAATTCCTCTTGAAATACAGAGGCAATCCTAAACAAAATGACAACTCCCGCACCCTCAATAGCCCCTGCGCCCACTCCAGCTCCATTGGCTCCCGCAATTGCCGCCAAGCCAACCATTTCACCGTCTCCCGGACCGGGTACACCCGGATCCGTCACCTCCAAGGAATGGGTTATACCACCACGTCCCAAGCCTGGCCGGAAGCCTGCCACAGATACGCCGCCTACTAAACGTAAGGCGCAGAATCGTGCGGCCCAAAGAGCGTTCAGGGAACGTAGAGCCGCCCGCGTCAATGAGCTCGAAGACCAAATTAAGAAAATCGAAGAAGAGCACGATATTCATGTGGCAGCGTTCAAAGAACAAATTTCAAACTTGTCTCATGAAGTCGAACAATGCCGAAATGAAATGACATGGTGGCGCGACCGATGCCACGCTCTGGAGAAGGAAGTCTCAGTAGAAAGAAGCGCGAAGGAAGCCCTTGTGAAAGAGTTCCGGTCGTCGCTTTCAGATAAGAATACTCCTGCTGGTAGGGCACCATTGACTCGTGTGTCCGCCAAAAACTCTATCTCTGGACGAGCTACGAATGAAAGGTCTTCGCCGAGCAACGCCAACAGCGGTATTAACCATGATGAGCGGGAGGAAGTGCCACTGGGATGCCCTAGTTGTTCTTCGACACATTGTCAGTGTATTGAAGATGCATTTGCAATGCCGGGCGTGAGTCATTGAATTCCAAGCGTCTTAGCACCACTGGCCAAGGGTGTGTCGAGCCTGAGATAAAGCCGGACCCGGAGGAGATGGAAATCGACTTTACCACACGGTTCGCTGCCCCTCAACCGCAGGAAGATAATGCAACGGCTGTTTCATCCCCTGCGGTTGATCCGTGCGGCTTTTGCCAGGATGGAACCCCATGCATTTGTGCGGAAATGGCCGCCCAGGAAGAGCAGCGCCGACAATCCTTCGAGAACAACCGTCTCGCACCTATTCAAAACCTGTCTCAATTCACACCACCTCCCTCCGATGGCGACGTTCGTTCTGAAGTCACTCTGCCGCCCATTAGTCAGGCAACCAACCCCTGTGCGAATGGCCCTGGCACCTGTGCCCAATGTCTTGCGGACCCAAAGAGCACCCTTTTTTGCAAGACGCTGGCGGCCTCCCGCTCCGCCAGCGTTGCCTCTTCCGGATGTTGCGGCGGTAAGGGTGTCGATGGTGGGTGTTGCCAGTCACGCAGTTCCAACCCTCCGCGTGCTACCGTTGCCAAATCGACATCTGCTAGATCTACGACGCCATCATTAACACTCTCTTGTGCCGACGCCTTCACGACACTGTCACGACACCCAAATTTCTCCCGTGCCAGCGATGAAATTTCTGCGTGGCTTCCTAAGCTGCATACATTACCAAATCCGAAGGATGTTGCATCGCCCGATCGATGCTCCTCGAGGGCGGCACTCGAGGTCGAGGCGGCGAGCGTAATGGGCGTCTTGCGCTACTTTGATCGGAGGTTCGCCGACAAATAAGCCAAAGACGTTCATGAATCTATGCCATATATTTCTTTTAATTCTTTTTCCTTTCTTTATGATACCCAAACTTGACTCGCGTCTGAGTTTGTATTATACACAATCTTGTTTCCTTTTTTGAACTCATGATGGGGTGGGATACATTTCAGTTTCTAATATCTTCGATCTTCGGGCCCATGTATTCATGGGATTTGTTTCATTCTGGCCTCGGTGACATGCACTGAGGGGGTTTGGATGAAAAAACAAACAGGAGCAAGGGCTATTTCTTGCTTCACTTCGAGCTTGCGTTAAAAAAGGAGGGGTTGAATGGATCGACATGGTATGGGATGGAACGGAATGAATACAATTCACCCCAATGATCAGATGGGTGAATGACTGGCGTTTTTTTTTTTTATTTTATTTTTTATTTTCCTTGCATTCTGGGATGATTTCGGATGACTCGAAAAATAAAACTCAAGACGAACATGACCCAAAAGAACACTGTACGGGTTGAGCTGCGGCTCAAGCGAAAACAATCGTGTTTCATTCAATAGAGAGAGTTTTACTGGGTTGGATAATCAAGTTGGGGTCATGTTACTTAGATGGAATGGGTATTTTTGGGTGGCGATCTGATTGGTTTGATGTATCTGTCTGCCGACATACGAGGTGTATTTTCATTATAATGGGGACTCCTTTGGAAACAGATGGAACGGCTTAATTGCCACTGCCTGAAATAAATCGCTCTGTACAGGGAGATGAGATGGCTGATGTATCATGACGCTAAAGTAAGATGAGTGATATACATAATCCCCATGTTAAACAGCCGGAATAAAAGGGAAAGGAGATCTGAAGAACTATCAGAAAGGATATCGCCGCCGTTGATATCTACAAAATAAACACAAACAGGTCCAACGCCTTCACCCCTTGCGCCAGCTAGGTGGACAAATAATATAGGGTGTAGAGGGAGTGAGGACTTGATTAGGAGCAGGGCCAGGATGAAAAACGAAGAAGGGGAGTGGGTATGGTAACAAGATAAACAGGTGGGCTAACTTGAGACAACTGTGAGTGTCAAATGCATGAATCTTCAATGCCATGTGGTTTGATCAAAAGCGGCCTCCACTAGGCATCACTCCATCCTCCCCGACAGCACCGGTGCTTCCAAGAAAGCTGGCGCCCCAGATACCGGCAATTCCCCACATACCAATTCGCCAGCCGCGATAGAGGCCATGGATTCCCTGGCCTTGCCGTTTCCTCAACGCAATGGGCTTGTTGAATAAGGCCTGCGCCCTCTCAGCCTCTGGATTCGGCTGAACACCCTCCTCGTAGACAATACCCCACATCGTTCCGACAATACCCCTATATGTACGGGGTGTCGGGACGATGGTGTCGACCTCTGGGGCTTCAGGAACAGCCTCTGAGGGCTTTGCAGAGGCTAGCCTACTAGTAGGCTGTTGGCGGAGGCTTGGGGACGTGAAGGTAGCGATCTGCGCGCGACGCAGCACAGTTTCCAGAGGGAACCGGATTGCCAGTTCCAAGCCGGACCCCATAAAAGTAAACAAGTTCCACATGGACGGATTGAGGACGGGGTCAAGGGAGAGGTATGATTTCAGGAAGAGCGGGGTGGTGGTCGTTATGAAGTTCGGCAAACTCGAATGGAGGATCGTAATTGGGACTAGATGAGCGGGCACCGTGCAGTTGGGAGTTGGGATTTGTCGAATGGCACGTATAAGGGAGCGGGGTCCATGGGTGACGGGCGTGAGAATGAGGAGTGTGCGGGCTGTATCAATCGGGGAGAGGATCAATGCAGACAAGGATGTAGAGATGAATGACAGCACCAAGGTAGCAATTGGAGAGGTCGAAGTCAGAATGTCCGCTGTCATAGAGGACGAGATATCATCCTCTGGTAGTCCCACAATGGCTGACAGGAGACTGCGAATGAATGTATTCAAGGTCGGGAGGAGTAGGGAGTAAATGAATGTGGCATTGGTTGCTTTCCATGGGGATGTTGGTCCGCTGGTAGTCCACAACTGAGAAAGTACATCCATCAGGGAGCTTGGATTTTTGATTCTCAAAGCGTTCCGGGACGACGGGGTTGAGGGCTGAATGTAACCCATTCGATCAGTGATATGGCGTCGAGATTTTCGAGATCGTGAGTTTGAGGGCGATGAGGCGGCAGGGGCTGTCGACGTGAAGTAACTGCTCTCATCATCCGAGGATAACGCATCCTATTTGACGTATGGCAACGTTAGCCATCAGGTAGACTATTGCCCCCTCTAGTTCCTCTAGGGTTCCACATAGAACTTACAACTCCCTCTTGTTCTTCTTCTTCTTCTTCATCCTCTTCCTCTTCATCATAGGGATCGCCCCGAGCCCCCGAACTTTGCCTCCGATGGCCATCCATAAGCCATTGCCCATCCTGGCTGTCCGGCACGACATAGGCCTGTAGAATGGTTTTCGCGACGTCAAACGGTTGTGCAGTTAAGAGACTGGTATATTTCCAAAGTGCACGGTCCAAGGCATCTTTAATCCAGCTGGATACCGAGGGGGAGTTCTCCAAATAGTCCGAGTAGTCCAAGTCGGACAGCAAGTCGCGGGCAGAGCTTCCAAAAACATGGGCCGATGACGCATCTGGGGGGGATGAAGTGGCGTTGGCGGTCTCCAGGCCCATGGAGGGGGGGAAGTAATAAGGACGCAGAGGATTGAGCCCTTCACGGGAAGATGACATCGTTGAGAGGGGGGTATATGGAGATGGACGTCTTCTTCTTGTAGAAAGGAAAGGGCGGATGTTCTTGTAGGAGTTTTTGGAATTGTTATTAAATTAAAATTACCGTTAAGGTCCCAAGGCGGAGAGCAAAAAAGGTCGAGAAAAAAAAGGTTAAGTTGGGAGCAGCGAATGATTATGTCCGAATTTCCCGCCTTCTCCTCGGAGTTACTCTTTTTTTCTCCTCCAGATTCAATCGATTGATTTCCAATTGACGTCCCTCTCCTAGACTGCCCTTTCTATACTCCTTTTGCCTTTCGGCAATCTACTCCCCCAGTCTCTATTCACTATACCTTCTGTACTATAGCTCTTTGTTATTCTCCCCGCATTACTACTCTATAAACATGTCGTTCTGGAGAGAAACTTTCCTTAATTTGCGTCATGCCGTCCCGAAGACCGCCCCCGGGGATCGCGCATGTCGCGCCCAATCGAAACGGTTTCTCACTTATTCCTCACAGAGTCCTCGAGTGACTGCCTCCAATCAGTACGCATTGCACGCTAAGAGACCTGGGTTGACTGTGAGTCAACGGCGGTCATGGAACGGATTGAACCCAGAATACCGAAGCTTTTCGGCCACCGCGGGAGTCCAACATGGACACATCACACCTCCGAAGCCCGGGGAGGAGTAAGTCATGACATAGCTATGAGGTTATCCCATGGAGCATGTGCTGACTATCTGCCTCGTTGCAGACTCAACATCTCGTTCATCGATAAGGATGGCGAGAAGTACGACTTCCAGGTATCTGAAGGGGACAATTTGTTGGATATTGCGCAGGCCAATGATCTCGAAATGGAAGGTTCGGATCCCCGTGGGGCAGGACGCAATGTTTAAGGTTGTTTACTGACTGTGGTTTTCCCTGCGCTAGGAGCCTGCGGCGGTTCATGCGCCTGCTCGACATGCCATGTCATCGTGGAGGACCCCGACGTGTTCGACAAGATGGAAGAACCATCCGACGACGAGAATGACATGCTGGATTTGGCATTTGGACTGACAGAGACTTCTCGGCTAGGATGTCAGGTTATCATGAGCAAGGAGCTTGATGGACTAGTTGTCCGTCTACCCTCTATGACCCGGAACTTGCAGGCGAGTGACTTTGAACCAAAGAAATAAACCCCACCGGGACATTGTGCTGTGCTGCGGTGGTATCTGTTTGGGGGTGGGGGAGATTCAAAGCGCGTTCAAGCAATACAATGAAGCAGCATTTTAGGACGGCTTAGCAAATGTCGGAGGCCACTGGTTGTAAATGTATATTGTACTATTGGGTATTCTCATCTCCATTCTATTTTGCAAGAATCTGTAAATAGGAATAACTTTTAATCCAAACGTGCAATCAAACAAACAAAAGAAAATCCCGAACGCCTAAGAGATGCCTGGTTCTTAACATATACAGAATCTCCGTTTAGGCTTCCTCAATATTCAAAGGCTTGCCCTTCTTTCCACTAATCAGCTCCAGGAATCCTTGTTTGCTAACCTCATTGACGGCCTTCTCTCGTTCGCCAATACCGATGGTACCCTTCTTCCTCTCGCCCTTGGCCGCTTCTTCTCCGCGTACTTGGGCAGCCCGAACCGCATTGAAAAGTTTCACCACACCACGTTGAGCGATCTTCCGAAGACGCTTCTCTTCCTCAGCGACAGTGCCAGCCTCACCTCGTTCGATTCCCAGAACATCGCGGATCCGACCGCGATCCAATTCTTCCTGCTTCTCGGCGCGCAGTTTAGCGCGTGCTTGTTTGTCCAATTTCTCGTCGGCAAAGTCTGTGCTAGTTTGCGTGGCTATTTTACTGCGTGACAGAACAGGATCGGCCCGGGCAGAAGAAGGTAATTTTGTCGCCAGGATCTTAGAGATAGAGGTAGAGAACGCCGAAGGATCGTTCCGTTTGGGGACAGCTCTGTGGTCCGTAGTTGATGTTGGCATAGACGCATCGGAGTCGTAATCATCGTCCTCATCCTCAGCACCAGAAGATGCGTCTGAGCCCGAAGCATCGTGCTTTTCATCCTTCTTATCCTCGCTGTCAGCCGACTCGTCGCTGTCGTCTTTGTCGCTGCTCTCTTTGACCTTTCTGTTCTTTGAAGCAATCGAGGTTTTCGTCTGTTTCGTTTGTTTCTTCGGCTTCTTTACTTCGACCTCATCCTCATCGGAATCTGCCAAACTGACAGCTTGAAAATCGGTTGGTTCGTCATCTTCCGCCTCATCGGAACTGCTGTGGTATTCGCGCTGCTTCCTAAACTTCTTTTGAGGCCGACCAGTTTTGCCCTGCAGACCTTCCAAGACCTTGCGCTTCTTAGCTGTAGTTGATAGAGGCATGATAGTTAAGGGAATATCAAATTTCAGCTGTGGTAACTTTTTGGGTTGATATATAAATTGTTTGGTCTTTTTTTTTTTTGGTCTTTTTGCTTTTTCTTGAAAGTCTCGAATACATTCAAAGGCGGAAGGGAAATGATGTCTCTGATTGGCTGACTGCCCGCTCCAGACTCTCCGCACTGGAAATGATTGAGATTGGTGGCCTCTCCGACATTCGTCCTATCGACCAAGCATTGCCATCATTCTTTCTGATCAACTAACTTCCGCACTCGCTGTTCCTTTGTTGATTATATTGTGATACCTCCCCTTTTTTTTATCGATTAACAGATTTCCCGCCATGGTCCTTCAAGATCTCGGGCGGCGTATCAACGCCGCCGTCAATGACCTAACGAGGTCCAACAATCTAGACGAGAAGGTTAGTTGCCAATACGTGTATAAAATTTTCGAGGAGATTTCGTGCAATTAACGCCTTGTAGGCTTTTGATGACATGTTGAAAGAGATCTGCGCTGCACTATTATCAGCCGACGTAAACGTTCGTCTCGTCCAGTCACTTCGGAAATCCATCAAGTCCGGTGTGAACTTCGCCTCCCTGCCCCCCGCCGTCAATAAGAAGAGGTTGATTCAGAAAGCTGTCTTCGACGAATTGGTTGCTCTAGTCAATCCACATGCAGAGCCGTTCCGACCCAAGAAGGGCCGATCTAATGTGATTATGTTCGTTGGTTTACAGGGTGCCGGTAAGACGACAACTTGTACCAAGCTAGCTAGACATTATCAGATGCGAGGCTTCAAAACGGCCCTCGTCTGCGCGGATACCTTCCGTGCTGGCGCATTCGATCAGCTGAAACAGAATGCGACAAAGGCCAAGATCCCTTATTATGGAAGTTTGACACAGACCGACCCCGCAGTGGTGGCGGCTGAGGGTGTGGCCAAGTTCAAGAAGGAGCGGTTTGAGATTATCATCGTCGATACCAGCGGTCGTCACAAGCAGGAGGAGGAACTTTTCACGGAAATGACTCAGATTCAGACTGCTGTAACCCCGGATCAGACTATCTTGGTTCTCGATAGTACGATTGGTCAGGCGGCCGAAGCCCAGTCGGCAGCCTTCAAGGCAACGGCTGATTTTGGTGCCATCATTATCACGAAGACGGACGGTCATGCAGCTGGAGGTGGTGCTATTTCCGCTGTAGCAGCCACACATACTCCTATCATCTTCCTCGGCACGGGTGAACATATGATGGATCTTGAACGGTTCGAGCCGAAAGCTTTCATCCAGAAGCTTCTGGGCATGGGTGATATGGCAGGATTGGTCGAGCACGTTCAAGCCGTGACCAAGGACTCAGCAGCAGCCAAGGAGACGTACAAGCATATCGCTGAAGGTATTTATACGGTGCGCGATTTCCGAGAGAATATTTCCTCGATCATGAAAATGGGTCCCCTGTCAAAACTTTCTGGCATGATCCCTGGCTTGTCCAATCTCACTGCTGGGCTGGATGACGAAGATGGCTCGCTTAAACTCCGTCGCATGATCTACATCTTTGATAGTATGACAACAGCAGAGCTTGACAGTGATGGAAAGGTTTTTGTGGAGCAGCCCAGCCGTATGGTCCGCATCGCTTGTGGTAGCGGCACGACCGTGCGCGAGGTCGAAGACCTGCTGTCGCAGCACCGCATGATGGCGGGTATGGCCAAGCGCGTCGGCGGGCAGAAGAAGCAAATGCAACGAGCCCAGAACATGCTCAAGGGTGGCAACAAAGAACAACAGCTCGCCGCGATGCAGAAACGCATGGCCTCCATGGGTGGTGCAGGTGGCGCAGGATTCCCCGGAATGCCCGGTATGGGCGATATGGCCAAGATGATGCAAATGCTTCAGGGACAAGGCGGCGGCGGCGGCGGTCTGCCAGGCCTCGGAGGTATGGATCTACAGGGGATGATGAGCCAAATGAGCGGATTGATGGGCGGAGGACGCGGTAGGGGACGGTGATTCCAACGTTGCTTCTTTTCATGTCATTCTTCTTTTCTCTCTTGTATGTTTGTTACGTGGTGATACCGCCTAATGGGTCACGATTGATCGATTATACAGCATGTGGATGGTGTTCGGCGCGTATTGTTTTCATTGCCATGGTATAATATTAACTTCTTCAACGAACGATACTCATGTGACATTTTATGCGTCGATACGAGGTTGCAATAGTGACGGGTATTCTTACTATACTGTAAATTAACATGTTTTCAGTAAAAATGGACACATTATCGCCAGGGAACATTTGACATTATGTGTATTATCTTTGCCAGTTCCATGTCCATATTCAATTTAGTCCTTCCGCTGTTCCCGCTCTATCCAAAAGTTTATAGATTTGATCCCTAACCTGGCTAATTAGCTGGCCCCCTGCATTCTTCACCTTACTGATTACGGCCCTGAGTCGGGTATCCCATCCAACTGTTTCACGATTGTCCTCAAGGACTTCACCTGGTAGGAGTCGCGGGTGCCTTACAGAGGCAACCGAGGCAACAACATGCTCATACCCAGGCAGTGGGACGCTGAGACGATACTTCCAGGCGACATCGTTGTCAACGTAGAGTGAGTAGGTAAGGACGGAACTGGGTACGGTTTCTGTCTTGCCACTGGTGGTGAGTATGGTCTCATCGCGGATGTCGATATCGATTAATCCGTACTTGGTGTTACCGGTTGGGATGTATTTGACAGCGACATCTTCATTGTCGGTTTGATGGTAGGTCCGGATGGGCAAGTAGAACATACTGAGCGGGCCAACACTGAACTCATGCAGGCCCTCGCCGGCGGTATCGGAGAGAAGTTCATCGGGCGTGTAGTCAAATGTTGGATCGGGGAACCGAGTCGCCCCGAACTCGTGTCTGTCTCCGCTGAGCAGGATAATGCGAATTCCTAACTCTCGCTCGGCGCGCCACATGGCCTCAAACACCATGCGACGCTCATTCAGAAACCCACCCCATGTGTCGGTAGTACCGACGTGCCAGTTCTTGGTAAAGGGAACACTGGAGGCGATAATCTTCCAGTGCACTTCGGCTGGTTCAGGACGAGACAGATATGCAAGCAAGGACTGCAGCTGCGCCGAGCCGAGGATGGTAGAGTCCGGTTGGGCGGGCTCGGAGCGATAGGTGCGGGTGTCCAACATGAAGAACGACGCCGGACCGTTAATGAAAGAGAAATACGTTGTATTTTCTGGCTTGGCGAAAGGGGTGGCCGGGATCGGGGGGTTCACGCTGACGTGGTAATGGATATAGGGGTCAGCCGCGGCTAAGTAGGGAGCTGTATTGTTACCCTTCGACCAGTCATTCTCAATCTCATGATCGTCTAGAGTGTGTAACCACGGCAGGTCGATAGCCGGGGTATCACCGTGAGAATACCACGAAGGAGACGAATACACACGACGATATTCACTGCGATAGTGTGATACAGAGGAGCCAAAGCGCTGCGGAACATCGATATAAATGAAGTCTCCGAGGAACAACATAAATGCCGGCCGAAGCAAGGATGGCAACTTGCTGACGGTCTCGGTCATCTTCTCAATCCCTTCAATACGCAATGGATGAGACAGTGGGTTGTACGGGAAGTTTGGCTTCATGCAGCTAGACGTCAGAAAGCTAAGCCGGTTGGCAGATTTCGAGCCATGAAGAGGCGCGGTGACAAAAGAGCCAGTGAGATTGTTGGACAGGGAATACCGATAGTGCGAGGACGGTTTCAAGTTCTTTAAAGTCACCGAAGTTGTGAAATCTGTCGATTCATCAAGTGCATATATAATGCCTTCTTCCACCCATTTTAAGGGGTCCTCCTGCTCCGCTTCTTGATAGAAGACCGCCAGGGGTAGTTGAGCTGAGTCCGGCTCTCGAACGAGTAAATTCGCTGTAGTTGGGGAGACATATCCAATGCGAGAGAAGACAATATCGTTTGCAGGATAGAAAACAACCCCACGAAGTAGAAGGTCGGAAGTGAAGAGCGTAAGGACAATGTTAACCAGCACTGTCAGCCGGGTCACCAACGGCGACCTGGGGGACGGCAGTCCCGTTAAAAGCGTCTTGAGAGCGCTATCCTTAGCTGGAGGCTCTGCAGACCCTACACACAGCTTCTGTGAGCAAATCTAGAGTGAGTAAGCACTACAAGATAGTGATATACGTACTCGAAGTGTTTCGGGAGCGTTTCAAGTCATGGGGGCGATTGGCGGTGTTGTCATCAGCCGCCCGACTGAGCGAGAACAACGAAGACAGATACACCACTAGCGAGGTGAAGATTAGAGGTGGGAAATGATGACCGGGGATCTGCACACGAATGAGCAGTCGTTATTTGTAATCGAACGAATTTGGACGAACGTACCCAGCGAAGGAAGATGAAGGTGGCAAGCCTGAGTATCACGGAGCTCGTGGCCGCGGCAGCTCGCGGTAAGGACACCATAGCTTCGTGAAAAGGTTTCAAGCGCGCTGTGAGATTTCTAGTGTTCCTTGGGCCATGAATTATTTATTCTCCGTTAGAGCTTTGGGGCAGAAGCTCAGATAACGTTCTGGAAGGTAGAGAAGTGGACCTGAGGATCAAGAAGTCGGAGTTGCGGTGGAATGCCTAGTAGTATTGGCGGTATGACGACATAGGGCGATCCACCCAGGGACAAAAGTATGCACATAACACACTAGTAGTAGATCATTTCCGCGGGTAGCATTGCAACTAATCTCCTACCATACTACATATCTCCGGCAATGAAAGAATGCAAACGGCTGCATATAATGTGATTGATGATCGTTTGTCTATTTTATGCTCTCGTCCATAGATCTCTATCGTTGTTGATTCCTCATACCTTGGAGAACGTTCATCAAACCGCTCGCCATAGGCCTTGATGAAAAGCCATGACCACATCCTTCATATGCATGCTCAGCGACATCTCCGCAGCCCATTGCCAGGGCTTCTCACGCTCCCCTGGTTTGGAATTGAAGTATTCCCAGCCCATAACGCCGCCAAAGTTGGGGAACTGCTCCACCAGCTGGCCTAATATAGGCCCGATGATCTCCCGAGGAACGTAGCCCTGCGACCCATTGCCAGGATTCGTCAACAGTCCGTACACGACGCGTTGCGGCGACCATCCTTGCGCGACGATCGCGGCATACATACGAGGATCATCCGCTGGGCCCCAGCCGTTGTAGAACTGTGTATTATACCAACTAATCTTCGATGCTCGTTGCCGCTCAAGCTCTCGGTAGTCAAACCCGGAAAGGTTACCGATCCCTAGAAGCGCCGCTGCCACCGGGGCCAACGTTATAATGAAGCCGTCTCCCAGGTCCGATTTGAGTCGATCGATCAGTCTAATGATACCTGAAAGCGACATCTCTTCTTCCACGTCTAGATCTAGCCCTTCCAGCTGATGACGCCGAACCATGGTTAGGAGAGGCAGGTAGTACCGTTCGAATTTGTCCTGATCACCGTCCAGACAGCGGAAGGAACCTTGAGCAGCTCCTCCCAGCATTCCCAAGACGCGTACCCCACTCTGTTTCAGGAGAGGCACCTCTGCCCACAGCTCGTCGTACATGCTATGGTGGGGAGGATCATCGTTGAGCGTAATATGGCCCGGTTCGGCATTTAGGTGGAAGGCAGCAATGATGAGGTGCGTGATACCAGTGTTGTTTTGCACCAGCGGTAGCGCGGACACATATTGACCTCGATCCGGACGGAGCGTCTGGTGATAGCATATCACCCGGCATCGGTCGACTTGCGCAGGTACGGGAGGCATCGTCTCTTAGCTTTGAATGGCGGTTGTACCTAACTTGAGATGTGCTGCACTGGTCAGGACCAAGCCCAGCATTTCGATGAGGAGCAACAGCGGGGTAGAGAGATTACAGACGGTCTCTGGGGGGCCGCAGCTTAGCCGTCAGGTTCTCTCATTGCTTCGCGACCGGTATGGACAGAAGACCAGTCCGAACGCACCTCAGGGGGTCAATGCTTGGGAAGATAATAAGAGGAGGGAAATCAGCGATGATTACAAGAAGTAGCGTCTTAAATCCACTCTGGGGATGGTCTTGGTAAGGGTGTCTCTTTACAATACGGTAATTCTAGTAATTTGTATTGGTCACTCCGTATTCCGTACATACTCCGTACAGTACCTTGGAGATCGAGCAAGCATCCGCATCCGCTAAACCTAATATGGAACATAATAAACACCTGAGATGGAAACCTGAGGAATCCGGCCCCGACCCCGGGTTCTCTGTGTCGCCGGTCCAGGCGCGTCCGGTACATCGACATATGTACGGTACTCTATCTGTTGGTTATCGTTATCAAAGTCCACGCACGATATACATGACCCAATTCATCCCATCTGCAGGACCAATAATGTCGCCCTAACCAAGTCATTTTAACTCCTAGCATTCACTTACCCACCGACCGCGACAAACCTCATCATGGACACAACCTCTCACGATACCGTCGGCGCGTCCACCCTCGCAACGCCGCTCTTTATGCCTTCCTCCCCTCCGAGCGTAAATCATAGCCCTGAGGGATCCCCTCAGCGTGCGCGAAGCCCGATTTCCCATCGCGCCGGCGACCATGTCGGCGACGCGCGTTCGCCGACCGGCTCGCCGCCGTCCTCTCGCGCATCATCGCTTGATCGCGCTGCGAGGGAACTCGATGCCCGCCTGGCAGATTACACGCTTGATTTTGATCAATTCCCCAGCGGTCAGTTAGGTCTGGATGAGCGGAATGGCGAACCGTTCAGGGAATCAAAGCTACCTCATGAGGACCAATTGTCGGATGTGGGCGGACCCGAAGATTTCACGGCCAACCTAGAGAAATACCTCATGGGCGATGACGATACATTTGATCATAAGGATTTAGGGGAAGTCGAGGAAGAAGAAGAACCGGCGCTAGAGGAGCAGGAGCCACTGCGACCGCAGTCTCCGGAGCAAAAGCAGCAGGAACAACAGGAACAGCAGGAACAGCAGCAAAGTTCTCAACTGCAGCAACCCGCTGTGGAGGATGAGGCAGAGCTTGGTGAGTACAGTGAATTTGCTCCCGTTGATATGTCTACGCCGTCGCATTTGTTGCGTAGGGTCAATGCATTTTCAAAGGAGGTGACGCAGCTGGAGAACATCGAGGAAGATCCAGATGATGAGCCGGACACAGCGAGGACACCGTCGGTTCGCAGGCATAAACCAACTTCGAGTACAGACCAGACGGATACGAAAGATGATTTGCTCAGACAGATTGCGGAGTTAAAACAGGTAGTTCAAGAAAGAGATGAACAACTTGAAAGGAATCACAGACGGGTCTTGGAGGCTGCTTCCGCTGGAGAGCAGATTAAACATCTGCAAGCAGAACTACAGAAGAAGACGGCTCTGCTGGATGAGGCCTATGCAACCCGGAACGATGATGCGCTCCTGCGTGAGCAGATTCAGCTTCTTCAAAAACAAAATGAAGAGAAGGAATCTCTCTTTAAGAGGGCCTCAATCAATGAAACCGGAATTAGTGCACTCCAGGAGCAGATTGTAGAACTGCGAAAAGAATTCCGAGACCGACAGGCGCCTACAGATATAGACTCCGAGAGACTAGAGACGATTGCGAATTTGCGCCAGCAACTAAATCTAGCCCATGAGCAACTCAAAAAACGAGACGCTACGCTAGACGAGACTCTCGCCAAACTTAATGAAGTTACAACAGCCAAGGAGCTGCAACTGCGTGAGAAGAATACCGAAACCGATGGACTGAAAGCCCAAATTGATGATCACCTTCTGGAAATCCAGAAGCTTGAAGCGGAAGTAGACCGCGCAAATCGCGAATATCGGACTCTGGAGGATAGGATTGCCGCGCTTGAGATCAGAAATCGCCCTCTAGAGGAGAAGAATAGCACACTGGAAGCTGATCTAAGTCGCGCGCAGTCGCAAGTCACCGCGCAGGAGAACGCTCTCAAAGCGATGGCAGCGGATCTCCCTTGGGAGACGGGCCGCAACACATACGAAGATATTCTGGAACTGATCAATTCCATGCCGATTCGCTCTGAAGCCGTTCCGAAAGGCAGCGACTCGGGTGAGCTAGAGCTAGAGCAGTTACGTGAGGAATTAACAAAGCTACAAACTGAACAGGAACAAGCGATATCAACGCGAAAGGCGCTAGAGACCCAATTAAAGCGGTCCCAAGAACAAGCCACAGAGGCCCAATCTCTCATTAACTCGATCGAAGGGGAGAACACCCGTTTGTCGAAACGAGCAGAAGAACTCAAATCCAACTTGGACAAGGCCGGTCGTGAGCTAAACGAGCTGAGAGATGAGTATTCCGAAGCCCAGGATACAATCCAGCGTCTACAGGAAGAAAAGGACACGCAACAACCCAGCCCTCCACCCTCCCCTCCAACAACCCGTCAAAAAGAAACTGTCCTGGAAGAAACCCACCAGGCACAACTACGAAGCCTGCAAACCGCCCAGGCCACCGCCATTTCTAATCTACGTACTTCCCACGCCGACTCAATCCGTAAATTAAGAAATCTCCTAGCTACCGCCGAAAAGCGCGAGACAAAACTCAAGTCCGAGCTTCAATCCCTGCGCAGCTCACGCTCCACGCAGGAGAACGAGATAGACTCTCTCCGCGCAGAGATCAAGGAACTTGAAACGATTATCAAAGTCAAGGACGAAACAGCCGCAGCACTTGATAGGAAAATCGCTCGGTCCGTCGAGAGCCGCGAGAAAGTGTGGGCAGACCGTGTTGATTCTGCCCTCCGTCAACGCGATCAATTCGGCAAAGCTTTTCTGTACACAGTTGGTCAGAAAGAGCTTGGAGAGAATAAAGTGAACTTCGATGATAAGGGCCGGCCGATACAGACGTACCAGTATGCCTATGTGAAGAAGAATGGAAGGAAGAAGGCATAAACGGAATCGGTGTGGCGCTTTGTTTTAGGTGATTTCCGGTTGTATCTTTTGGAGTTCCCGGTCCTGGGATTGTGTATGGGATAATCTATATATTTGCTGGGTTCTCTATTGTACAAGAGGGCCTTCTCCGGGGTTTGTTTTCTGGGACATTAACGCTGAGCGGTGTAATTTAGGGTCAATTGAATGAATAAATCAATTCTTCTATTTTCATCTTCTCTTTCGTTGGATGAATCACGTGGGTTTATGAGCAACAAAAAACAAAGGAAAAGAAAAGAAAAGAAAGGAAAAATGTAAAGAAAAAGCCCCAAGAACACGAGAGATGAGAAATGTATGGTTTGACAGTACTATCCCTGTCCTTCTATTATCAATCCGTTTGACATGACCAAAGACAATACAATGATGGCGAAACTACAAGCAAGGCCAGAATTAACTTCATAAATTCTCATCCTAATGATCATCAACTTTGAATATAAACTAATACATGAACACTCGACATCGGTATATTGCTAGTATTTAGACAGGAGAAAAGAAAGTAGCCCACTCAAAAGACATAACATTGAACAAGTTCGTGTCCCTTTCATTTTGTTTTCACGGGGTATGCCAGTAAGAGCCCCTTTGTCTTCTTTTGGCTTTAGCCTGACCTGCAGGCTGTGTTATCTATCACAATGCAGCCATACTTGTACGATGGGCACCACGATATGTGTTGCCATTAGGAATAATGTCCCGAGTTTCATCCACCGATGCGCCTGATTCTCGGATGCTGTCCAGAGCGCCTGCAAGCCCGAGACCACCGCATGTAGTGCTGCGTGGCCTTCGCGTGCTGGGATAATGAATTTCGATATCGCTCCTTCGAGACTGCGAGGACATGCGACGTGGTTCGTACCGGCCACGGTAGTTGTACCGGCTATGCGGTTGATGATAACTTCTGGTATGGCGGGGTACGTGCGATTGCTCGAACTGATAATGCCGACTTTGCCGTCGTTCCTTAGGTCGCCGGTTATGACGCATCTGATTATCAGGCTCCACCACGGAGGCTCTGTGGCTGGCAACTCTATTAACAGGGTGCCACGCCAATGGATTTGGTGGGACGATTGTATAACTCGGTCGGTGGCGATGGATGGTGCGAGGAATCGGTGCAGTATGAGTTGTGTTAGATCTCTGTACCTTGAAAGGTACAGGTAGCACGACCTCAGGTGCATCAGATGAGTTCGAGGACGTTGGTCGAGTCTGGGTGCTTGTAGGAGGAGCTTGACTATTTGGTGGCCTTCGGGTTTCAGAATCGACAGGTGCAGAAGCCACCTCCTCTTTCTCCTCAGCATAAGCGAGGTGCTGCTCTGAATCGCAGTTCTTATTCAGTATCACGTTTCCTGCCTGCTTTTCAACATCTCGAGGTGTATTAGAATGGGCGAGAGCACGAATTTGAGGATCTGCTGATAAAGGCAATGATAGGGCGAACGCTTTTGGAAGATATTTGCGAAGCGACGACAAGGAAGACTTTTGTCTTTTATGATTGGAAATCGATGGGTCTTCTGGACCACTGGGTAATTCTGCAATGGGAGTTTGCATGCGTCGTTCGCTTATAGCTCCTGAGGTTCCAAAAGTAGGTGTACGTGAAATTGAATGTATATTGGTGTTAATAAGGGTACCGTTGTGTGTTAATGTCGAACCTGATAATGTTTTGCCATTCTCCGATTCAGGGCTAACGTCCGGTTTCAATGGCTGCTTTTGATGAATCATTAGAGGGTATTGGAGATTGGGTACGGTGGGTTTCTCGAATGCGTTATCGGTGGACGACAGCCAATATGGGTCGCGAGCGCCGTAGGTAGAGTTGGGCCCAGGACAAAGATAGAGAATGCCATCTTTTAAAGCGTCGCTTTCAAGGCTTGAGTTTGAGAAGATACTTTCATCACAGACTGATTGCTGCTTTTTGTATACCCCCATGATTGACACATCATATGGACGCTCGCAGAGCTCCCTTGAACAGAAGTATAGACAAGCAGTAATGCTGGTAAGATGATTTAGTAAGGGCCAGCAGTAGATATATTAGTCTCATCACTTACAACGATATTATTGAGACTATGACCGCAGTCCGATGAAGAGCGCAGCTGACGCCAGTATTCCAAAAGCTACCCTTGGCAGTTTCAGGGAGGCAGAAAACCTGTTGTGAGACTACTACTAGGCCTGCCACACTAGCCGCTAGCCATATAATACCTGTCACTCGCAGGAGATACGTGCAAGCGGCACGCAGCATTGTCTTCTGGCCTCCAAAGCCTGGGACTTTGTTATACTGCCATGCGAGAAGGCTATGAAGAACGACAAGTGGCACTGTGAGAAAAGACTGGAAATAATAGTCAGTAACATAGGGGCGGACTTCTTTGGGGGGCGCACTGACAGCTACTAGAGCAAGGATCAAGCTCGGCGTCATTTTTCGGTCGACACGTCCATTCCCATAGAGATAGAGTACAAGAGCCCACTCAATGACGGATTCCAGAAGCAAGACATAGAGAGAGATAAAAATGACAACCTTTGCCCAAGACCCTCCTCTTGTAGAGGCAATCCACCCATTGGTCATAGTGAATTTCGCTGGTTTAACAAATGAAGCAAGCTGTGTCACAGCCCCCGCAAGTGTAACCGATGAGCATCCACGGTAAAGGATGGCGGAGTGTGTATGAACAGTCAGAGCTACTCGAGAAGGAAGATAAAAGCTAAGGACAGGAAGGATGATTCTGAATTAATAGAATTGGATGTTCCTCTTTCTGAGGCTGCAATTGTATGTATCTCTAGAAATACGAAGCAAAAGTGAAGGGCCCGTCAGGAACTAAATGAGAAAGCAATCCATGGCTTGGGCGCGTCAACGCGGATAAGGTGTGTCAGTGTGAGGGGTTGGAATGCATTGGCAGGAGGCCTGGAACAGAGAACATGCAGAAGGCGAAATAGTAGGGCTTGCATCTTGTCTGGGACGTCATTCCGAGGAATGTAAACTAGACAGCCTTTTTTCTCTCAACACTACCATTGACGGTATCAGGGGTGTCAGCAAAGTCAATCATTGATCCCTATCTGTACAAAAAAAACGTTAGTCATCATGTTTTCATAGAATCGAGTATCGGACTATCCCATCGACACTATTCATCTTCCTTGAATTAGGTGACGGGGCGCATTCCAAGGGGCGATCGCGTGGTGTTCGCACGATTAGGACTATCGAGATATAGGAGAAGTATTGAGACATGTACATTGTTAGAATGTAGGAGAATCAATAGCTTGGAATATTGGTATCGTGGGATGTAAGTTTTCCAGGGAGAAGGGCTTTTGCAATGAAGGGAGGCGGGAGGGTTAAAAAGTATAGAAAAAGTGAGTCGTGACAAGGGAGAGTGTGTGACTTCACGTGATCCAGAAACCCCCTCCAAGAGACACGCCCAACATACAGGGCATCTCCTTCATAAGATGGACTATGTGGCGATAGCTACTTCAGATCTGTTGATGTCTTGGGTCTAAGTATGAAGGGTGCAATAGACACGAGACTATCCATGGATCATTCGAAAGCCGTGCTAAATCATTGGTAGACGCGGGACCGTGTCCATGAAGCCAAGATTATCTCGAGATACAGTTTAAGACACAGTTCAGAAAGTTATGGGAAGATTGCGAACAGCTGGTCTCACAAGGGACCAAGGGGTATTGCTCGGTGTTCTATCTCACATTCAAGGCAGACATCTGTCTACACAACACATCTACTCACACTGGTATACCCAAGCCCTATTAGACCTCCGTGGCTTGTAGTTGCATAACTCCATTCCCCGGTGCTTTATTGCCCGACAATACGCCCGTACATGCTGTGCTTTCGAGGTTTTCCACGCACTCATTAGCCTTCCGGGTCTTAAGTCGGCGAACCAAGGGGTTGATCAATAGCCAACGCCCCTGCTGTTCGCGATACCGCATCATCACGAACCACACAATAACAACAAGCCAGTAGAGATTATATGAGATGATCGAACCATAGGTGGCAGAGTTTTGCCATCCGAGGATGGCATTGAAGATTCCCCATCCCCCGCCGCCATTCACCAAAGGACTGCAACAATTCACATGCCACACGCTTTGCCGGATGTCATATGATCCAGGACCAGCTCCTGTTTCTGAGGCATCGCCACCGATGAGGTTGCTCCAAGTGTTGTTCTCCAAGAACCAGACGCCTCGAGACAGGAGCCCAGCAGCGACCAGGTAGAGCAAACATGTCGAGATGACCATGAATATTTGAAGTGAGGTTTGGTTCCCGCCCCTATGACAAATCGCGAAGACTACTATTAGCATTGGGGTTCAATTTCAATGCCATCCGTATTCGCACACTCACCGGTAAATGATATAACCAACCACCACACCAGCCAGGAGTCCCGTGAATACAGGTAGAGGGAACGCGCTTGCGGGGAAGCTGAGACTAACACCCCCGATAAACACCACTGCCTCCAGACCCTCCCGAAGCACCGTAATCAAGGGCAAGATAAACATGAAGTACTTCTGTGACCAATGCTTGATCCTTTCTGTCATTCTCCCTTGAGGTTGAGGTTTTGCCTCTAATGCCTGGGCCAGCTTGACACGCCATTTCTCCTGCAATTTATTCACCCGCAGAAGGGCTGCCCCCATAACCGTGATGATGACGGCGGCGACTAATGCAAAGATACCTTCCCATAGATCCTCCGTACTGGCAAAATGATCCTTGCCATACCCGTAGAAGGCCCCGATCATGCCACCTCCAATACAGAGGCATATAAATAGCCCGATGGCAACTCCCCACCAGACCTACTGGCCGTCAATGCTGTCTCTATATGGTGGGAACGGAGTGAGAAGAGGGCAATCACCTGTTTGATAAGCTTTTTGCGAGTAACGGCATCAGTGTCTGACCCCAGTGTTTGCTTGATAAAGGCAAGCAATACAGAAACGATGATGCTGGTCTCAACACATTCTCGAAAGCAGATGAAGAATACTTCAATAAGTTAGTCAAACTAAACAGTTCCTTAATTGATAGATAGGCCATAGCAAGAAAGAACACATACTAGGAACTGCAAATACATCGGTTGTCATGTTGAGCAGAAGAGGGAGGATTCAGAAAGGAATAGAGGAGGGCTAAAGATCTACAGGAGTCCAAAAACAACGGCACAACCATTGATAAATAAAAATATTGCTGTGGAGGGGGGGCGCCAAAAAAGAAGCCACCACCGGCATAAATCGGGGGGATGTTATCTGATTGATTGATTAAAAGCTAACTGAAAGATAAAAAATAGTAAAAGTAAAAATCAAGACATGAACTCGTGACAGAGAGAACGGCATAAAAGAATATGGTGCCGGCGCCAGAAAGGTCGTTCCACTCCCCACTGTTTACTTGGTCATAGGGTAGAATTCTCGTATCATTACCGAATGGAAATGCAAAGGCAATTTTCACCTCGTTTAGATGTCCCTATTGGCCATGGAGGGGGAGCCATGGCCTGAGGGAAGGATCAGATAAAGTGGGATCAGCAAGAATCTGGAACGCTTAGTTACGAGGTAACAAGGGTTAAGCTTCCGCTAAGCCGTGTCTGATCCTCACTTGGCTTTCTATTGACGCTTGAGTGGCCCCATTTGAGGTGGAAGAGGAAGGAAAAGCCGCTAAGACGATACCAATATGCGTTGAGGGTTCCATGGACCGTTCATTTATTACTGGTGATCATCCCTGCACATGAGGGTCGACCATGCTCCCCCGTACCATCCCACTACCAGGTGCCCACACAGCTGGGATAAAATAACAAGAGAGATTTCAAACGGAGGGGAGGGATCTCCATTTTGTTTTCTCTCATTCCTTATTCCTAGCTGCTTGCGAGCACTCCATCTCTCAAGTCCGTGCGCTGTTTGCTCCCTTATCATGGCACTAGGGCTTTTCTGGTTGGTGGGTTTCCTTGTCCACATTCTATCAGCTAGTGCCAAGACCCTCAATTATGAATGGAACATCACTTGGGTATCGGCCAATCCAGATGGCTTGCGAGAACGTCTTGTGATTGGTATCAATGGTCAATGGCCCCTTCCGGTGCTCAATTTCACCCTCGGCGATCGAGTGATTGCAAAGGTATACAATGCTTTGGGCAATGAATCTACCAGCATACATTGGCATGGCTTTTTCCAGAATGGAACGACCCATATGGATGGTGCTCCGAGCGTCACACAGTGTGACATTGCTCCTGGGTCCACATTCGTTTACAACTTCACTGTGAGTCGCTTCAATTGTACGAGCTGTTGTGAGCCCTCGGTTTGACTGGAAGAGCAGGTAAATCAAACAGGCACTTACTGGTACCACTCACATGCTCGAGGCCAGTACCCAGATGGCCTACGACAGGCTCTAGTGATCAGGGGTCCTGATGAGCCATATTCTGGTCAATATGATGAGGAGCGTGTGATTACTCTATCGGAGTGGTACCATGACCCCATGCCAACACTACTGAAGCAGTTTATCAGTGTTACAAATCCTACTGGAGCGGAGCCTGTCCCAAAGTCTGCCCTCATGAATGATACTCAGAACTTGACCGTAGCTGTTGAGCCAGGGAAGACTTACCTATTTCGTTTAGTCAATGTGGCGGCCTTTGCAAGTCAATATTTCTGGATTGAGGACCATACCATGAAAATTGTGGAAGTCGATGGAGTATGGACCGAACCAGCTGAAGCCGGTATGATCTACATTACAGCAGCGCAACGCTATAGTTTCTTGGTGACAATGAAAAATGACACAAGCAAGAACTACGCTATGGTGGGAAGTATGGACACGGTAGGGTTCATTTCATTCATTTATTCATTACTCAATTTCTTATCATTTGGTAGGACCTCTTCGATACACTCCCTCCGACTCTGAACTACAACGTTACGGGATGGCTAGTCTACGACGACAAGGCTGAAAAACCTGCTCCGGTTGACATTTCATCATTAGATCCATACGATGATTTCAGCCTTGTCCCTGCCGACGGTGAGAAACTATTGGGTGACCCTGACTACACAGTCACTCTCGATCTTACTATGGATAACCTGGGAGACGGCGCTAATTAGTAAGTATACAATCTCTCTATATAATTAGTCACTTTTATCAGTTTCTAACCAGACACAGTGCCTTCTTTAATGGTATAACATATGTTATGCCTAAAGTGCCAACGCTTTATACGGCTTTATCCACCGGGTCAGCTGCCGCAAATTCCACAGTATACGGTTACAACACCAACGCCTTCATCCTGGATAAAGGCGATATCATCGACCTTGTTCTGAACAACGACGACACGGGAAAACATCCTTTCCATCTTCACGGTCATAATTTCCAAGTTGTCGCCCGCAGCGATAAAGACGTAGGTCACTATGATGCCAACAACCATCCTGCTTTCCCGTCAGTCCCGATGCGTAGAGATACTATATACGTGAAGCCGACAGGACACTTTGTCATCCGATTCCGAGCTGATAATCCAGGTGACTCTTGATTCCCATTCAGATTCGCTAAATGATAGCTAATCGCTGAAAGGTGTATGGATCTTTCACTGTCACATCGAATGGCACATGGACGCCGGCCTTGCGGTCGTCCTGGTTGAAGCACCATTGGATCTGCAACAGACACTTACAATTCCAGATAATCACTGGCAGGCATGCGATGCAAGTAATACCTTGAAAGAGGGCAATGCAGCAGGAAACACAAAAGACTTCTACGATCTGACTGGGGCGAACACTTCGGTTTCTCCACTGCCCGCTGGGTTTACAGCGCGGGGCATTGTGGCCTTGGTTTTCAGCTGCATTGCCGCAATTCTAGGGTTAATAAGTATTGTCTGGTATGTGTATTTTCTATATTATAGTTTCCTCGGGCCTTACATCAGCGTTCTTTCACTTGTCATCTTTCATGGAGTAGCTGTTGTGTACTGACGGTTATACTAGGTATGGCATGGCACCGATTACAGTGAAACAATCGCCAACCGGTGAGACGAGGGAAGTAAATAGCAATTAAATAAGCTATATATCAGTTATGGTTGAGATTTTCACTCCTACTTCCAGTATACTATAGTTCACATATCAACTACACTTGAAGAGGCACAGACCGAGCTTATGTAATTTACTTTTCATCTCTTTTGATTTAAATAATATGAATAATATTGTTATCACCATGGATCCTGGCGCTCTGTTTTACCCAAGCGGGTGGCTCTCGTTTAAACAGCAGCAATACACTCAATCTCCACGTCCGTATTCAAGGGCAGCGTCTTAACAGCCACACATCTAATAAGGTGTCAACAACAAGAACTTTGCTACTAGCTTCCCAGTTCATATAAGAATCACAGAGACAGAGATAGCAAGAGGAGACTTACGTCCGACAAGGCTTTACATCACCCCAGTACTGCATATAGACGGAATTCATCTCGGCAAAGTTATCCATATCAGACAAGAACACGTTCACCTTGAGGACCTTCGTGATATCGCTACCTGCGGCCTCGAGGACATGGGAAAGGTTTTTGATACATTGGTGCTGGTGTCTCTCAGTACTATACTCTAGTCTTTTGTAGGTGAATAGTACGGGGATGCAAGGCAAGTACGTACAGTGTGAGCTTTGATGTCCCCATCAACGATCTTACCGGTTTCTGGGTCCATGGCGACTGCACCGGAGCAATAAACAACACCATTAGAGACAATAGCTTGAGAGTAGATGCCGGGGAGGGGCTTGGGGGCTTTGTCGGTCAGGATGGGAGTTTTGGTGGCCATGTTGATATAGATCGTGGCCACGTGTGGTTTGAAGGTTTGGTGGGTTAAATTTAGATATAGTTGAGGAGAATGGGAGAGAATGATAGAGAAGAGAGAAAATAAAAATCTATCATGTAGGCGAGGTAGCAACTTGTTCGGGGCCCAATACTACTAGTACATGCCGCTACCTCGACTATGGAGTAGTTGACTAAATATACATATAACCGAACTTTTACACATGCGGGGAAGGCAACGATATACTCCATCCGCCATCCTTCTTACCCCCACGTTGACTTCGTGTACCAATGGCATACCAACCAACCCCACTTCACCTCGATTCCCTCCATCATCAGTGGCTGAAAATGCCGATACTTCTTCGGATCGCTCCATGGTAGTATCTTATCGTGAGAATGCATATATCTTCAAGGGCTCAAACTCAATCCCTATCAAGAGATTGGCATGGAAACCCCCACGTCCCTTGCGTCGGAATGAAACCATCAATTGTGGAATGTAACGATCTGCGTGAGGAGGTGCGGAGGCCGATACGTAAGAAGGTAAATAAAAGGGGACCTAATTTCTACTGACTCAGAGATCCGTTCAATCTGAAGTCACACTCCCACTGGCACAATCCTAAGCTTCACAATATGTCAATCTCGACGCTTCAGCCCCCTTACCCTCTTCATCCTTCAGTTAAAGACCTCTTGGATCCCGAATATATTTCCTTCTATAACGAGTATGTCATCAACCAGCAGCAAGTCCATCTCCAACCCGTCGAAGCCTCCCGAACAAGCGGGGTCCTGATCCTGGCGGGGGTCCGCTCCTCGAGGTCGGAAAGACAGAGGATATCACGATCAAGCGACGCGCGACAGAAGGTCCAGAAATCCTGTTGCGCGCATTCACCCCAGCTGGGGAGACACCAAATGGAGGGTGGCCAGTGATGCTGTATTTCCATGGGGGTGGATGGGTCCTGGGGAATATAAACACGGAGAATCCGGTTTGCACAAATCTATGCGTGAGGGGAAACTGTGTCGTAGTCACGGTTGATTACAGGTATATACACACCAAAGCTCACTATCGCACCTCGTACTGTGCCTGAATTACTCATGCTAATAACGGAAGTAGGCTCGCCCCAGAAAATCCCTTTCCCGCAGCCGTCCATGACTGTTGGGAATCCCTTCTCTGGCTGATTTCTGACGGGCCCTCACGACTCTCTATTAACACATCTAAAATGGCGACCGGGGGCTCCTCAGCAGGCGGAAATCTAGCCTCAATCATCACCCACAAAGGCCTAACGCTTTCCCCACCCGTCTATTTCCTCGCCCAGCTCCTCTCGGTTCCAGTAACAGATAACACAGCAACGGTTCAGAACAACGAATCCTACAGACTTTACGAGCACACGCCGGCCCTTCCAGCTGCCAAAATGGTCTGGTACCGCGATCACTATCTACCCAATCATGGGGATCGCACCAACCCTGAAGCAAGCCCGTTGTTCTACGAGGATGATTGGTCGAAGCTGCCGAGAGCATTGGTCATGGTCGGCGAGTTGGATGTGCTCCGAGTGGAGGGAGAGCAGTATGCGGAGAAACTGAAGAAAGCTGGGGTCGAGGTTGATTTACAGGTGATGAAGGGCATGCCGCATCCATTCTTAGCGATGGATAAGGTGCTAAAAGAAGGGAAGCGGTCGATTACTTTGATGTGTGACCTGTTGAAAGAGGTTTTTTGGTCTTAGTTACATGACCTAGAGTAACTGTACATCATGGTCACTGCATTTGCAATCTATGGAACTAGCATCCACAAAACACTTATTCTCCGTAATTCTAAAGGAAGTATGTACATTATTTGGAGCTATTGGAGCTATCTTTATCTTAGCATGTCAAGACCCTGTCAAGTTCGCTCACAAAGTAGAAGAAGAAGAAGAAGAAGAAGAAGAAGAAGAAGAAGAAGAAGAAGAAGAAGAAGAAGAAGAACAAAATAGCTGAATCGAAATGAAAATAATAGAATCCCGCCAGTTTTTACTCCCAAATCCTGAGGCATCAGACAGGTGGCTCTACCTATCATTTTCGGCTCCCAAATAAAGAACTAATTATCAATTCTGGAATAGTTCCCCTTTAAATATTATTCATACTCTCACGCGTTGAAGGTCAGTTTCTATGAACGCTATAGACACTAAGCCGATGAGCAGAGCTCGTGGCATTGAGCCCCAAATTCCTTGCATAATATCCAGAAGATGTGTATGGGAAAATTGCCCAGCATTGACAGACGATCGCAATCTAACTTTCGATGTCGCAGAGAAGCTTGGAATCTCTCATATGCGCCAGGTCCATCTGAAATTCTTGCAAGGCTTCGTAGTTCGTATGATATACCAACTAACGCCCCGACAGCCTCCTGAGGTTACCATGAGGCAGGTGGCCATGTTCCTATGTTCGGATCTAGACTGTCTAGTTGACTCCAAGGGCTTTCAGACTATGTCTTCCAGATTCTCTGTATTCATTGACTTCACTTTGTTTTACCACATCCAATTCTGAACACAACAATCCAAGCAATAGGGAAATGAAGGATGAGAGCCCTTTCGAGCATAATGTAGTGAAACAATAAACATTCTATAGAACACATAATGCAACCAAAGTGCAACGGGTGAATGAAAGTCTGTTCCCTTTAACCGAACGAATCCTATCAACTCAGGCTGTGATCCACCGAGGTTAGATTACCATTGCCTAAATCGGCAAGGTGCTATGGAAGCATTGTTGCATTAATAAGAACGATGAGGCTCTTCGACCGAGAACAATGGACTATGGAGCCCATAGCCCGACGAAACTAATTTCTACTAGGTTGGGGAGTGGAAAACTATGATAGTCTCTCCGATGTCGTCTACCTAAGCCTTCACATTCCTACTTTGTGGGCTCATTGTTTGTGTTTTCAAATACGAACGGTGGGCTCGTTCATGCCTCCTCCATCTCCTTCACTAGTGAGCCCACCTTCTTTCCAAATGGACCAGTGTGCTGATGGAGTGGAAATTGCGGTCATTCGAGTCGGACTAAGGAAGTCAATGAACGCCTCTTTTTTGCTCCTAGTCGATAGCGTGAGGCAAAGAAACCGGATAGCGGATGTAACCTTTCCCACCTTCAAAATAACCCGTTGTCAGTAGTCTCAGCCACGCTTTGATATATATTCATATACTGAAATCAGGCTGTGGCTGTCCGTGTGACACTATGCCAACCATGTTTAGTTATATTGTCAGGTACGCTTGGCAGATAGACAGTGTAGATTCTGTCGATCTCGATGATCCGGTCGTGGTTCCGGGCAAGGACCGGCAATCAAGGACTCTCATGAAGTTAGCCTCGATGTTAAGTTTTTTTCTTTCCCCCCCCCCACGGCACCAATAGGGGATTTATTTGAACTCATGAAAACTGCCAGTGGATTGGCATGCTTGATGTCCACCTGACATCAGCCCAGAGCAAGAATCTGGTCACGTTGATTGGAGTGCCTGAGGAGTGGGGAGAGTCCCTGGTGGTCGACTAGGCCCGATCAGGCGAGTGCCAACTATACACTAGACTAGTTTCAGTATGACCCACGGAACCTCAGGCTCCTTCCCTGCACTAGTAGGTTAGTCTCCCCTGTAGGTACTAGCTTCGCCTACTGTAAGTCCGTGATACACCATCATACCGGGCCGAACTTCCCTGCCACTGCAGCTCAACGTCTGTCTTGCCACTACGAGTCCTATACGCCGTACGAACTACTACTGTTACTACTCGAATGCATCCAACAATGTGGCCACAGGGTGCACGCATTGTTGATCTCTTTCATTTCATATCATGTTATTATTAGTAAAAGTGCTCTTTATCTCCCGCAGCTCTAGATCCTCTCAAGGATAGATATCAGTTCCACTCCGTTGTATGCCTGGTTTGGCCCCTCGTCTGCCTAATGTAGGCCCGATGACTGACCGGCCTTAGAAAATTTAGTCCCTGTTAATGCGGCTCTCCGGCGGAACTATGGCCGTCCCCTCGAATCAACGTGGGTTCACTATTCGACAGCAATTTCCGGTGTGCATCTTGCTCCTCTCTCTGGAGCCACTCAGGGCTTCCCATGGTTCGAAGAAGTTAGCGCTCTAATATCGAGCTCCTCACTAGCACATTCTTTTACTGCAATGGGAAATGCTGCCAATCACCTATCGAATCCGCTAAGGCCTGGAGTCATGCACATTTCCTGATTTGCCGAGTACTCATCCTTGGATGCTCCATTCTGGTACTACCATGCAAATGGTGACTAGACGTTGGGAGATTGGCTGCTTGCCGGCTCCCCTGAACATTTGCGTATATAGTCGTCTTCCTCATCCATGAATCCTCTACAGTCAGTTCTGTGGCTTTGCTCGCGGTAACCCTCCTAGCAGACGTTTGTCTGCGTCCCTTCGTTGTCCTATTCCACACTCATTTGATAGCCTCCACTGGCTATTAGTCTGACCGATAGTCACTCCTTTTTAATAATGGTATTCGGCAAGAGTCTCGCCGTTGCTACGGTAGTCGCGGCCGTCTCTCCTTTGGTGCATGCCTTCAACGCCCAGTCGAAGTCCAATGTCGCAGTCTACTATGTATTTAAATCTAATCCGAGAATATCTCTAGCGCAGCATTCACTGACCATCTATAGGGCCAAGGGGATAACCAGCCGCGCCTCAGCCATTTCTGTCAAGAGTCCGCACTAGATATCATCAACATTGGATTCATCAATGGATTTCCTGATCAGAGCCCTGCCAATTGGCCTGGCAGTAACTTTGGCAACCAATGTGATGGACTGACCTACGAGATTGGTGGGATCAAGACCGACTTGCTCTCAGGCTGCCATCAGATCATGGAAGATATCCCCATCTGCCAGGCAGCCGGCAAAAAGGTTCTGTTGTCTATAGGAGGTTCTACCCCCGACAATCAGGAACTCCTTTCGACAGAGAGTGCTATTGGATTTGCCGAATTTCTCTGGGCATCCTTCGGTCCCGTGGACGATACTTGGGTGGCATGGGGCGGTCCCCGTCCGTTTGGCAACGTATCCGTCGACGGATTTGACTTCGATATAGAGCACAACGGTGGTTTTGGTATGTTTCAATGCCTGTGCCTCTGAGGTCCTTTTGAATAGGTTTCAAAAACTAACTAATCTCAGGGTACGGAGCTATGGTCACCCGCTTTCGTGAGCTTTTTGCCCAAAAACCTGATCAGAAGTTCTACCTGTCCGGGTCCCCTCAATGCCATATACCTGATAAGCAACTGAGTCTCGCAATTGCAACATCCGCATTTGACTTTGTCTGGGTCCAGTTTTACAATAATGATGATTGCTCTGCTCGTAATTTCATTACCGGGGAGGGTTTCAACTTTGACGCCTGGGTCGACATCATCAAGTCCGGTGGTAACCCAGCTGCAAAGCTCTTTGTCGGCCTGCCTGGCAGTGAAGCTGCGGCACTTGATGGGTACTACTTGACTCCTGATGAGGTCGAGCCTTTGGTCAAAAAATATATGAAGCTGTATCCTGATACATTCGGAGGTATCATGGTTTGGGAGGCAACCCAGTCTGACCGGAACCAGATCAACGAGACTAGCTACGCAGGCAACATGAAGAGAATCCTGACAGAACTGGATCCTGCGCCCCCCGCTCCAACGAGGTCCCCTTCCAGCTCTCCTATCGCATCGAGCACTCCCACTCGGTCGAGTACTCCAGTCATTTCTGAAATACCAACGCTGTCGAGCATTCCTGCTCAGTCCAGCTCGGTAGCCGCTTCTTCAATCCCGCTGATATCTAGCACACCTGGCCATTTCAGCTCTCCTATCGCATCGAGCACTCCCATTCGGTCGAGTACTCCTGTCCAATCGAGCACTCTTATTGCGTCAAGCAGTGCTATCCAGTCTAGCACGCCAGTTCAGTCTAGCACGCCAGTTCAGTCTAGCACGCCAGTTCAGTCTAGCAGTGCTGTCCAGTCCAGCACACCTGTCCAGTCTAGTACGCTAGTACGGTCCAGCACTCCAGTTCATTCTAGCATTTCAGCTCACTCAAGCACCCCTATTGTGTCCAGCACCCCTGTCCGGTCCAGCACTCCTATTCACTCTAGTACACTCACTCACTCAAGTACACCTATTATATCAAGAAGTACTGTTCAGTCCAGTGCTCCCGCTCACTCAAGCACTGCTACTGCATCGAGCACACTAGTTCATTTAAGCACCCCTATTCAGTCAAGGACCCCATCATTGTCAAGCACAATTGCCCAATCAAGTACCCCAGCCGGATCCGCAACCACGTCAACGCCTAGTGTTCCTAGTCGGTCGTCTACCCCGGCCTCATTCAGTACACAATCAGCATCTGCCACTACCGGTCCCTCGAGCTCGCTTATCAGCTCTAACTCTTCGCTAAAATCCGGGATACTGACGAGATCGAGCTCATCAGTTTCCCCAGGGACACCATCTGCCTCGGCCATTCTGACAGAGACGATTTCGCCAATACCTTCCGGAACACCCATTCATTCTGGGAACACCGTTTCTTCCGGGGAGCTTACCTTGCCGGGCACTCCAGCTCCTTCCTCCCTGCCGGCCACGTCCGGGGAGCCAGAATTATCAAGCTCAGCAACAGTATCCGGAACCCACTCGCCTACTAAGACGGGTGCGTCGACAACGTTTAATCCAACTGGTATTCCGGCGCCCTCCACTGTACCTGCACCATCTACTGCTTCTACTTCAAACTCAAGCACCTCAAGCACCTCAAGCACCTCCAGCACCTCCACCACCAGTTCAAATCCAACAGGTCAATCCAGCCTTACCCAGTCGCGTACTTCCCATAGTACTACTGCCTCGTCGGCCCACGCAGCTACATCGGCGGGCGCGGGACCGGACAAAGGAAACGGAACAGTTACGAGTACGATTACTTCCGGAATAGCGACTCCTTCCAACACACCTACAGGTACAACCTCGGAGCCTCTTACTGTCACGACTGTTATCGTCACCTCGTACGTTGATATCTGTCCCACAGGGTTCACAACGATCACCACGACTTATACCACGACGTACTGCCCTGGAACAGTATCTGCAACCGCTACAGCTACGAACATTCCCTCTGGACCCGGATCTCAGACCGCTATCCCTACTCCCCCTGAGGGCTGGACCTCAACCGTGACTGTCTGTACACATTGTGCGCCAACACCAACCACGGTGACTCTTACTCTACCCGTGACTACCACAACTACTCCACCTGTCACTGTGCCAGTACAGCAGACCACCAATGTTCCACCTGCTGAGGATTGGACCACAACAGTTACTATCTGTACGGAATGCGCATCAACGCCAACTACGTTGACACTTACTGTTCCTGCCGCGGGAGCTGGCTCTAAGCCCGCCAACCCTATCAGCACCACCCTTGTCGAGCAGACTAGCAGCCCATCCGGACATGAGGGCTCCCTTTACCCCGTAGTTACAAATACCGTCACCAGCCACAGCCAGAGCCTTTCGAGGACTTCTTCTATGATCGTTGGAACAGGCCGTGTACAGCCGTCGTCCTCAACATTGGCTGCCAGACCCTCGACTAGTGGATCTCAAGTTCCCGTGGCTCCTAGTGAGACGCAGGATAATGCGTCACCCATCTTCACGGGTGCTGCATCGCAGCCTGCTAGACTAGGCCACGGAGTTGCTGCTTTTGTCACTCTTGTTTCGGCTGTATTCCTTTCGATGTGAACCCTTTCGCTTCTATGATCATGGTCACGCTTAGCCAAATGATTGACGATGCTAGATCGCGAGGGCATGGAAGCCATGGTCAATGCATTTGATTTACTTTCACTTCTGATTACCCCTCTTATTGGATCTATTTCTTGTGACATTTCTGACTTCACCCATGTGCTTTGTCCAAAGCCTGTCGTTCATTGAGCTGATTAAATGCCCAAGTAATGTTTATATTTGATGTACCGGAATCGAAAACGTATTCTGATCATTTTCATTCTTTGCATTGGATTTCTGCTGTGTCCAAGTCTTACTAGTAGTGCCTCAGTTTTGTATCTCATGAAATCGAATGTCTCCATTACCGGGAATTATTACGTGAACCTGGTACGGTATGTATGTACCAACAAGCTCTCGGCCAAGCCGGGACGATCCGACAGAACCAAAACTGTATTAGATACAAAGGCGGTGGGAGCGGTGGAGTCACCATTGTTTACTAGTTTGAGGACCGAAGGGGATTATAGGTTGATTCTTGAACAGATGCCACAGGTTCACTGATGGCATGGAACTTGAAGCAGGGTGTACTCCGGAATATGTCTGATGCGTCCATTTCAGGGTACTTACTGTACATACATAGAACTCCCATTCAGTGCCACACAAACCGACTATCATACTCTACTACCATACAATGTACGGAGAATGTTCATGTATGTACACAGAGTACAGTACCAACACTTGGGTCTACTACTAGTACTAGCACCTACTAGTAGCTTAGCTTCAGCTATCGCTACCGTACACCCGTATTTATCCATACCATACAATGCTGACTTGTCAGGGTCCAAGTTGAAGAGGGATCTGGGGCCAGGCTAAAGCCCCAATGGCAGTGCTTAATCCCCTTTGGCCCTTAATTACCCCTCCTATGTTTCAGCTATTTCTAGAGCATATATCTAACACCTCCTTTCCTTCCCCTTTCTTTGCGATACTCCACTTCTTCCCCTTCTCTTCCATTCTACTACCAAATCGTGCTCCTACCAGAAACACAATGGATTTCATCAGCAAATTCGCCGAAAAGTTGCTCGACAAGGACAAGTCCAGCAGCAGCCAAGAAGGCTATGGCAACCAGGGCGGATACGGTGGAGGTGACCAGGGAGGATACGGTGGACAGCAGCCCGGAGGCTATGGCGGCGGCTATCCTCAACCGCAACAACATTCAGGCCCTCAGGTGCTTCCCCCTTGGGTCGCCGGTGGGACGAGCAGTCACAGCGCTGGTTCTACGTGAACGAGCAGACCGGCGAGAGGAGCTGGAACCACCCGGGCCAGGGCGGTGGCTACGGACAGCCGCAGCCTTCTTATGGTGGCGGTGCGCCGTACGGTGGAGAGCAGTCGTATGGCCAGCAGCCCTCGTATGGCTATGGCGAGTCGCGTCAGGGAGATTACTATCAGCAGCAGGAGCCTAAGAAGGATCACTCTACGGCGAAAATCGCAGGTGCTGCAGCTTTGGGTGTGGCTGGTGGAGCGTTGGCAGCCTATGGTATACATGAAGCGCGTAAGTCTTTTTTCCTCTCCCTTTACCGCCATTTCACTTTTCTCCAGGCCGGGTATCCTGATGTTTGTTTGCTTTGCAACGGGGACTGACGCCTACTAGATGAGAGTTGGGAAGACAACAAGGAAGAGATAAAGCAGAATGTTGAGGATTTCCCTGAAAATGCAGCGGAATGGACCGGCGAAAAGGTATGTGTTTGCCTTTTTCTTATCTCTTTTTCTTCTTTTTCTCCCTTTTTTTTTTTTTTTTATTTTTTTAAAAAAAAAAAAATTGTTCTCATGGATTCATATTCAATCGGGCATGTTCGGGTATACTCATGTATGCATCAGGTCGGTGAAGTCGAAGCAGGCTGGGATCGCGCCGAAGATCGAGTCGAGGACGGCTGGGATAACACGGTCGATAAGGTTGAGAACTTCCCTGAAAATGCTGCTGAGTGGACTGGCGAAAAGGTCGGAGCCGTGGAACAGTTCGGTGATGATATGCACGATGCATACGAGCGGGGAGAGGATGAGGGCCGCGGTGACGACAATTGGTAGTTCTGGAAACTCCGAAGTTTTCCTCGGTCGGTTTTTATTGCAGGGGTTGGATTTAGAAGAGATCTTTTTATGTCGGACTGGATTGATATTATTACAACTCGAGGCTGGTTCTACTGAAACTCTTGGGACTAATCCCTTTCGGGAACACTCAGGCCATCCCCCTGCTTTCATGTCCACTGTTTATGCAAACATTAACACTTATGCACTCATACCTAGGTAGTAAGTAGGAGGAACTGGACATACACCGTAGGATCAAGAGAAAGGAAACCGGAGAGGAACTTCCTCTTGACCATACGCTTCCCCGCACGTGTCCGCCGGACCTCGGTTGCAGAGTGTGCCTCAGCATCTTTATAATTCAAGTATGTGATACCTGTCACGTCGCGGTCAAATCTTCTGTTTTTCTTTTCTAGTAGGAAGGGGTGCCGCTTGTTGACTTCAGATCCAAGAGTTGACCGCGTAACTGTCCGATCGATTCACACAGAATGTCCACCACACTCCCCCTCGCAGGAATTCGCGTGGTCGAGCTTGCAGGCCTAGCTCCCGGTTGGTCTTGACCGCAATTTAAATCTGCCGGTAACATGCCGGTAGAACTAATGCGATTACGTGTTTTACTGACTGGGACTTACAGGTCCATTTGCTGGACTCTTGCTTGCAGATTACGGGGCGTCCGTGCTGCGTATCGATCGGCCAAATGCCGTGAGCAGCGATCAGTTAACGCGTCGTAAATCCTCGATCACCCTGGACCTACGAAACGCAGCATCGCACAGCGTCCTCCTTTCGGTGTTGGCCAAAGCCGATGTCCTCATTGACCCTTACCGCCCCGGCGTCTTAGAACGCCTGGGTCTTTCCCCATCGGAGGTCCTCCTAAAGCATAACCCTCGCTTGATTGTGGCGCGCATGACGGGATTCCGACGAGACGGTAAATACAAGGATATGGCGGGTCACGATATCAATTACATCGCGGTGTCGGGTGTCCTCTCCATGCTGGGGCGAGCAGGTGAACCTCCTTATGCCCCGGGTAATATCATTGGCGACTTCGCGGGCGGAGGTGCAATGTGTTTCATGGGGATATTGCTGGCTCTGATGTCGCGCACACGTACAGGACGCGGCCAAGTCGTAGAGGCTAACATGGTCGATGGTTCCGCGTACCTAGCAGCGATGCCGCGGCTGAACCGACAAACGCCGCTGTGGAGCGGGCCTCGAGGACAGAACACCTTAGACGGCGGCAGTCCGTTTTATGACACGTATGAGACCAAAGATAAGGGCAAGTATTTCGCCGTTGGAGCGTTGGAGCCTCAATTTTATGCTGCGCTACTCAAGGGACTCGGGTTCGGTTTGGAGGAACTTCCCTCCCGCGACAATAGGGAGAATTGGCCGGCGCTCCGAGCGGCGTTTGCGAAGCGATTCTCAGAGAAGACGCGAGCGGAGTGGGAGTCTATTTTTGACGGTACTGATGCTTGCGCGACACCTGTGTTAGAGCAGGATGAGCTCGAGCAGGGGGGCTTTGAACAACGGCCTGCCGTTCATCTCGTTGATACGCCAGCACTGCCCATTGCGGCCGACGATGGAGGCTGGACGGGGGGTGGCCTGACCCCCGGGGAAGGTGGACAAGAGACGTTGGAGGCCTGGCTAGGATGGAAAGAAGGATGCGAATATGATGTCAGATCCGATGGGGCATTGATGAAGACTGGAGAGGAGGGGAAAGCGAAGCTATGAGGATAGGACGATGATAATACGAGACGAACCGGATTAGGACTGTGTACTGCGCAGTCTGGGTTGATTGTGTCCGCGGTTCGGATGAACTCACGCCCGCCGTAGGGCTGAGGCCCCGCGCACTCGATTTGGTAATCGACCCAATCCGATGGTCCGACTCGAAATTACTGCTTTTGATCAGTGGTGCTGTCATTGACTTTTGCAATTCAATCGGAAAGGCAGTGCATTAAAGTTGTACCTATTACTAGTAGCTGGGATGTCTAAAGGGAAACAGAGAACGAGAAAAGGGTAAAAGGTCAAAACGAAGAAAAAGTAAATAGCGAAAAAAAAATAGAAGAAAAGAAAAACGGTTGTCATCTGGACAACTTTATGCACTGACACTTTCATCCTGCAGTATACAACCGGTCCAACTGATCTATTCCGTATGTACGGCCCTTCTACTGTATGTGATTTAGGTCAAGAAATAAAGGAATCGAGAAAAAAGTACAGAGTGAGACAGTCCGATTCATGGCGAGCTGAAAGACCCACCCAAGTCAGCCGCTGGTTGGAGGAAAATGTTACCGTGCCAATGTATGTAACAACACATGTTAGGTTCGCGGGGATTGATTCGATACCCGTGTCATGGTCACGTCATTATTGGTTATATCCGTCCGGAATCGTGCATCCGTCCAGCGATATCATACGCGATAGGTTACCACTGAAATCAAGGTCACAATCATGCTACTATGGAGTAGTACTACTCACTAGTACTGCTAGTACTACCGTATCTCGGGTTTGTCCAAGATAACCACCAGACTTGGAACTTAGGAGCACTGAGGGGGTAAAAAAAAATAGTGAAGTCAATAAAAATGGGAAAAAAAAATTAAAGTAACTTTTCAAAACTAAAACGGTGGCCCCAGCTGACAGGTACGATGGTACATACATACCGTGTACGGTATAGAGTAGTACTGGTACCTGGATAATTCCGAGTCCCCTTTCCCCCTTTTCCCCCTTTCCTTTTTATGAAGCATTCCTTGCCTAGTTACCACTCGTCGGTTCGAACTTCAGACATCTACAATTTCTACTGCTTCATTTCCCGAGCCTTCCGGATGTTTCAAATGTGGAGTATTCTACGTCATTCATCTGTCTTGTGCTGTGGTTCTGGGGGGAAATTTTTCGACTGTTCCTAGCGGGTGACTAAGAGTACTAGTCGGTACCGTGTACCTGTACTATTGTTCCCTTTTCTTCCTGCCTGTGAGTACCATGTACAGGTTCGGTACCTAGTGTAATATCGCCTGGTATGGCCCAATACCAGCACTGTCCCGCCACGTGCGGGTAGTGTGGCGCAGCCCGGCCCTATCTCCTGATGATCTCTGTTGGATCCGCGATACGGTCATTGCGATGGAGCTTTGAAGCCCAAGGTCAGTTCTTAGCCACTAATAGATTATGACTGGTCCGATGTCTCAGCTTCCCTTTGGTTATCACCGATTGTTACCAAGGTGTGGATGAGTCGTGGCTGTGCGAGAAAGTTTTACCCCATCTCAACTATTCATTGTCCGTAATTTACCTCCGTATTGCACACTTTCGTATTCGGTACCGCTGCCCACCGGGGCCCGTCACACTTGGTTTTTCCACCTTCAAGTTCTCTCCTCTTCTTTTTCTTCCTCCCCGTCGCAGAGAGCCGAAGCGACCGATCGCTCTTCCAAGTTCTGAATGCGCTGTAATTTATTTCCTGTCTTTCTCCTCTTTCTCCGACCTTGATAAACGGACCTCCTCCCCAGCGGGCAACGTGGGATCGGTGCTCCTTTGTGTACAATCGCTGTCGTCAGCTTTGTCTCGAACTTGACCCCTCCGCCATACAATCAATGTCCCCTGCAAGTGTGACCTGGTAAAATTGGGTACCCGCCAAGTGCCAGGCAATCGTTTCTCACAGCTGCACTGTTACTACGGAAAAAGTAGATCTGACAACCCTTCCTGGCCTTGCCAACAAGCTCTGCTTCTTCCTTCTTCCCAATTACTGGCATCACTCGCTTGCACGGCTTCCCCCTGCACCGGTCCCTGTTGCAAGTACCGTACAACAACGGAAGCGCTGGCCGTTCATTGATCCGTTAACCCCAGGGCGGCTCGGCTTGCCTTACTTATCCCCTCAATTCACACTGCGCGGCGAGTACGACGCTTCCTATATCCCCTCAGAGTATTACCTCCCCCCTTGGACAGTGTTGTCCGGTCTCTGCCGCCATTGTTGGACGGCGTAAATAGCCTCTCCCTTTCTTCCGAGACCCCTCTGTCTCTTTTTAAGATACATGGCAGGCGTGCAACTGCAACAACCCAGCATGACTGACTACCGATTGCCGCTCCATCAGCCACCACCTGCTCGGAAACCGGTTCCTGGGATGCATGCTGGTTATCCATTCCAGTCCTATGATGGACCTCATAAGCAACAGCTTTCTCCTCACCCTTCCCTCACTCACAATCGGGGCCGGATGCCTTCGGCCAATGCGTCACCCTATATGGCTCAGCAGCAACCCTACTCCAATACCCCTTCGCCACATCATACCATGACTTCTACTCCTAGTTACCCTCCCTCGAGAAGATTGTCGAGCGCGACGACGTCCACGAGCTCGACTGGCAACGCTGCGGGTCACTCCGCCGTTTCCGATATCCGCAGAAGCACGTCATCGCGTTCCGCCAACTCTCAGCTGGGTTATGTTGCTCTGATGCGGAGGCAGAAGGCCACAGTGTGGTGTGATCGAGCACAACTGGAGGATCCCCGCCTCCGGGCCCAGAAGCTTGCCGACAAGAAGAGAGCGTACCTTGAAGTCCATGGCGCAGGCGCCGGTGGACGGGCGAGTACCCTTGGAAGCGGTAAAATTAAACACTCCAAGGGAGGCACTGATTTCTCACCCTCAAACCTCGTGTCGGCTACTGTTCCCGTACGGCTCAGTGCTAATGAAGTGGGGGATGCGGATGAGGATGCACACAGCGATCATGGATTTCCTCATCGTCGCACTGGCAGCGGTCGCAGCTCTTTGGGAAGCAACCACCGTTATCCCAGTGGCTATCAGCGGACGCCCCAGGGCACCCTGGGAAGTAGCAGCACTCCTCCGAGCGAGAAGACGGATTTGCCAAATGTCACGGAGCATCCGCCGGCGGAAAGCACCGAGGAAAAGCAAGTCAAAGATGACGCCGCTACCACCTACAGCTTCGAGGCCGCAGATGAGGACAATTTTGGGAGCGTAGGGGAGATGGCTGCCCCCAGTGCAGCTACCACGGCGGCCGAAAAGGCGAGGAGGGCGGACGAACTAAGACGGCGGGGCAGTGTAGACGATCGAACGAGCACGATGACCAATGTCCGACTTTTTGTTGCAAATCCAGACCTCAGTGATTAGTGGCACCTTGTATCGTCATATATCGCATACATCTTTCGGATCTATACTCACGAAAATACCCAGCTCGGCTGAAGTTCGGCAAGCAGTCCGACCTCATGCAGTTTATGCCAACCCTTTTGTTTTCTTTCTTCTCTCTGTTTCTACATTCCCCTTCTGTGTTTCTTCTCCCCAGGTTAGCTCTCGGCGAGTAGTGCTCGAGCCCGGCCTGGATCCTGGGGCCCCATACCTCGGTTTTTGTGCTGCGTGCAGGCAGCCTGATGCATTGCGCTTCTTGTTCTGTTTTATTCCCCTCACTGCATGTTTTGGCGCCTGTGCTTCTAAAGCATTGGGCTGCGTGCTACTGGTCTTGCATTAGTAGCACTTTGGGCGTCTTTTATGGATTTACGAGCAGTTAGTAATAATAATATTGTCTGTACATACTCTGCAACTTGTGCTATTAGTGGTGTATCGATTCAATTTGTGTGTAAAGTTGCAAAATTTAGTATACCCTTAGCAAACTAAGTTGAGCTACATCATTCAACAGACTAAAATCTAGTAACCTAATAGGAACATTGAAGCAATGAACAAGTCTCAAAGCAAAGCAAGTAGATCATAGGAAAGTACGTACTCACTTGTTAACCATCATTCACTCCCCATCTTACATAATCCCCCACGTGCCCCTGACGCGAAGCAGTCGCGCCCGACAATCCAATTAACGCGTTCCCGACTCAACAACCAATCTCTCCGGTGACATACCAGACCGAGGATCCTATATTCTGTCGCGGAATTGCTTTTCCATTAAATTATCTCTATTGACATATTATTATTATTACTAGTATTCTACGAGGTGAGACTGTACGTTGTTTGAGTCATTGAGGGAGTTCTGTCATTTTCCTTGTTCCTGGTGAACCGAACGAACCGACTCAACCCAACCCGATTTGCTCAATGTGTGAGAGTACTTTCTACCCTTGATTCCAGCCCCCGGTTTACTTCAACCTCATCTTTAGAGTTATCTCGAGTAGTCATTTCCCGGGTCCATCCCCCAAAAGAGAAAGAAGGAAGGAAGGAAGGAAGGAAGCAAACGACAGAAAATGGAGGTCTCGATGGACACAAGTCCAGCCGCCCTTTCTCCCCTCCCCCAGTCACAATCACAATCGCAACAGCCATCATCAACAGCGACATCTACAGCATCCTATCCTGCATCTCCGACCACCTCCAGGAAACGTTCGGTCCAAGATATCGACGCACAGACGGCGTCAGCGACCGCGACTTCTAACCCCGCCGATAAAAGAAGATCCCCAACATATACCGACAAAGAAAACCAGGAGAATGCTGATCCCTCGATACAAAGTTCTACACGTGTATCTCCTGTCTTGGAGATGAGCCACGTATTAATTGTAGGTGGGGGCGCGAAGCCCAATGATGAGGTCCCGGTACGGAATACGAAGGAGGCTACGCTGGGGGGATCAGTTCCCAGTCCAGGATCAACCCATTTGTCGACGGATGCGGGCACGGATACCCCTGCCACTAAGAAGAGGAAGCTCTCTCCTGCGAGTAAGGAGGCTAGGCAACAGGAGAAAGAAGCTAAGCAGCAGGAAAAGGAGGTCAAGGAACGTCAAAGATTAGAAGAAAAGGCAAAGAAAGAAGAGGAGAAGAGAGTGAAGGAAGAGGAGAAGAAAAAACGGGACGCAGAGCGAGAGGAAGAACGTAAGCGGAAGGAGGAGAAAAAGAAGGCGAAGGAGGAGGAGAAGGCCGTGAAAGAAGAGGAAAAAAGGAAAAAGGAGGCAGCCAAAGAGGAGGAGAAGCGAAAAAAGGAGGAAGAGAAATTGAAGAAGGAGAGAGTAAGCTTCCTACACCGACAACTCAGGCCCGCATGTATGGCTCGTCTAACAGTTCACTCGTAGGCTCAACCTAAGCTGAACGCCTTCTTCGCGAAACCAAAGCCTCCTATGCAGCCCTCAAGCTCAGCGCTTACTGCGTCGCCCAAGAAGTCGTCTGGGGGCGATGGCAGCACAAATGAACCCGCTCATGAAGCGGGCACTGTGTCAGATTATCAACGAGCATTTCCTGAATTCTTCCTACAGTCTCATACTAAAGTCGCCCCACCACATATGTTTCAACGTGATTCAGAGGCCCTTCGACAAATGAGAGGGAAGCTTGATGCGTCCATGAAGTCGTCTAATAGCTCGGAAGAGGCTCTTGTATTTCGGCCCTCGGAAATTTTCAACTTGATGCCATACAAGCGACGGCGGGGAAGACTACCTGCTTCTGTCAGGGAAATCCTCCAACAGATGCAAAGCCTGAATGATCAAGCAGGGACGTCGGAGGCTGTTCAGCGACAACAGGGCCTTCTGAAAGAGGTCCGAATGAAATCTCTTAAGTTTGGTGAAGATGTCCGACCCCCCTATCAAGGAACGTACTCTAAGCCCCTGTCCGAATCGTCGGCCAATAAGATGATGCGGAACCCCTTCCACCGCGGCTTACCAGAGACGAATTACGACTATGACTCCGAGGCTGAATGGGAGGAGCCGGAAGAAGGCGAGGAACTCGACTCGGAGGAGGAGGAAGAAATGAGCGAAGACGGCGAGGATGACATGGATGGCTTCTTGGACGACGAGGACGACCAATTGGTTGATGGGAAGAGACGTCTTATCGTTGGCGATCTAGAACCCGTCTGCACTGGCATTCAATGGCACGATCAGGGTATGAAACCAGAGTTCAAGGCATACAGGGTCGAGACCATATCAGATGCAGTGTCGTTACCTATTGACCCATTCTCAACAGCGTATTGGCAAAAACCTAAGACATCGGAGCCAGCTCAGACCAGTGGTGCGGGACGGCCATCGCTTCACTCTTTCCTGGGTAACCCATTTCCAGGGAGTGCGTCGACGCAGGACGGCAGCGCACTGCCACTGTTGGGGCCCGGGAAATCCAAGCGACCCTTTCCATCGGAATTGCTGGCGGAGTTCAAGCAAGTTGTGGACGGAAGCGATCTATCGAAGTTAGGGTTGATTGAAATTCTGAAGAAAAGGTCAGTAAAGCAGGGTCCCTTCAGTTCCATCTGTCGCTAATGATAACCCTAGGTTTCCGAAGGTTTCCAAGGATGCTTTGAAAGACACATTGAACAGCGTGGCTACTCGGGTGGGACAGAAAGAGGCTGAGAAGAAATGGGTTTGCAAATAGTGATGGTATTGGAGGAGACATGACAACAAGCGTTCGATGTTCCGAAGAAAGACAACGCATGCCATGGATGGCTGGAGTTCTGGCGTCAGGTTCACCTTGGGTTGTGCCGGGAATAGACTGCCCTTGAGATTTATTGGTTGCGGGTGCTTCAGATCCTCAAGTATCAGTGGAATTGCATGAAGATTCGCAGCTACTGGTTTGTTTGCGATTGATGTGTAATGACGGCGATTGCTTTAGAGGGCCAGTGCAATGGGAGCTGGACGTTGATATTGTATATGGATATACTATACGGAGCTGGGTTATTAACTACTACATGAGCCACTATTTTTTTTTATCAATGATACCTCCTGCACATCTACAAGGAATGAATAAACCCTAACTCCGTCAGACCTTTGAGAAGAAGGTAGGGGAAACGAGTAAAAAGTAAAAATAAAAATAAAAAAAGCAATGAGACGGAAAGAAATAAAATAGAAAGGTGCTAACACCAGATTGCATCGAATAGTTCATTTTTCCCAACCAGAGCTGCAGTGTTGATGACACGGTAGGTGATCATGCAGTTCTAGACAGGAGCATGCGTGAGGTAGTATGAGTTGTTACAGAAGGTATGGCTATTGGAATGCAAACATGACTGTATTTCCTCAAGTGATTCAGCTGAGGATATCACCTGGACTAGACTGTTTTAGGGCTAGTCGGGGCAAGTTGTTCAGTGGCAGTTGAACACGTGCCAGTGGGGTTCTGGAGTCATTAGGAGGAATGATTAATACGAAACCGCGATGTTTGGTACTAGTTTATTTGTTGTTGCTGGGGCATTGATTGCTGTTGACTCCTTTAGTTTTCGTTTTCCTTTTTCCTTTTTTTTTTTTATTTTTGGGTTCGCTCTTTGCTGTCACTGCGGAGTAGTTTCGGCAGTACTAAAATGGAAATCTTCCTAGTTGCAAACATTCGGAGGAATTCCCACTATTCATACTATCTAATGATCCTTCTGGGAACAAGGCACCGTTACTAGTGGACCATTAGTATGTATCTCACCTCTCTTTGATGACAGAGGGAGGAGGGGGGAAGAGAAATTAAGATGCAGTTTCATGCATCCCAACCCCCAGAAACAAGAAATGGACCAGAAATCCCCTCCGATCCCTCAAGGCCAGCAGTAAGGGGTGGTTGGGCAACGAATCATGGGGCACGGAGGGAACCAACCGGAGCCATCATGCATGTATGCAGTGCCAGCGCATCACTGACTGTTTGACTCTTTCTCCTTAGATACTAGTACTTAGTTTGTACTCGTCCAACTAGTTCCAAGTGGTGGTACATTTCTGAACTGTACGTCGTCTTTCATTCGACTCGAGTTAATCGTGTTGCGATCGTCCTCTGCCTTTTTGTTTTCGTTTTAATATTTTTTTTCTTTCTTCTCTTTACTCTTTTTGTATTTTCCCCTTCCGTTGCTCTCCCGCCATCTGCCATTCTTAATACCTCGGAATGGTTGAGTAGAAGGCCCCTACACGGGACGGAGGAAGTGGGGGGCACTGTTCTTAGTATAGGTATTGATGATTCTGCAGCAGAACAGGAGAAATATGGTGGGATTTCAACAATAACTTTTTGTTCTTTGGTTTTTTATCTTCGTTTTGAAATAGATCACATCGAAAATGATATTTCATGGTACTTTGCGAATGTTTAATGTTCTTGTTCGGTTTATGGGGAGAGAGGATATTGAAGAAAAGAGAACCATATAGTACACACATACTCCGTATGTACGGAGTACATACTCCACATACACACGCACACAGGAAATGGAAAACTATCTTCCCTAAATAAAGTATTTTCCATAGTTCCCTCCAGTCTAGAGAGTCACACCAACGTTGCCTCACTTAGTCCAGTGTACGCCTGCAGTTGTTCCTCCACTGCATCCGTCCGATTCGAGTCACCGCCAGCCTGGCACTTGGCTCACGGTGGACAAATAGGAAAGCGTCGTGCTTGTTCGCTTGCTTATTCTCCGTCCCAACTTGACTCTATTGTTATTGCCCCTACTTTAGTGGCATACTCATACATGCACATTGCCAACAGACATCATCCAACCTGAACCAAAGAAAGTCTCCTTTCGTCACCTATTTCCCCCCTCCCTTCCGCGTTCGTCCAACCATTACAGGCCGAGTCACTCCAACGTACATCCAGACTAACCATACAGAATTCCCGGATTCTTTCGATTTGCTGGCAAGCAATCGCCCACTAAGGTAGTCCTTCTCTCTCACTTACGTCGGCCTTTCTTTCACACATTCTTCCCTCTCTCTCCCTCTTCTGCTCTCTGCATGTCATCCATCCCTCCGCCAATTCAGCCAGTTGTCTCTTATCGTCTGGACGAGACCGTCAGATCGGAGTTTATCCTCCTACTAATAAGCTCCCCATATTATTGATCTATTATTCCTATTTCTATCTTTCCATATTTTTTTATCTTTGATTTTTGATTTTTCTATTCTATGATCGTTTCTTTATTTGATTGATTGATTTTCTTCCTTGATTCTTCTATACTTGTCTCTTCTCTTACCACCACCACCCCA